AGGCTTCTGGTGCTGGGTTATTCTATTTTTGCCATCTAACTGTTGAACGCTTGTTAGAGTCAGGTAATCAAAACCAAGAGCCACACTCAATCTCAGAATCCTAACCAGGTTCAAATCCAGCATCAGACCCATATGGAGAGCCAGAGGCCGGAGGAGATTCAGAGCCATGGTGAGAACCAGAGCCAAACACGAAGTATACATCAGAGTCCTGCTGCTCAGAATGGTGACTAGGCAGAATTACCTATAACAGTTACAAAGATAAAACAAAAAGATGATAAGTAGAAGCTCACACAAGTAGGTCATCTTTGAATACGGATTATGGATTACGAGGAAGGGGTTTCTGTTTGAAGATTCATGCTTTGATCTGTGTCGACAACATGTTTGACAACTTTTTTGAGGTAACCATTTTTCTTTTCACCTGCAGAACATGTTCACACTTACTGAAATCTCGGATCAAGAAAAGTATCAAGAAGTGTTGGCCAAACAATTTTACACACAATCTAAGATGAATCTTAAGCGTTACTGAAGGCTCTGCTATTTTGTTGTTTACGTAGTCAAATTATATTGTTAATAATTTTTTGGCCTGTTCTTGAAACCAGCAGGATGGAAGTAGCAAGATATTGAGAAGTTTGTACTATTCAATCGCTTGGTACTTCACAAACTGAGAGTCTAAGACTCATAACCAAAGAGGTTAGACAAATAAAATCTCCTTTCTCTTTGTGCGGGAACAATTTTGACTGCATACCCTTTATACTTATGTGAATATGAGAAGCAAACAAATTTTTACTCTTTAGAAACACGAAAAGAATCGATCTCCTTTAGCTATAGAGAAGCCTTTTTCACGGCGATTACAATGTAATAAATGACAACAAATTTATATATCTGAAACATAAATATTTCTATATTTTTCCCTGTTGTTTCCTGTTTATACCTTCTGTTTATTCGTCTTGCAATCACAGAGATCCGAGAGATTTTGTGTTTAGTTTAGTTTCTACGCCTGCAGTCTCTTCGTATCTCACCTTCGGTTTTAGTTAACACATTTATCGCTCCCATCTTGCTCATCGAAAGAGCAAAGGATTTCCGAAGATCCTCAAAACTTGCTGCAAATTCCTCAGAAATTTGCTTGGTGTCATCATTGTAAAGCAGTTGTTGATCCACTTCAAGTACAGATTTGTTTGATAGAATTCTTGAGTAGAATGAGTTTGTGAAACTGTGGTTTGAGCCCGAGTCCGGGTTTAGGTACACAAGCGGATCGGTTTGGCCTTTCTTCGTTCTTGGTGGACATTGCTTTGCCATTTCAGACAGGAAATACTTGTTCATAGTCGGGCTTGGTTTACCGGTTTTGTTGTAATTGTAGAGACGGTCAACGACATGGCTGCAATGTGTTCTCCCCATTGAATGTGATCCTGATTAGGTAGTAGTTCAGTTTAAGCGATTCAGACCAGATTAAAACGACCTTCAAAGTATGAGCAGAGACCAAACCTATATCTAAAGGAAACGAGTGTTTTTTTTTTTTTTTTTTTGTCTCTTTTTGATTTCTATTATTCATGAACCAAGAACTTCACAAACCGATCCGGAACGCAGGATGGACAGGCCTATATATATAAATCCTTAAATATAAACCGGTTTAAAGATATACAAGGTAGGACGAAAAGGTGACTGACCTAGAAGTGTAGCCATGTCAAGGACACTCAAGCCTCTAGAATTGAAATAAGCCATGGCTTGGTCCCATGAGATGGATGGTGATGGTAAGTCCACTGTTTGCTTATCCGACGTCAAGCCATCTCTCCTGCCGGTGAATACTGGATAAGATGGTGCACCAGCCTGTACGAAACCGTATCTCTCAGCTGGTCAGTATCTAAGGTGATCCATGTCTATAGCTATAGGTAGAGACTAGAGAGATTAGTTACCAAATGAACGGCATCCCGAGTTGCAAGATTAAGAATGTCGGCGCAAGAGACAACACCGGGACATCTTTGTTCCAAGACTAGTTTGATTTTGTCTATGATCACGAATCCTCCAAGTCCTCTGTTTTGTGGCGCCATTCTCTCTGAGTTCGGACCTTCTAGAAGAACAGATGCATCGCATCCCTAGCATACATGATAATATATCCTTAGGTTTCATATGACATGTATTCAAATGGGTAAGATAAGGATAAGAAGAAACGTACGGAGACGAAGCAGTCGGAGTAGAGGAGACGAAGGAGCTTAGGAGCAATGCTCTTATCGTTCCTGTAAAATATCTCAACTTGGTGCCTTATAAAATTCTCGGCGTTCTCGCAAGTGTTGTAAACTTTGTAGTAATGCCAAGTTAGCTTCTGCATCGAAGGTTCCATCACGGCCGCTTCTGCCGTCTCCGGAAAGAAACTGACGGCTCCAACCATCACAACGGTGAGTAAGATCTGATACATAACCAACGATCTCACTTTGAAGCTGTACGTTGAGTGTTGAAAGGAGAGAAGAACACAAAGAGGTGTGTGTTGATAGATTGTGAAGGCACTTAAGTATATAATAAGGAATTTCAAATTCAATTGAAAAAACTTGTGCGAGCATAATTATCGGATCTTTGTTGAGTTTTTGTTTAGGTGCCGTGCAAGCTAAGTCGCCAGCCCAATGTCGTCTCTAGCTAGGCATTTAAAGTTTGGATGAAAAAAAAAAAACAAAAAACTACTGTATGACTAAAAACTGTGATTATTTACATTATAACGATGATAACTGATATATGGAAATCTTATGAAAAAGAAATGGTATATATGCTCATAATTAACTCATGAGAAATATTAACAGAAGGAAAAAAAAAACAGATTGGCTTCATACAAAAAAAAGAAAAAAAAAACAGATTGGGGTTTAAAGACATGAATGGGTTTATAGATGTTTATGCGTCATGTAAGAAGCAAAGTTCATTCATAGTTTCATATACCACCAAAAAAAAAGGAGAAGAAGCAAAGGTCAATATATAGAGAAAATTATAGCACACGAATTGGAGATTTGGGTCCTTTGGGATATTAAAATGTTGTTTTGCTGAAAACTATATATATAATATTATACGTGTAATAAGATCTTAAACTATTAATTGAGTGGGTAGTGTATATAAATAGTTTAGGTATTGTTCGTCAGATAGTGAAGCAACGTGTTAACATGTGATCTTCACTCGGATTCTGCGCGTCGTTTAATTTGATTTCCCATGCAGAATAATTTATAAGATCCCAATTTTGATCTATTTTACTCTACTTTTTTCACTCGGATTCTGGGTATATTTTTAATTATTTTTTTGTTTGGTTTTATTACTAGTATTATTGCTTTTTGTGTGTGTGTGTGTGTGTATATATAAGGCAGTTTCTTAACATCTAAAAATATAAAGGATGATTTTGATTGAATTTCCCATAAAAGACTGGTGATCATGAAGCTCACAACAAAAACGGATTATGTCATAAGTTGCTATAGTGTTTGGTCGGATGACGATACATATATATATATATATATGAGTAATAAGCAAATGATCTTACAGTAGAGATAGATTGAATAAAAATCCGTTGGTTATCATTTCACATCAGATTTGATTTTCCACTACAGTTGGATCAACCTCAAATTTTGATATAAAATTACATTAGCTTTACTTTGACGATGGTTTAGTGTCGTCGTCATGAACGGATCAGATCAGCAATTTTGAATGTACATAGATTTTGGTTAATAAAGATTCACCATAACGTTTATCCACCAAAAAAAAATAAAAAAAAAATCACCACACATAAAAAGTAGATTAGCAAATACATATAGAAGATACAGTATGCCAGTATCTCTTTTTAGCTAATTCATTAAAAATACAAAAAAAATAAAAAAAAAACACTTAGACATGAGAGGATGTCATATTTGATACTGTACTAACACTATATGCACTAAAACAGCTGGAAACTCCCGATTCATACTTTAATTAGTACATTGTATTTGTATCTGTCTATGAATGGTTGATCTTGGTCTTTTCCATTTTTCTCTATTTAAGTATATTATTTTATGTTGGGATCGTATGTTCAATTTTCTCTCTTGCGAATAGCTGATTAATTTGAGGAAAATTGTAATCAATTAATAAACGTGTTTCAAAATCTTACAGTGAGAAAATTGGTACAAAAAGAGAAAGCCAATAGTGGAATAATTAATTTGCGGTTGATATACATATGTAGTCATGTAGAAGAAATAAACATTTATAGTAAATTGAATGAAATTAACACAGAGGATACAACAATAAAAGCTTTGGATCCTACTATAATTCTCTTTCATTTCTAAATTATCCGATCGAAAGCAAAAATAAAAAAAAATAAAAAAAATATACATATGCATGAATGCATCAACTGGACCTAATGTTTCAAAACCCAAAATTGTACACTCACTAGCTCGTACTCATATAGTATATTGTTTTTGTCTTCTGATTGTAAACTCATATATGACCAGATAACATACAAATGTATGAGATATATATGTACAGGTTTTTAAATATATATATATATATATATATATATATACATATATGTTTGTTCATGGTATACAATAATAATGCACGATGCCTTTGTAACCCCTTAAATAGTCCTTTTTATAGTTGTCTTTGCAATTATAGAAGAATTAACTAATCAACATATATATAATATAATGTCAAGGTGTGTCATCTATATGCATATACGTACGTTATTAATTTCTGACCTTCTCTGTGTATATATACTTCTGTTTTTCTTCTTTTTTTAAAAAAATTAAAAAATATAGACAGCAAGATTAATTTCTAGATAAAAATAGAATTTTAATATTCCAAATAATTTAATTTGTTTTCATATTTTATTAAGGATTTCAAGATTACTTATATATATATAAATCTATCCGCAGATATATATTTACTTATACAGTCATACCGCTACAGCTAAAACCTTTCTATTGGGTTCGTGTCATCAGATATCTAGGGTTTTGTTTTTTTGTGTGTGTTTGATGATGGTGAACCCTCCGTGGACAAACGAAGAGATGAGTCACCATAGTGCCTACTCCGGCGACTTGACGACCCCGTCCGAGAGCTCAGTCATGAGACACAACACGGGTATCGTCGTGAGTTGGAGCCCGGAAGAAGATGAGCTTCTGTTTACACAACTTTCTTGGTTTGTCTTGAATTCCTTATACACACGATCATAATTTGATTTTAGTTTCATGATCATCACGATAATCAAACTTAGGTTTTACGATTTTGTTGATTTTCTTGTTGTTTTGTTCTGAATAAATATATATATATATTAATTGTTTGTCTTCCACGAAGCTATACGTCGGAACCGGGTCTTTCGAGTTACCTGGAAGTCGCGTCATATTTTCGAGACAAGGGCGTCAGGGACGTTGCTATACGTTGGAGATGGCTATGTGAAAAAGTATTCTTACTTGTTCCTCAAGTTTTCTTTCTTTCTGCGTTTCTTGCTTGTTCGGGAATTAATCGTTGGTTTTGTTTTCTATTTGGTTTATTATGGTTTCTGTAGCTTAAGAAAGAAAATACCAAGAGAAGAAAAGAAGATCACAATGGATCGGAAAGAGCTGCCAGAGTTGACAATAAGGTCCAGACTTCAGACATAGAATCTCTCTCTCTCTCTCTCTCTGCTGATCTTATCTTCGAGTTCTTCTAATTAATTGTTATCTAAGTCTTTGAGATTTATAAGCTTTAACCGTACCTCATCATCTTGTTAACGTAATCTATGTTTACTTTTGATTTCTTCAGGAGATTATTGATATGGTGGTGGCTTCACAAACATCTCAAAATGGTAAGTCTCTCTCTGATATATATGATTCGACGAATCTTACGAATATGTCAAGAATCCATGGAAAGATTCTAAAAAAAAAAACGGAAAACAGATATGGAAACATTCTTAAAAGTGTTCTCATTATAAATACATGATAATGTAGGGATCAACGACGAGCTTCTTAAAGAGAATATGAAATGTCTCGATAAGATTTCTGAAAATTTGACATCATTAAGAACAGTAAGTATATATAGATCCCTTCTTCAAGTCACCAATTTCAGTCTCTCGAGAAAACAAAACTGCTGAGACAAACTTTTTTCTTTCTTGCTTTCTTTGTTGCAGCTCATGGACAACGCAGACCTCTTCTTAAAAATTGGGAGTAACATCAATATCGTTCTCGAAAAGTAAGTAACATATATCATCAGTTTTTCAATAAGGCATGTCTTTTAGGCAGATCTCTTGATTGCTTGTTTTTTTCGAAACAGAGATCTCTTGATTGTTTAAGCATATATATCATCATAACCTTTTTTGTTTGGTTTTTGATCTTACAGTTTTAATGAGAATATATCGGAGAAGATGAAGCGTATGCCAGCATTGCCGGAGAAGGTGAACGAGAAGCTGTTAGCTGCACTCTTTCCTTCAGCATATCTACAATGAATCTGGCTCTTGTTTTTTTATTTGTTTTTGGTTTTCTCTTCTTCTTTGGTTTCAATTGATGCTTTCATTTATTTAGGTTCTTTCCAACTTCTCCTAGCTTAAACCACAAGTTTTAAGACTTTTGTTATCAGTTGATTTATTTATCAATCAAAAAGCTCATTTGATTGATTTTTTATTTTATTTTTCTGATTAAAATTGTGAAGAACAAAAAAAAAAAACAAAATCAAACATGCTCTGCAAAAAAAGGAAGAAAAAAAATTGGTTATTTTGTGTTAGAAGGAAGGAAGTAGTCTTCGAGAAATAAAGTTTTGAACTTTGCTCCGAATGAGTAAAAATGGATAGACTTAGAGATTGCCTTGAGGAAATGGTGAAGTTCACACTCGATTACCGTGTGGATTTCGTTTTAGGGCTTACCGGTGATTTCTGTTCCGGCCTTCTTTCCGGCGAATCGGTTATTTCTGGCGGTGAAGGGATCGGATCGTCTTCCCACCGTTTTGAAGATACTACTGTAGAAGCATTTTCAGGTGTTCCTGAGTATCCTTTGTACAAGCGTCTTGCTTCAGGTCTGCTGAAATCAATTGATTGTGGTTCTTTCTGTGGATCTTTTGAGAAGATTTCGTTGGGGAAGGAGGTAATCTGGTTGAAGGAGAGAGCAGATGAGTGGAGTAAGCTGATATCCCGAAAGGGTTCCGAGTTAGTCAATGTGAGTATAATATAGATTTAGATCTTCAAAAGCAACATTTTTTGGTTGATAATCTCTGGACTCAATTGTGAATTTGAAGATTCCTACCTTGGAGACTTGGAGTTATTTAGAAATCTGTGAATTTGATTGGTATTGGCCTATTGGGGGTAGTCAGAGTCATCAATGCGTAGCTTTTGGTTTGCTTTTGATTGTTTAGAAGTTTTGTTTACTTTGCAATATTCTAACAGGTCTTGAAGGATGTTGCTTGGGAGCTTCACGTTCAAGAGCCCTTATTCTCCCACATGAAAGGTACTTGTTTCCTTTTTAGATGCCTGAAAGTTTGTGTTCTGAACCGCTTATCTATAGCAATATGAAGTGGCAACAGTTCTTGATTATAATTTCGGTTGCTTGATTTGAATGGATACACTAGATGGTATCAAAACAGTTGAATCAAGGTGTTTTGAAGCTGAGTATGATAGGTATGAGAAGTTGAAAAGTTACTGAGCTTGATCACTTCTGTGTCTCTTGTGTTCACAAATGTTGTTTGATTTCCTCAGACTCAGACGAAGAGGTTCTATGGTTATGGTAAATAAATGTCTAATGTTTGAAGTTCTGGTGAGATATATATGCTGGCATCATTTTGTTTTGCTTGTGTTCCTGCAAACGATTTCTTTTGATAGATCAGATTCTCTCAAATGTTGATATATAGGAAGTTCATCAATATCCGTCCTTTTATGAGCTGTTGAAAGCCGAGAGTTTAGAGAAAGTGTTTCCTGGCACTAAAACTGTGGAAGAAGGTAAGCTTTGTTCTTTGATTGATCTTTAGCCATTAACTACCGTGTAAGTTCTGTTTCTAAGAATATACATTCCTAGGTATGCAAATGTTTAGGAAGTTGTATGATATGGATCAAGAGAATCTCAATGGTGTTGTGGCAATCCATCTTACTAAATCTGTCGTTCAGCCTTGTGTTGCTTTGGCTCACATACTGTCTGTGAGTTCAAGTTCTTTTCCTGTCTTCTCCTCTGTGATTTTATGATTCTTATTCAATGTTTCTTCCACAACCACATTTAAAATTACAGGGATTAGATTACACTGGTGTGCAAAGCCTTCTCGGCCTTTCTCACACAACTGGATCCATTTTTAATGCTCTGCCTCCTCAAAGATCGATTCTATTCTCTTCATTCATGCTTCCATATAAGCCAAAGGTACCACAGAAAAACTAAGATATAGTTTGAGATACATCGTAGTGAATTCTTATGAAAACAGTTATAGCTGTGTTGTATGACATAAGAACTTAGACTCATCCTTTGTCTCTAATGTTAAGATAAAAGGTTGTAGATTAAGCCATGGAGCTAGAGCATTAGCCAAGCACGTTAATCGTAGTAGCGATGGCTTTTGGGGTGTTCTTCAGGGAACTGGTAAATAGCAAATTTGTGCAAGACACCGATGCATTTCCACATCTGAGTATTCCTCTTCCATTTTGTCAGAGTCAGATAAAAATAGGCGTGCAATGGACATTATCAGCCACTTCATTGGCCATTGTTGTTGGATGAACATACATATCGTTCCACCACTCGGGGAAGTGTTCGAGATAAGAGTGGCTCAAGGTTATGGAGCACGTTGGACTCGAGATGGAACCAAAGTATATAGAACATTATCTTATGATTGATCGACAACTTATTTCCATCAGATAGATTTTTGTTCAAAGTGTTTTTTACTGTTGTGTTTCTTGTCCTATTTAATGGCAGTTCATTGGATTTCTTGAGCCGTACATGGAGGGTGGTCACTCCATGGCCTGGAAGCATTAAAACCACACCTGAAAACATCATAGTGGAGTTTTCTCCTGTAGCTGAATCGTTTTGTTTCTTTGTAAAAAAGTGTAAATCGTTTCTTCTCTTGTGACAATAAAAATCTATATCTTTCGTCTGAGTAAAGGGTTTTGTGTTTGATTTATTATGATTTGGGTAATAAACGAGTGAAACAAAAATATAGGGACTAAAATGTAAGAAATGTCGTAAAATTGGGAAAACCTAAATTTTAACTGTGTAAAAATTTCAGATACAAGACTGGGCCTAGAACCCAATATGAATGTTGTTCGATACATGGGCTGGAGTTGAGGGTAAATATGGGAAAACCAAATGAACAAGTCTAGGGTTTCTTCTTGATACCAAAGTGTTAAGAGAGATCTCTTTATATCCTCGCGGCGGTGAATTTGCTCGGCTCTCTCTCTGTGGAAGGCGGCTATTTTCATCGAACAGATACGATCATGGTACCTTTTTTATTTTCTGCGGTCTTTCAATTTCGTTTCATCTCACGACGGCGTCATTGATGTTTATTATTTGGTTAGCGTAGCTCGTTTTGAATCATTCATGGTCTAGTATAGTTGCTCCTCGTGTCTCTTGAAGTATCTTCAAAATGTCGGTTCTTGCATCATTTCACCTTTGATTAGTGCTTGTTTCTTTGGTTAGGATATAGTTGTTATTCGGAGAATTCTGCATGTATGTATCCGAAAATGAGGTCTGGCTTTGCTAATCTCTTGTCTGAGATTATGATCATTAACGTGTGGATTTGGAGTTTTGAAGCTTGTATTGAATTGGTAATTTTTATAAGTTTGATGATTGATTGATTGAAAAAATGTTGCAGCCTAAGCAAATCCACGAGATCAAGGACTTCCTTCTGACAGCTAGAAGGAAAGATGCACGATCTGTGAAGATCAAGAGAAGCAAGGACATCGTCAAGTTTAAGGTCAGATGCTCCAGGTATCTCTACACGCTTTGCGTCTTTGACCAAGAGAAAGCCGACAAGCTTAAGCAGTCTCTTCCTCCAGGTTTGTAATCTTTTACTCTTCTCTGTTTCTACGTTGCACAAATTCTCACACTTTAGAGCATTTGAAAACTTTAAACAAATGCTGGATTTTGGCATGAGTCTTAAACCTGGCTTTAGTTTATTACATTTCCTGAGTTTTCTCAAGTAGACCTTCATGGAAGTATCACTTGCAGTCGCTTGAAACCCTAACAAAAATTGATAATTTGGCTGGATCTTAAACCTAGCGTTGCCTAATTACATGTTTTCTTATATGTATTTATAATTATCTAACTATGCTTAATTACATATGGGTGGATAAACCTTACTTGGCCTTGGCTTCTGTATTATAATTATGTTTGTGAAAACCATCTCGTTTCTCTTGTAATTATAGTATTTATTCGATGCTTGTGAAATCTTATTTATAGACTCTGTTGCACTTTTCAGGTTTGAGCGTTCAAGACCTTTGAAGATGAAGCAAAGTTTCTGCAGATGAAATTTTCTTAGGAGAATTTATTTTGTGTCGTTAAATTATTATGTTCAGACTTTTCCAGTTTAAGTGTGTTTCGGATTGATTCAGTTTGAAAAATCAAATGCTTTCTCAATTCTTAATTTAATTTAGATTTTTTACAATCAGACCACCTCTATCATTAATAACAATCGCATTCATCATAGTAATCATCACTACCAACCGTTCTTTGATCTTGAAATATCAGAGTGACAGTATATCTTGGAAGTTTCGAACTATTTCATAATAGCCTCAGAAAAAAGTAAGGAATTACGTCTATTAACATGGTATTAATTAATACTGGAAAAAATCTAATTCTATTGGGGAATATCCTCATAAAGATATATAACAATCTGATAATATTTTTTTTTTCTGAAAGAAATAATTTACAAACATATGGAAGTTAAAAGAAAAAATTGCCTCATGAGTAAATATAAGCAAAAATTCTTTGTTATATAGATGTGAGTATTTATAATGTTCTTTCTTTTATAATTAATAAAGTACTTGTATAATTAATTTTCTTAGAAATGATATTATATGAATTATTTTGTATACCTTTTTATTTATTTGTAAGAATAATATGAGTTGATTGTATAATTTCCTTTTTTATTTATCATATTTCTATTTGTAAGAATAAAATTAGTAACTTAGAATTAAAGTTTATTGAAAATATACATATTAAATTATTGCTTCTGCATTTTTACAATTGTTAAACACAAATTCTAAATCCAACAAAACTTCTTCTTTTTCGGAAGAAACCAATAAAGACAATTACTTGAAGGCAAGTCTATGCACACCGTTTTTTTAGTATTGTATAAAAGTTGGGTATTGCTTATTACTTTGGTTAATATATTTGCTTCCAACCTTCTTGCGGATAAGAAAATGAACACTATAAAGGAGAAGAGATTTTTTGGAAACTTTCTTGATAATGCCAAAGATTAGTTTATGAACTCTGATATTTGATTACCCTATTAATATCTTTTGATCTTCCTTGTTTTTTTTTTTTTTACTAATTTGGCTTTTAAAAAATAAAATAAAAATGGAAATCGGTTTATTCAAATCCGTTGTGGAGTTGAAGCACACGTTCTTGGAACACTAGTTTACTTTGCTATTTGTATGAGAAATCTCCCATTCACGAGAGGAAAATGTAACTAGATGTCTACAATAGTATTCCAACGTTTTAACTAAGTTTTTTTTTATCTCTTTTATATATTAGACATTTTTCTTGTTCCAACCTTTTTATTATACAATTTTAAAGGATATAATACATAGAAACTGAGCATGGGTTCAGAAGAGAATGCTATATTTTAACATGTTGTTGGTAATGTAGAATTGAACTCATATGAGATTGTTCACATTTTGCACCTTTAGTCGCCATATTAGCATGATCCTACTCCTACATATTCATATTTTATTAACTAGTATCTTACTTTCTATTTAATAAAGGTATTGTCTTGCAAGAAAATTTTGTTAATTAAATTACAAATAATCTTTGGATCTCAATAATCTTCACCTCAATCTCAATATATGGTCTTAAGTTAACAGCGGTACCACGAAGATGAATTTTCTATAATGATTTTTCTTATCGGTCATAACATCTTCATCTGCTATATAATTTCATATATGAGATAACTGAATTATAACTATTATTTTAATATAAAACTTTGGTGGAAGATAAGCTTTGAAATCATATACGTAAAGATTACAAAAGAATCTCATAACAAACAAAATAAACACATCCCACTAGAATCTGTTACATCATCGACTAATGTTTAGAAAATTAAATCATTTATATAAATAAATAGTGTTGTTAATACTCTTTGGTAATGTTTTTTTTTTCTTCTCTAAATGCAAAATGAAAGACTGACAAACCCAACTAGCTGATATGAAAGTTATAAAAAAAAAAAGGAAAAAGTTACTAACTTGGTAAGGAAACTCTCATCTAATAAAAAAAAGGAAAAAGTTACTAACTTGGTAAAGAAACTCTCATCTAATAAAAAAAAAAAACCAAAGTCACAAGGTAAGCAATTCAATCACTCTTAAACTGAGATAAAACCAAATCAGCTAATTGCTGACCAAAGGGAATCTAATGTATTATTGTTTTGCGTCGACCCAAGAGGAAATGTTTTTTTTTGTTCCTTCTTTGTAGCTTCCGAAAGGGGAATCTAATCGACCGAAGTAAGTAAAAAATAACAAATTATATGGTAAAACCGTTACATGGTAACAAAAACTCTATAATGTATTATATTATACTACTAATAAAATATTTATTTCCTCGTGGTCAAAATATTAATAACCAAAGTCTTATGATAGCACGGGAACAATTTATTGAGGGATTTAAGTAGTTGAGCTAATTAAATTTGGCTTAAAAGCCATAAGAAAAATAAGAAAAAGAAAGAAAAAAAAGAGTTAAAAAAAGAAAAGAGAAAGCTGTCTATAGCTCTGACGTTTTTTCCTGTCGAAGTCGCAGACTCGTCATCACAGCTCAAACGAGAAATTCTGGGTTTCTTTCTTCTCTACGCGCATAATCTTCTCATCTCTAAAGGGTAGAACCCAATCGTCTCCTCCTCGTTTCTATCTGAAGAGAGAGAAGAAGAAGAGGGGGATATATATTTATATATATAGAGAGGGTTACAGAGGATGCCAATGATCTCTAAAGCTTCATCTACCACCACCACTACCAATTCATCGATTCCTTCGTGTTCTAGGGTTTACTCTCTCTCTCCCCCCCCCTCTTGTCTTTGATTCTCTCTTTCCGATAAAGTTTATTTTTGATAATTCCGATCCGGTTTTGTGGTTGGTATGAGATTTAGCATTTTTGAGTTCTGTGTTGGTTACTGTTCATATAAAATATATGAGATTTCTCTGCTGGAAATTTCGTAATTCTGATTCTCCCTGTACCGATCTTCGTTTGTATGCTGGAAATTTCCTTTGTAGATTCCTTTAACTAGGGCTAGTGTTGTGTGTATTGGAGTTTGCCTCAGTAGAACTGATTCATTCTTTTTTTTTTGTTATAAAACTGAGAGTAGTAGGTTTGATTCAATCATAAGGGTCAATTACTATCTGCTATTGACTGGTTAGGTGTGAAACTGGCTATTAAATTTTCTAATATAAGCGGTCTATGGTCTGTGTTTTTTTTGTCAACTGCGTTTTAGTTTGACAATCTTTTATTATTTCTATCAGTTTATGATTTGTTGATTGAATTCATGAAACAGATTGGAGGTCAGCTTTGCGTGTGGCCGGGTTTGAGACAACTTTGCCTCAGGAAAAGCTTACTATACGGAGTAATGTGGTTATTATCCATGCCACTTAAAACATTGCGCGGAGCTAGAAAAACCCTTAAAATCACCCACTTTTGCAGCATTTCCAACATGCCTTCCTCATTAAAAATCGAACTGGTTAGTATGCTTATCCTCTTTCTTTTGACTTTGTTATCTTCTGTATCTTATGCCCAGTGTAAATATTGTTACCTTAGTTTATTTTCATACGCTGGCTTTTCTTATTTGTTGGGGATGTTTCAGGTGCCATGCAGTAAGGAAAACTATGCTTATCTTCTGCACGATGAAGACACCGGCACAGTTGGAGTTGTTGATCCTTCTGAGGCTGCACCTGTTATAGATGCATTGACCAGAAAAAACTGGAATTTAACTTACATTTTGAATACTCATCATCATGATGATCACATAGGGGGGAATGCTGAATTGAAAGAAAGGTATGGCGCAAAGGTAAGAGGATACTATTTTCAGTTTAGAACTGTATGACCTTGTTTTTTGTTTCTTTCTGCTCTTTGCGCAAGTTAGCTCTCTCTTTATCATCATTTGCTACCTTGAAGTATTCCTTGCCTCCCGAAGCTATAAAACTTAGAGATCTACACTATAATGGTTTGGTTTTGTGATATAGAAAGTGTGAGTCTAACCAGAAAAATTTGGCTTTCTCAGCCTCTTTGTTTGCAACCATGTTTAGTTGTTCTCTTTCGTTGTTACTTCTGTTATATATACTGAAGTGTTTTTTTACGTGACTTATGTTGCCGATAGGTGATTGGATCAGCGTTGGATAAGGATCGGATTCCTGAAATTGACATACTTCTGAAGGATAGTGACACATGGATGTTTGCTGGCCATGAGGTCCGGATACTTGATACTCCTGGCCACACACAAGGTTAGTAGCTGCAATATACCTCTACTATAACAAGCTATGATATATACAGTCAAGTACTGCCAACTTTAGAAACGTTTTGTGGCTCACTATCATATTTTCATTCTCCATACATTACTGTGTTAACTGCTCTCCTTTTTTACCGTTCTAGTGTAGAAAAACTTAGTAACTTCATGATACTTGGTGCCATGTTTTACTATCTTAATTGTTCTTTTTCTCAAGCAGGCCATATTAGCTTCTACTTTCCTGGGTCAGCGACAATATTCACAGGAGACCTAATATATAGCTTATCCTGTGGTACCCTTTCAGAAGGTACCCCTGAGCAGGTAACATTGATTGAAAATTAGGCTCATAACCTAATCGTTGAATCTGAAAATTAGCAATATTCAGTGTTCTCTATCCTTGCAATCTGTGGTTATTTCTTGTGGCAAAAGTTGTGCTTAGTGATTGCGATTTTTGGAATTGTGTTTTTTTTTTCAACCTTCTCTATCTTTGCACTGTTATGGTTTTATTTTCTTGTGGAAAAAATGTGCCTGAGTGAGTAAAATGTTATAGACTTTATTGAGAGATTACTTGGGAGTACTCTAATAACCTAACTTCATAGTTTCTTCCATAGAAGCAAGCTCCTTGTGTTTTGCCCTTTGTTAGCTATAAAACCTTCTTCTTTTTTGTTGCCTATGTTCAGATGCTTTCATCACTCCAAAAGATCGTGTCGTTACCAGATGATACAAATATATACTGCGGCCGTGAAAACACAGCAGTAAGTTTTACACACATGAATACTACTAATCTTATCTCCTCATATTGGTCAACTCTTTGCGACTTGGTGAATAAACTATTAATATATCCTCCATGATACAGGGCAATTTAAAGTTTGCACTATCTGTAGAACCAAAGAATGAAACTCTTCAGTCCTATGCAACCCGAGTTGCCCATTTGCGCAGCCAGGGACTCCCATCGGTAAAATCTTATTTCTTCCCTATGTCCTCTTGCTCACTAAACATCTTTCTGGATCTCATTTACGGGGTTTTGTATGCAGATTCCAACGACTGTTAAGGTGGAGAAAGCGTGTAACCCGTTCCTCAGAACATCGAGCAAAGATATCCGTAAATCATTAAGCATTCCAGACTCAGCAACAGAAGCTGAAGCACTGCGTCGGATACACAGAGCCAGAGACCGTTTCTGAAAAAAACTTGGGCATCTTTTTTAATTGTATAGAAAATTTGCAAATCATCATCAGCTGCAGAAATGAATATGTTATATTGTTATTATATGTTTTGGGCTTTCTTCATTTCTCCATTTGAATCTGTATTCAAAACAGAAAACATCTAAAGATTTAGTTGCTCAATTATTGAAATTTTCAAGTGTAACATGTGCTTCAGCATACACAACAGACAGCACACGCAAGTGTATACAATAGATACGATTTTAGTTCTCTCATGAAAGAGCTTTACCAAATTTCTAACTTTCGAAATCATTTGTTTGGTGGATTGATGGATTTGGCTCACCAAACGTGAAAACGCAACCGTGCGTCTATATGCTTGCTGTGAACAAAGCCTTCTTAAGTTCTTATAATTAGAAAAGTCACACAACAACTATAAATTATTAAAGAGGTGATTTAATATTATTAGCTCCAATTCAATGGATTTTTGTGAAAAGGTGTCAATATTAAATTATTACTTAAACTTTGATAAAAAAAAAAAAAAAAAGGAAAAATTATTACTTAATACTTACACAGGCGAAGTGGAGAGGTTGCAAGCATATGATACGCCCGCCAAGCAGCTCTTTGTGCACTGACCCAACTCGACTCGGCCTATTTCTGAGTTGACGCGCTCGAGTTAGATATAGAAAAGCGAATAGAGCTGGGGTTTAATTCGGCGACAACAATGGAGGAACATTCCCTCCATAGCGATTCTCACCTCAAGGCCTGTGTCGTCCTCGGCGGCCGAGGTTTCATTGGTCGATCGCTTGTCTCCAGATTGCTTCGCCTCGGAAACTGGACGGTCCGAGTCGCTGATTCCGGTCACAATCTCCATCTCGACGAATCCGATTCGGTCCTTGTGGATGCTCTCTCCTCCGGCCGTGCTTCTTATCACTGCGTCGATGTTCGTGATAAACCTCAGATCGTTAAAGGTTTGCTTCTTAACGCCTTGTGTATGAATGCTTGCACTTTGCTAGATACTGGAATTACTAGGACGGATCGGTGTTTAGTATCTGAGAAAATGCTGTGGGGGAGTTTTTGGATATTTGAGAATTTTTTGGGTTCTGATTTGTGTAATGCATTTGAGTTTTGGTGTTGTTGATGTTGGGTTGTGGTTGCAACATCATATACTTGTTTGTTTCTTTGCAGTTACTGAGGGTTCCTGTGTTGTATTTTACATGGGAGCTACTGATTTACGTTCCTATGATTACTTTCACTGCTACAAGGTTATAATTCAAGGTAAACTTCTTGGTCATTTCTAGATGGTAACCATTTATAGTATCAGTTTAATTTGGGTGGTTTATCTATTTCTCGTATTCTTTGACCCCTTATAGGTACAAAAAATGTGATTTCTGCCTGTCGTGAGTCTGGAGTCAGAAAACTTATCTACAACAGTACTGCTGATGTTGTTTTTGATGGTTCCCAGCCTATACTTGATGGTGATGAATCCTTGAGACGTCCTTTACGGGTAATCCCTTAGGATGATTGTTTTATTGGTTTTTTTTTCTTTGCTCATGTTCAGAGATGATATCTGTTTTGCTCTGATTCTGTTGCAGTTCCAATCCATGTTGACAGACTTTAAAGCTCAAGCAGAAGCTTTGATCAAATTTGCTAACAATCGTGATTGTCTCTTAACTTGTGCACTTCGCTCTAGCATTGTCTTTGGACCTGGTGATACGGAGTTTGTACCTTTCCTTGTGAACCTAGCCAAGTCCGGATATGCAAAGGTCTTACTCTTATTTCATTACATTATTGAGTTTATGTTTCTCATCTTACGATACCTGGTAGATTTCTATTTGGAATGGCATATTTCTTAAGCTTGATGAGTTTTTGCCTTGGTTTTCTTTTGTTTGAGGAATGACTGTCTTCGTCTTTTCAAATTTCAGTTTATAATTGGGAGTGGTGAAAATATGTCTGATTTCACTTACTCTGAGAACGTTTCTCATGCACATATATGCGCTGCAGAAGCACTAGATTCACAAATGGAGTATGTGGCTGGAAAGGTAACCCTGAACCTTAAGTATCTGCCAAAGCACTCTTGGAAGCGCTTGACCTTTATATGTGATGAATTTTTTCTGTGCTGTAGGAATTTTTTATCACAAACCTCAAGCCGGTCAGATTTTGGGACTTTGTAAGCCACATTGTTGAAGGTCTGGGATACCCAAGGTAAATGAAACTCGTTTACGTCTCCTAATTCCTAAGTTGATTGATTTGAAAAATTTCAGATCCTTAGGCCAACTCTCTGTATACCATTTTAATATTTTTCTTCTGTTCATTTGCAGACCATCCATTAAACTTCCTGTTCGGCTGGTTTTGTTTGTTTTCTCACTTCTTAAGTGGACACACCGAAAAGAGAGCCTTGGGAGTAATTATGATACAGCTCATCAGTATGCTCTGTTAGCTTCATCAGTGAGAACTTTTAACTGCAATGCAGCTAAAAAGCATCTTGGTTACACACCTGTTGTGACACTTGAAGTGAGTTTAAATTGGATTCTGTTTTGCTTTTATCATATTCAGCTGGGTTGATAGCTTCCTTGGATTCATTAGCTCTTGTTGGATCTTAGGATGGTATTGCATCAACGCTTCAGTGGTTCTCTCGGGATCTTGAGAAGTCTGATGACATGATGATTCAATCTACGGCAGATCAGCTTCTTGGTTGTGGTAAAGGTTAGAACCATCTCTAGAGTTAACAAAGTGTTCTTGGCTAATTATATAGTTATATTGCTTTAAGTCTCTCTCATTTAGCTATGGGTATGATGGCACACGTTAGTAAGGCTTAACCTGGAAAGAATCTATCTCCATTCTTAATTTAGATGCTTCTAGATGTCTAGAACATGCTGAAATGTCTGCTTGGTCCATTTACTCCTGCTTCTAGACCATGTGATTTTATACGAGTTCCAACTTTATTTCATGCACATATAAACTAACTCTAAGCTAATCTGGGTCAATGCAAGTGTTTAATCTTAATCTCTTTTAATTGACTTGACTTTCCATCTATGTTCTCATGCAGTTGCAGACATCTTGCTGTGGAGAAATGAGAAGAAATCATTCGTTTCTTTTCTTTTCCTCAACTTGTTATATTACTGGTTCTTCTTTTCTGGCAACACATTTACTTCATCTGCAGCCCAACTCCTGTTTCTATTTGCTGTTGCTCTCTATGGACTTGCTTTTGTGCCGTCAAAGATGTAAGTATGAATTCCGAAACTTTACCACTATAGAGGACAGACAGTAATCTTATCTTGTGATATCACAGTTTTCCTAGCAAACGTGGTGCATTTAAGTCATAGTATTGTTTAGTTTTCTATGCTTTTAAGTCACAGTGTTATTTATTTTGACAGTTTTGGTTTTCAAGTCAAGAAAATACCCCCGTGGAGATTTGAAATCTCGGAATCAGCTATAAGAGATTTTAGCAGAGATATCGTAGTTGTGTGGAACCACGGAGTTCGCCGTTTTAAATCCCTAAGCAGAGGAGGAGACTGGGTCAAGTTCTTCAAGGTACAATTCTACTCTATACACAAGTCTCTATGCCCAACAAACATGGAATGAACCTCATTTCTCTCGTTTCCTCAAACCAAAAAACAGATTGCGGGATCGCTATATCTCCTCAAACTGATCGTATCCCGTTCATTGGCGGCATTTCTTTTCACAGGTACTTGAACAAAACTTTTGTTTTCACTCTGCATAAACATGATTCTTTATCCAAAAATCAATCCTGTCCATAACATTGTCTGAACGCTTTGCTGAACAGTGCTGTCTTTCTCGTTCACCGCTTTCTTCATGTACGAGCAATACGAGCTTGAGCTCTATCACCTAGCCCGGATCTTTATTGAATGCTTAACAGCTGTTAAAAGGAGGGTGATGCCTGTTTCTGATGCTTCATCTAAACCAATGTTCATGTGAAGCTTCCAAAGTCCACAAAACGAATACCAACAGTCCCAGAGAGACTAATTGAAGTGATTTAGATGTATTTGTACAAACAGTATGCTATATTTCAGAATGTAATCTTAAGAGTGGAGAGGGATATATAATTACGATTATTTACGACTTTGCCATGTCTACTTAAAACGCAACGTTTCGTTCCGGATTCCAAAGAATAAAATAAAATAAAATAAAAGTAAAATAAAGGGAAAGTTATCTATATATCCCTTTAAAAGCCGCCGCTTCGATTCCTTCTGGCCTCTCTTCTCTTTCTCTTTCAATCTAATCTTCTTCTTCAAACTCTTATCTCTAGGGTTCTCTTCTCCTCTCTGTAGGTAGGATTTGAAAACTCAATCTCCCCTTCAAATTTTTTCTTACTCAACGTACCATTGGCTTCATCGCACAATTCATCCCTCGTCGATAGTCGAAATCTCATAATCCCAAAGGTAAAACAATCAATTCAGAAGGATACGAATCTTGGATCCTTAGGATTATTGCCAATTGAACCAATCCCGATGGCGTTAGCTATGAAGCCATTCAGAGCCGACGATTCGGGTTTCAAATCGAATAATCTTTGGGTCGGTAGCCTTACGATGGAAACGACAGAGTCAGATCTGACGGAGCTGTTTGGAAGATACGGCGATATTGATAGAATCACGGCGTATTCTTCACGTGGATTCGCGTTTATATACTACAGACATGTGGAGGAAGCCGTCGCAGCGAAAGAGGCTCTTCAAGGAGCAAATTTGAACGGGAGTCAGATTAAGATCGAATACGCGCGACCGGTTTGTTCTTATCTATATCTTCGTTTGTTCTCTAACTTTGATTGTCTTTTGTCAACGATTATACTGTTTTTGCGAATTCTTAGTCCAGGAGGTTCATATAACTTTGATGATGCTTGTTTAGTTAAAAAGTGTTTTTTTTTTGTTGAATTTGGGTTCTATTTATTAGTTATTCCTCGTACAAATCGAAGTCGAAACCTAGATTTTTCTGTTATCTATCTATCATAGCGCAAGGCCAAACCTGATCCGATCGTAAAAAGAGAAACGCAAATTCTCAAACTACTTTGGTTTTTTGAAACACTGTCAAATCAAACTCGCACTAAGCCAAACAACAGAGAGCTTACCAGTCAAAGCGTATAAAGCCTTATCGCTGCAAAAGAATGCGTCCGAATCCATGTTTTCTAGTTTGCATCTAAGGTTTTGATTCAACTGTGGATTGCTTCGGTCTGCAGTATCATTAGCAGCGATTTCTTCAGACTTGTATCCGCGTTTGGCAGTCTGTTTTCAGGTTCGCTCACAGATGTTAAATCCTTACAAGCTTTGAGTATGAATGAATTGCGTACAGCACTTGAAAATCGCCAGCAAAGTTGAAAATTTGGAAGCTAGCATATCGATCATCAGCCAAACAGATTATAAATTGGGAGTTTAAAAGTGTTCCTGCCAAAACCAAACGGTATGGAGAAATTTTGACTATGGTGATATCAATAATTGGGGGAAGAGTTTTTTACAGAATATTGTGGCAACGTATCGTCCAAATTCCTAGGCTCGGTGGCACAAATACATATCAGCGTGGGGGAGTTTTGGGTTTGTTTATCCTCGATGCTACAGTAGGGTAAATTACGTGGCTGAAGCGGCATTAACTCTACCAATCAGATACGTAGTTGAGGATAGATTCATTCATGCTGAAAGAGATGGTTTTTTAATCTTTTTGTGAAACGAGTCATATGAAGATCCAAGCCTGCTCCTCAATTCTTGCCATACGTTCAGTCAGTCTAGGCTTTCCAATTATTTTTCCTGAAGGAGTTGACTTCTTCACGACCATTCTGGGATTGATATATCTGCAGAGATCAAGACAAAGATTCATTAGTAGGCAGACTCATATTACAATGTCTTGCCGGCTCAAAGTACTTAATGGGGTGTCCAGGGATTTGTTTTTCTGGGATTCAGGCAATGATGAAGACAACAATGCTTTGCAGAAAATGCTAATGTCTTGCTGGCTTTGAGACTGACATTATTATCCTGCAGACCAAATGTGTGTTTAGTCAAGAGAAATTGTCAACACTAATTGATAGAGGAGGATGATGTGGTATCCTTGCAGAAATGTTGTTAAGTTAGGATAGCAATTGATATGAATTGGTGTCTAATTATGTAGTTGGAATTATTAGTCAGTTTGTGTTTTTAATTTCATTGATGTTTGAATGTTTGATATCTTTGAAGCTCTATTCTTACCAACCTGTCTTGGTATTATTATATCGCCTTCTTATGCACCTTTTGTTGTTGCAGGCAAAACCTTGTAAGAGTCTTTGGGTGGGTGGAATCAGCCCGAGTGTCTCAAAGGATGACCTGGAGGAAGAGTTCAGCAAGTTTGGGAAAATCGAGGATTTTAGGTTCCTTAGAGAACGCAAGACAGCTTTCATCGATTATTATGAGATGGATGATGCTTTACAGGCTAAGAGCATGAATGGAAAGCGAATGGGTGGTAGCTATTTGCGGGTTGATTTTCTCCGGTCGCAAGCGCCAAGAAAAGTAAGCTCAGACTTTATTTTAAAGAATTGCATCAGACTTTTAGGGTTGAGCTCTGTCTTCTGCACCTAGGATTAACAGATTTTTTTTGTGAATTCTTACTGCTTTATAATACCACTTCATATCTGTGTCTCTATTCCATAGTAGAGTCTGCTCATCTATTTTAATTCTGAAATCAAGTTATATTTTCTTTATCTTTAGGAACAATGGGCTGGCTCTTATGATAACAGGAATGGCAATATGAATCAGAAACCGCAGGTTAGTCATAAACGTTGAAAATAGTATGTTTCTTGGTACTGGTTTATCTGTAGATCAATTGGCCTTGACGTATTGGTGTATTCTGACAGTATCCTCACTCATATGAAGATGGTAAAGGAGATGGCCAGCCAAGTAAGGTTCTGTATATTGGGTACCCTCCTATGTATCGGATAGATGAACAAATGCTACACAATTCAATGATACTCTATGGTGAGATAGAGAGGAAGAAGAGTTACCCATCAAGGCATTATGCACTTGTGGAGTTTAGGAGTGTGGAGGAAGCTCGCCAGGCCAAGGAAGCGCTACAGGGGAGGTTATTTAATGATTCTAGAATCACAATAATGTACTCAAACGAAGAGCTGCCTCCTGAGGAAAACCATACTAGTTTTTACTCTGGTGTGAAACGATCAAGGCCAGATATGTTCAACAATGATCCTTCATTTGTATCTTCTCCTCATTCTACTGGAATTCCTGGGTCTATGAGGCCCTTCAGAGGTAGCAATGAACATCCTTATAATGGTTCAGAATACAACGATGTTGTAACTAAGGAGCCAAACTGGAGGAGGCAATCACCAAATGGAACTGGAATACTCCCATCTCCAACAGGAACTGGAATCCTCCCATCTCCTGCACAAGGTATGAGGCATCCTACGAGGCCAAATCCTGGTTCTTGGGAAGGATATGATCCTGCTCAGTTGGACAGGGAAAGTAAACGAACCAGAAGAGATGGATCGGTGGACGGTCTTACTCCAATGGGTGTAGATGAGAGGTCATATGGGCGTGGTTCAGGTGCTGCTAGGCCTACCCGTGGTTACCCTGATTCTGACATGTGGAGAGGAATGATTGCCAAGGGTGGAACTCCCGTCTGTTGTGCTCGTTGTGTACCTATTGGAAAGGGGATTGAAACTAAACTGTGAGTACCATTTACAGTATTTTAACCCTTCTAATAATGTTTTCATTCTTTTAGAGAGAACCATATAGTTTCTTTACATTCTTGATGGAAGTAAGAGGTCACTATTTTAGATAGTAAAATTGTAGGTTTAACTATTGCTTGTATAATTTCTGAGATGTCTTGATTTAAATGGTGCTGATGCATTTATGATTTAATTAATGACATTACCCTCAATTGCTGACTTTTTTTATAATTATAATTGGTCTCTAGCCCTGAGGTCGTCAATTGCTCAGCAAGAACTGGTTTGGATATGCTCGCCAAACATTACACCGAAGCCATTGGATTTGAAATCGTTTTCTTCTTACCAGACAGTGAAGAAGATTTTGCGTCTTACACTGAATTTCTCCGGTACCTTGGCTCAAAAAATCGGGCGGGTGTTGCAAAATTAGATGATGGAACAACTTTATTTTTGGTACCTCCATCAGATTTCTTAACTGATGTACTCAAAGTGTCCAGTCGAGAACGGCTTTATGGTGTTGTTCTCAAGTTGCCTCCACCAGCCGTTCCTGTTGCAGCATCATACAGACAAGAATCTCAGTTCCACCCACTGCCTTATACAGATCAAGCCCGGGATTCACCTGCCAATGTCAGTCACAGTTTATATCCTCGTATGGAAAATTACAATATGGGTGCACCAGAACATTTGACAGCTCCTTCAAAACCATCCGTTAGTGAACCTCTCAGAATACCTAACAGTGCAGCGGCTCAAGCTGGAGTTAGTTTAACTCCTGAGCTTTTAGCCACTCTGGCATCTTTTCTCCCTCCAACTTCTCAACCTGCTCCCCCTGAGAGTCACCAACCTGTGTCCGGCACTTCAACAGTTGTTTCTACAGTACCTCAATCCACTGTACTGTACAATGCAGAAGCACCATCAAATCAATCATTCCAACAATATGGAAGTCAATACACTCAAGCAGGGCAGCTACCTCCTCCTCCTCCCCCTCCTATGCGTTACCCTCCAGCTTCAAACAACCCCAGCTACTCTAGTGGAATAGTCCATGGCAACATGCAATACCAAGGCCAATCTGTTAACATGCCTCAGCTGTCTCCGTTACCAAATATCCCTCAAAATAGTTATGCCATGTACACTCAGGGTTCAACAAATTTTCCTGTTTCTCAGCCCATGACACAGCAATACCGACCAGAAGCTTCCATGCCAAACCAAAACTATGGTCCAATTTCAAGCTATCAGCAACCTAATTATCATGGCGTAACAACAAATCAGGTGCCTAACTTAAATCCTTCCCAGTTTCAAGTTGGGATGCAACCACCAGCTGACAAGGCAAACTTAGAGCCACAAAGCCAAGCACCACAGTCGCAGCCTATGCTCTCTGGGGGTGGTCAGGGTACAACAGATGGGGATGTTGATAAGAACCAGAGATACCAGTCAACACTACAGTTTGCCGCAAACCTTCTTCTCCAGATACAGCAGAAGCAGCAGCAACAGTCTTCAGGCACTCCGGCTGGACAGGGGCCTTGAAACTACTCCACTCGCCATCACAATCTTCAAGGTAATCATCTCTGTCTTCACCCTCTGGTTGTTTATTAAACTGATGTAGCATAAGATTTATTGAAATACTTCCTTTCTTGTCGCATTTGATAAGCATGTGCTCTCTGGAGTTTTTCTTGCAATCTTTTTGCATTTTACTGTGTATTTTTATATAGGGTACAAAAATAGGACTGCTTCGCCGAAATATATGAACAATTTATTTGTGTTGCATGCATTATCGTTGTCGCGTTACCAACTTTGTTCTTTTGATTCTTCCGTGGAGCTAGTACTGTAGTATACATCTAACATCTAATCTAATCTAGCATTCTTCTTATCACATGTAAATTTTGCTTTCTTTTGAATCCCCTTTGTTTTCTTGGAGCTATGATGGAGTGTGTGTGCCAACGGTTACTTATTAGCATACCTTGGATTTGTAAATTTTGTAAAAGTGATAAGAATATACTTTTTGATTAGGATTTCTATTTGTTGGTATAGAAATACAACATTCGGTGCTTCAGCTTGCAATACCCTCTTTTATACTAAAGATAAAAAGGCAAAGAATCTTGACTGCGATCAGTAAATAGCATACAAAGATGACCTGATAGCAGAAAGCCAATTTGATAAGCTTGAAAACACTGTACGAGAAAAATCTGATGAACAGGCTGATGATGCATATACTCTTATCCTTTACAAATCCTCGTAAAACATTAAAGAGAAAACAACAGATTCAATTGTGATTTGCATTTTTTATGAGCTTAGAGATGGGCGAATTGAATTGGATGAGGGAATCTTAGAGGCCGTGTCACTAACTCAATACTTGTTTTGAAACTGTATAGGTGGTGGTTTGAGGGCTAAAAGTGCTAAAACTTACCTGACCAAGAGAGAGGCTTGTGCTATTGTAAGAAGTGTGCGAACAAGATCCTACAGACGCGACCAAACGTTGTTAGCTCATCTTCGTTTTGTTTTTTCTTCGATAGGTTTTTAAATGCGTGTTTAGATGAAAAAGGCTGTATAAAAATGAATGTGATTTTAGATTGTTTTTTCTAATTAGTTTTTTGTTCTTCGCATAAAACATATGCTTGGCATTTTGTCAAAATTGTTGATGATACTTCAATGGAGAACCCCCCAGAGTTTTTCTTTGGTTTTCTTAAATCTCGAATTACCTGTTATGTAATGTCAAGTGAAAGATACAAACAAACGAAGCACTACAGCACATTTTCTATTTAAGAAGTTGAACAAATTGGATTTTGGTCAGGCCACTTATTTATCGGATATGGTAAAGTGAGGGTTTATGAATCTTGGGAGACTACATGAGGGAATAAGCAGGACCTCCACCACCTTCCGGCACTGTCCACTCTATGTTCTGCTTAGGATCTTTGATATCACATGCCTTCAAGATTTTTTTTATAAAAAGAAACAAGATAGCGATTTAAACTTCTCCAAACAATCGACTAACATGAATACACATAATTTAACACAAGTACATTATGTCAACGAGTGATGCATACCTTGCAGTGCAAACAGTTTTGAGCGTTGATCTGTAGTTTCGGCTTTCCCTCCTCATCCTCAACATATCTTTTTTAAGTTTTGAATCAACATACGAACCATGATGAGTATCTTGTTTCAGAAAGTTAACTATTGATCAAATTGTACATGGACAGAGACAGGGGAGAGAAACAGTGATGAGTTATTACTCGTAAACACGGGCTGGGCAGTAACGTGACTCTGGTGCAGCATACTCTGGAAGGTTTACCTTTTCTGGAATCTTGGAATCCCTCAAGCGCAAATGAGATAGTTGATCATGATCATGATTGGTATTACTCCTGTTATCATCATCATCATCATTGAACATTTAGATGCAACCGCTCGTAGATACCATAGGACGTGAACTTTTACATTATAAATATATTGCAGTGTGTGTTATGGTACAAACCTATATAACGAAGTTGGCACATCAAATGACAAAACACCATCTGGCTTTGCATACTCAATTGGTGTACATTTTCGAGCAAGCTGTATAAAAAATGTAGCCCAACTTTAGTTGTGTTTTTGTCAGTGTCAGAGTGTTCAGTGGATTATCTAATTATAGTTGAAATAGTTAAGGCTTATCCGGGTGCTTGTCTGCTTACATTTGTTGCTTCATGGTCAGCTTTCCCGTGCTTGAGCGTGAAAGGGACCTTTCCTTTCAGTACATAGCTGCATAAGCAAACACAAATAGTTCAGTTATAGCAAAAAGAAATTGATCATAAAAACACGGCAAAAGAAGAATCAAGGCCAGGTCTTACTGTTCCATAGCACTTAAGGCCAAGCCAGGGAGTAGCCCATACTTGAATGCCTGCAAGGATATGAGATTAAGATCTTATCTTCCGGTAAAGATCAATTAGACAGAAAACTATATACACTGATCTATGTTCATGATATTACGAACAGGACGGTAGTTTCGAGCTGCGTAGAGCTCCTTCCACACCCAAGAATCCCGCAGGTTGTCCCAGTATGTGTTCATGTTTATACCTTCATGAAGTACACCAAATGCAGCCTCTGCTGCCAACATTCCTGTAAGATATTGATGACATTAAGATGAGAATTCTATGATGAGACAATGAAAAAACCGTATTTTACCAAAGATCTATTGTGACCTGATTTCATTGCTGTATGTGTTCCCTTAATCTTGGGCACATTGAGAAAACCAGCTGAACATCCAATTATTGCTCCTCCAGGAAAAACTGGATAGGGAATGGACTGAAATTTTACTAGCATCAATTTCAAATATGTTATAAAATGTCAAACAAATTCACAAGGCTATCCAGAAATATTATTTCCCAGTCTATAAAACTAAACTATGTGTATTACATGCTATAGAAAATGCCAATACCAAAAATGGGAATTAAGGACCTGCTTTCAAAAAATCAATGCAGCAGTTATATCTAAGGGAGTGAGTTTCAACTCACCTGAAAACCACCTTCATTCAAAGTACGAGCTCCATATTGAAGCACAGTACCACCTTCCAAGATGCGTTTAATGGCAGGATGGTGTTTGAGTTTCTGTTTAGAAGATTAAATGATACTGTTCATCAAACTTCTCAATTTTGAATTGCCTTATTAGAAAGGTATTCACTGGAACCGGTTAAAAGTCTTATCGTAATGACAAATTGACATACCTGAAATTCCTCATACGGATTCAGAAAAGGGTTGTGGTAGTTCAAGGCAACAACCAACCCAATCGCAACCTATTTTGTTGAAAAGAAAACTCCAATTGAGCTACCAAAATTGGAAGGAGATAAAACAATGTTCTCTCAACCGTACCAAAGAATCTTCTAAGGGAGAGATGAGTTACCTGTCTATCGTCCATGTGGTACAAGAAAGAACCTCCATATGTCTTGGGATCTAAGGGCCAACCCAATGTGTGAACAACTTCCCCGGGGTTATGCTTGCTTTCATCTATCTCCCAAACCTGTTGAGCTAAAAGTATCAGCAATTAAAATGACATATGGCCAACAGTTTACACAGAGACACTATTAAGTAAACCTGAATTCGAGTTACAATTAGGTCAAGGATAGAAGTGGTTACCTCCTTAATTCCCAAAGCATATGTCTGATGTTGAGCATTAACCTCCTCTCTTAATTTATACTTTTTAATGATTCTCTGCACAAATGAGGGTAAGAACTTCGTTAGCATCAGCAGTAGATGCAGGAAAGCTGTATGTGTGTGTGTCTTTATAATCAAAACTCTTCTTCTGACCTCGGACAATGATCCTCTGCATCCCTCTGCAAATAGTGTAACTCGCCCTGTGTATTAAAAGCACATATCTTAGTAAAGGAGAGACTTATATAAGATGAGAGAGAGAAAGATAGGGGAAAAGAGACAGAGACCTTTTATGTCAACACCTGACTGGAAATTCTCCTTCTTGGAACCATCTTTGGATATACCCATATCTTTGGTTGCAATCCCAACAACTTTATCACTTGCATCATATAACACCTGAAGAGAGATTACTATGCAAAACATCAAATGATTTCAAGAATATAAACTCAAGTAGAAGCACAAAATTACCTCACTAGCAGAAAAACCAGGATATATCTCAGTTCCAAGCTCCTCAGCTTTTCCTCCTAGCCAACGCACCAGTTGACTCAAACTGTATATACAAACATCACCAAACACCAAAACATCTCAAATGAAACTTAACCATGGACATAAAAAAGTAGTAATAGCTTCACTCTTACACATACCTGATAACGTAGTTTCCCTTATTATCAAACGGAGAAGGAAGTGAAATTGCACGATCTTTCGTCAAAAACCAGAACTTATCAGAAGAAGCAGGGATCTCAATGGGTGTCTGCAAACAAGGCATCCCAGGAAAACAACAAGGATATGAACAATTTTTCCTTCCACTTTGAATTTCAGATACAGATTTTGGTCTTTTCCTTGTTTTTAACAAAGAGAATACAACAAAATTTGTAGGACAAAAAAACAGACAAACCTGCTCTTGTCTCCAATGTGGGAGAAGTTCGTCAAGTGCCACAGGTTCAAAAACATTCCCAGATATGATGTGTCCTCCTGTACAATGAAATCTCAAGAGATACATAAAAGCACATATAACTTCTAAAGATCATTACTTTAAGAAAGAGAGATTAAAAAAAAAAAGAAAACAGACCTACTTCTGCTCCTTTCTCAACGACGCATACAGAGAGATCAATGTTCTTCTCCTGAGACAGTTGTTTCAATCGTATAGCAGCAGATAAACCGGCCGGTCCAGCTCCGACAATCAGAACATCGTACTCTATTGACTCTCTCCCCGCTTCACTGCTGATACATCTACTAATCCTCCCATTCAATCCTAAAGTCCTCGAATTTGAGCTTAAAGGTGACAGTTTTCGAAACAACTCGACGGAATAAGGATACCCAGATCGATTCGCTGGACTTGGAGTTGACGCAGAGGAGAAGGAGGTAAAAGGTTTTGACGAAGGCAACAGAGGGAGAATCAGATGGTGATCCTTGGAGCTTCTGAATTGAGTCGAAGAAGAGAGCTTTACAAGGAATCTATGCATGATGGATCACTCAGTAACTAAAGTCTAAGGATCATCGAGGAAAGGATTAAGAACTCATTAGAAAAGCTTCGAACTGACTCGGCGATGATGTGGCATCTCTCTTTATCTAAAATTAAAACATTAAAAAAAGGAAACTGACGACAAAAAAAAAAAAAAAGGAAATTACTCTGGGGTTAAAAAAGGAAATTAACGACCGGAACCAAAAAAAAGGAAATTAACTTTGGGGTTAAAAAAGGGACATTAACATTCCAAATCCAGATGAGAACATTTTTTAGTACATGTACAGGTAATTACCTTTTTTTTTTAATAATTCTATGTCTATAATCAAAATTTTAAGATTTTAATAACCAACTGAAAAACATGTAATATGTAGCGACATGATAGTCGTCATATGAGTATGACCAAAATAACATGAGATTCCATATTTGGTGCAACACGTCACCAACCATTATCAAACACAAATATTTCATAATTGTTCAACCAAAATTTCACCCAACTCTCCCTCTCGTGCATATATATACACGTACGTAGTAGCATAGAGGAGAGGATACACACGCTCGCTATATCACTCTTCTTACAAGTTACAATATTGCTTGATTTTTATGATGCCGGAACAAACGTACATGTACGCCTATGTAACGCTGCCGCAGGATGACCAGCGAGAACGCGACTCTCAGAAATGTTATCGGGACGGAAGACGGGTGGTGTTGGCAAGCTACGACTTGATGGGATCAGAGAGTTTCAGTTTTAAAGGGAAGCTAAGGCAGTCGATGAAAGGAATGAACGAGTCGGCCGAGCGGTGGGTTTCCGAAGTGCGTCAAGGTACCACCAAGAGACGTTTTGCGATTAGAGTTTTGAGGACAAAACTTGGCCTTTACTCTTGCTTCATTCGTAGTGTTGGATTTCTTACTTCTTGTGTGGGAGCACGGAGATAATTTCATAAAGTTATTAATCTAAGCCTATATTATTTATCGATGTTGCTCTTTGTACATATATATTTGATTTCATACACGCACACACGTATGTGAATATGTCAATATCCTACATTGAGAATCAAGTTGAACACTTTGTCGACTGAATTTATAAGGTTTGGATAGACTTGCTATATTTATTGTGAGCGGTATTTTGTAATCAGAAAATCAAATTGATGATCACATTGATTTCATGAATCATGACCATTATGAATAATTGATGATCACAAAATTCACGTTACCAATTAGTCTGAATTATGGCTGAGATCGAATTCTTGACTATCCAAGAAAATGCATGTCTTATTTAGTTATAAAATTACATTTTCACCCAAAACATAAACAAAAAAAAATACAAATATGTGTAGACAGTTTATCTATCCACAATTATAGAGTTTATCTAAAAACAAAGAAAACAAAAACAAATATATGGACATCACTCCTAGAAAAATAACAAAAATGGTTATTTTCAGTGGTCCACTTATTTGAATATTTAGGGATATGTATATAGTTAAAAATATTAATCCTCCGTATAGAAAATGAAAACACAAAAGTTGATTAAATAATGAGGAGGTAATATAATGAAGGTTTAGGAGAGCGAAGGCTGAGGAGCAGGGCCAGGACCAGGAGCTGGAGCTGGAGCATGACCACAACATTTAGTGATGAATTTGTTGCAGCAAGATTTATTCTTCGCTGCGCCAAGGAAATCATATAATTGTCGTCCCTCCTCAGTATGTGTTAGCCCTTCCAATAAGTACCGTCCGAAAATAGTCCGGCCTTCAACTTCGGTCACGGTCATTGCTGCTATCATTACCAATAAGGCAATAGTGACCATCGCACTTCTCCTTTCATACGCCATTATTCTATTTTTCTTGCAAATTTTTTTTATGGTTTTTTTTGTTTTTGTATTTTTTTTTGGTTTTCTGAATTTTTGATTGATGATTATGGAGTGTAACCATCGGTGTGTTTATATGGTAAACCAAGCTTCCAAATTTAGTAAATTTCTATTTTAGATAGCTTGTTGAATGTTTCTTGTGGATGGTATTTGAGTGAATCATATTCTTACTTTTATGCATGTTAAACGGGAGTATTTTCTAACTTGGTATTTAATTTGGTCTTCTACCCAAAAATACGGATATAGAGTAATGAAAAATCTTAACATAAGTACGAGATTGATGAATACTAATATATATATATATATATATATATATATATATATTTAAATGAAATTACATATTTATTTGTAACTAAATGTCAGATACATTCCAAGCACATAATTGACGTCACAAAATATGAATATAAGATCTCAAATTGTAGGGGTTTTTTAATGGTAATGTTGTTTTTCGAGTTCATGAGTGGTTGGAAACTTGGAATCACCTCCTTTTATGTCTTGCTTAGTCGATAATGGTCTTAATTGCTGATATATAAAAACGTTCATATAAGAAACATAAAACTTGATGATTTTAATAGTGTCATTTCCTAATAGAACATGAGAAATCAATTACAAATCAAATCAAGATTGACATGGCGGCTTATTCCACTTGTAATTGTTTTTCCTTAAATGGGCTTATTGATCGATTTTCAAGATTGACATGGCGGCTTATTATTGTATATCCGAGATAGTATAATATATTGTATAAACATGTTACATGTGTATGACCAAATAATAAACCGTAGTGTATGAGATTCCTTAATTGTATATTTGAATTATGGCCAAAAGTATTCGATCGTCGTTTTTTCTTAGTTGAGAATCTAAACTCAAAATAATATTGTATGTCCATTGATATAAAGGAAAAATGTAACACAATACAAATGTATCTGTGGACGGTTTATCTTTCCGGCCACAACTATATATATACATTGATGATTCTCTACAAAAATATAACAGACTTGGCTCGTATATACATCGCTAATCCATGTTTAATTATGTTCAATCTCCCACTTATCTAAATATATAGCTTGGAGAAAGGGAAAATATATATATATAATAAGAAATGAAGAAGTTAATGGTGAGGAAAACAACAAGTGTGAATGAAGACGTTGCAACAACCTCCACCAAAATCAGCTAAGCTCCGTCGGATATGAATTCGGCCATCAGCTTCGGTGGCGGTCGTTGCTACTATCATTATAATTATGGCCATTGACACTATCGTAGTTTTCATTCCAAACGCCATTTTTTTCCTTAGTAATATTATAATGTTTTTTTTCGTTTTTAAACGATATAGTGTATTTTATACGGTAAGCCAAACTTCCAGATATAGTAAATGTTTAATTTAGTCAAAGTTGTCGAAGGTGTTTCTTGTGGATGGTGTTCAATTTTTATTTTTAGTTTTCTATACATGCGATCCGACCAGACTCTCTCTCTCTTTCACAAGCTATATTGGGCCCGAGTAATGGGTTCTCTCTCTCTATCACAAGCTATATTGGGCCCGAGTAATGGGTGCATAATGGGCTCAATAAAGAATAGTTCAAAAGTCCGTTATGCATTCTCTAATGAAAAGGCTAGGGTTTTGCATCTCTCTCATGGTCGCTCGCTATATAAATATGAAATTTATCTATCTCTCCCCGCATAAGTCAGTCAATCATCTCTTTTAGTTTGAAATTTCTTCATTTCATATAGATCTGTGTGGTGTTTCGAATGTTTAATGTTTTTGATGAAAAAGGCTCCATTTTTACTGAGTCAACAGCAGGCGCCGCTTTAATGGCGACCTGACTGCCGCTTGGAGCCTAGATCAATCTGCCAAAGGAAGACCCATGAATCTGATTTATTCAGTAGGTTCATGATTCAATACTCTTGGCTACATATATTTTGTATTATTTTTGTTTTTCTTTTGGTGTGTGTGGGGGTGAAATGGGGGATGCGATAAAGGGTATAGATTGATTGGGCATTAAGTCAGACACGGGTGCTTGTTGGGTTAATAAGAAACAGCAGAGCTACCTTTTGCATGGTGCCTAAATAAAAATTTATAGCTTCTCATCACGATTGGAGGCAGTCTTGATCTGATGTCTTCCCCATGGCTTCCTCCAAATTTAAAGTAGCTACATTTTTTTTATATTCTTACGAATGATATATCTGAGGGATTCGTTTGATCTTTGTATAGAACTGTGACAAACTTGTCAATTGATGTTTTTGGCTTACAATGTGAATAATGGGGGCTGGATTCTATCTATCAGTCAAAAAACTTTGCGTTGCTTGGTCTATAATAGGCCCATGTGCTGACTGAGTGTTGAGTTTTGGGAGATGATTACCTGTGATTTCTGATTGAAGCCTTCCCGAGAGATAACTGTGTTCAGTGGCACAGTATTTCTAATAAGATGATTGGGAAGAGAGTATGGATAGTACCTATTTCGCGTTGAACATATGTTTTCAACCCAGTTTTGTATGATTCATATCATGTTTGAGGTTTTGTTATACTATTGATAAAACAAGTTGGATATCCTTGACAGTTAACTAAACTCAGTTGTCCTCTTTGCCTCCGGAATAAAAGGCAGAATAATTGCTTAATTGGATCTGGTGCTCTTGCATGATTACGAAGCTTTGAGAGTTGCTAAGAAAGAGAAATAGCAATTGTTATTATATTTTTGTGTTGAAAACTAGTTGTAAAACCTCTTGTGGTGACACAGTCATGGTATACGCGTGAGTCTATTAGTTAAATCTAATCTGGCACAATCTATGAAACTATAGTAACGAAATAGTATGAATAAAGGACCAAGTTTTGTAGATAAAGAGAGGTTGAGGTTATTATGGATGACGACGTTTGCATGTGGATAATGTTTGAACAGAACTCTTTTTTTTTTACTCTACTTATCGGTCATAGATAAAAACATTCGCAATTTCACACTTAATGGTTTTGGTGCTCGGAGATGCATCTCGAGGAACTACTTTGATTCCACTTTCGATTTCAATTCTTTTGATAGAGTTTTGAATCTGATAAGAGATGTTACGGGAAGCCATGAAAGTATCCTTTTCACTTGTTTTGGAGCAAGTTTGATTGAACTTAGACCAACAATATAGGGGTATCTTAGCTCCATTTTCAAAGAAAAGATGTCTCCTTCATCTTTCGTGTCAATGTGTCTATTTCTTTTCCGAAACTTCATATTTCATATATATATTTTGTTTTTGCCCTTTTCCTTTTTTTTTTTTGTTTTTTTCCTTACCAGATACGAACTTAAATCTTTTATTTGACTTTCCTGTTTTTCTTCTTTTCTACTTTTTTTTTTTTTTTTTAATTTTCCAAAAGGGACAATAGCTTATACAGTAACTATCTCTCGGAACCTACAAAGATTCAGTCAGAGGAATAATGATCTCGACTAGAGGACCTCCTATGATGATGGGAATACATGTCTTTATGACGTTTGTGAGAACGCTCTTCTTCTGTGCGTTTCGATCTTTTCCTGCCAGATACTTCACCCTTGTTGTCACCATATCTATCTTCCATACCTCGTGGTCTTTCTTTTATATCGGAACGGGACTCTGTCCTAGAAGAATGCTCCTCTCTGTCTTTGCTGCGTCTTCTACGAGAACTCTGTGTGTGTGAGCTCGACCTCTGACTGTGATGAGACCTACGACTGCTTCGCTCTTTAAACTCTTCTTCCCTTTCTACAGAACTCTTTTCCCGATAATATCCTTCCTCTCTATCCGACACACTTCCTTTTCTCCTCGGAGGTGATGGGACCTGCATCCACAAACAAGCTATGGTGCTAAGAACTTTAGTTTTGTACCCATCAGCTTTTGTCTAGACACATTCCACAATCCCATCAATATGCCACTTCTAGCATAAGAACATGCACAAAAGACCCGCTAAAGCTGGTATCACATACAAAACAGGGATAAAGTTCGAATGACTGTAGAGTGGTGGTGAAGTTAAAATTTAAAAACGTAGTAGACCTGTGTGCGCGACATATATCTTCCCTCAGGTGGAAGCTGAATGCCGAGTTTTTTCAAATCTTCATGAGGGATTGGTCGCCTGATATTAACAAACAGAAAGAATGCTAGTTAAATCCTTGTCTTTCAAAAAATATGAAAATCAGAAGGTTCATGCCACTATGCTTTACTGGTGATATCTTTAGACAAGCTAAAGGAAGAGCAAAGCAAAAAAAAACCGTACAAGGGAGCACGGAAAGGTCTTTCTCGTCCTCCAAAACGAAGTTGTCCAGATTCTTTCCTACCACCAAGCCCACCTCCTGTTTAGAGAGAAGAAAATTTAATTTATGAGGAATGAAGATATAACTTCCTATGGACAATTCAATACAGACAAACAAAAAGAATTAAAAGAATGGCCGACCTAGTCTTCTTGGTATCCATCCAGGCATCAGTTGCTGCCGATTGTAATCAACAATAATCTCTCGACCATCTATTAGTGAATGATGAGCATCCTGTTCAAACACCATAAACACACTTTGACAAAGTACACCAGTTTCCAGAAACAGGAGATGCTAATGAAACAAAAACTGTAAGTTTCATCCATCTAGTATTTTAATGCGGTGCCGTAAGAATGATTTCACACAGCTTTCAAGAGCAAAAACAAGAAGTAAAAAACACGATAGTTTTAGCATCAAAGTACCTCATAAGCACGGAGCATATCCTTTTCGGTCTCGAATTCCACAAAACCATATCCTCGTGAAGATCCCGTCACTGAGAAAGGGGAAAAGAAGAGGAGACTAAATAATCAGACAAAAACTAAACAATGTGGAATGTAGATTACTGTAAATTTTACAGTTCTACTAAGACAATAGCTTTGTAGAAGCAAAAAAACATCAGAAACAGAAAGATTGAAAAATTTCCTAAAGATAAAGCAAAGTGGTGATATCATAAGCAGAGCATTTGAAAAACCTCACCAATGTGCCTGACCAAACGCAAGTTCTTAATCCTGCCATACTTACTCATAGCCTGCAACGACGTAGCATCCATAGTCATACTCAAAACATAGTTACACGAACTTTTTAAGTAAGAATCCCAATCCTTACCTCACGAAGAGTATCCTCCGTAGTATGATGAGAGAGGCGACCCACGAAGAGAGTAGAGTAAGGATCTCCAACAGCTTTCGAATCACCAGAAGGATCATCTTCCACCAAAACAAACCAAAATCAATGAATTCGAATTCAGAAACCGAGAATCACTGAAGAGAGGATCGGAGTGAAAGAGAGTATACATAAGCCGGCGTTATAACAGAGGAGAGCTCGACGGACGCCGTTATCATGTGGAGCAACATCGGTTCCGTCGATACTTCCGGCTTGAATCGGATGATACGACTTCGCGTAGAACACTTTGTTCACCACGTTGTTTCCTCCGCCGCTCATTTCTTCTCTCTCTCTCTCTCTCACCGTCTCACGGCGGCTCCGACCATTCAACAACAATTCAAGGAGATATAGACAAACGTCGTCGTTTAACCTTATTACAATTTTGAGCCCAATAAATTACTATTTTAAGCCCAATATTAATTGGGCCTAACAAAACCCCATTTAAGTGTCCAGTTTTATAATTATGTTCTCATAGGACCCACAGAAGGCGGAAACTCCAACGGTGGCTTGGTTAGGTGAGTCACACTGAAGTGTGAAAGCTTTAGCACAAACACCAAATCTCATTCTTCTTCTTCCGATTAGAAAAAAAAAAATCATCTGATTTGCAGATCAAAATGATGCTTGTTCGATCGGTGTTTCGATCTCAGTTGAGACCTTCTGTCTGGGGTGGTCTGCAATCTGCTTCTTGCTATGCTTACTCTTCTTCATCTGCTGCTTCAGCTGAAGCTGAAAGGACTATCAGAGAAGGTCCCAGAAATGACTGGAGTAAAGATGAAATCAAGGCTGTTTATGATTCTCCTGTTCTTGACCTCCTCTTCCATGGAGTAATTTCCCCCCCTTCTCTCTCACTCACTTACTCTTCCCTCTGTTCTTCTATCTACTCTAAGTTCACAAATTTGGAGTCGAAAGCTTTGGGTTTCTGCAAAATTACAATTAAAATCTGGATTAAAGTATCGATGTTTAGTTGAGCCCTGAATTTGAATCTCTTTGAAACATTTGTCTTAACTCTCATGGTTCTGCTCTGTGGAATTTAGAATATTCCCAAAACATTGTCTTTTTCATGTCTATTGATTCACTATTAGCTGGGTAATATACATCTGATCTCGTTACTAGTTGTATCTTGAATAACGATGGCCCTTTGGATTTTCAGGCTCAGGTTCATAGACATGTTCATAACTTCAGGGAGGTACAACAATGTACTCTACTCTCCATAAAGACTGGTGGGTGCAGTGAAGACTGTTCATATTGTCCTCAATCCTCCAGATATAGCACTGGAGTGAAGGCACAAAGACTCATGAACAAGGATGCTGTCATTGAAGCTGCAAAGAAGGTTAGCTGTTTACTTGTGCATTTATTTTGATGAATGTATATTCCTTACCACAATGTTACAATTAATTGGCAGGAAGGTTTCCATAATCGAACTTTGCTTTTATCCCCTGATGTAGCATATTTTCATCGATATATTTTCTACCCAAAAGAGTCTAAGATGCATTGTGTAGCCACTCTATTTTTCTCTATAAAACTAGAAGCTTGGGGTTGATACAACTGAAAATGTAGGATCCGGGACTCTTAAAAATGTTAGAAGGCTCCTTGGATATGAATTAACAAAGTTAATGTGTTGTTAGGCAAAAGAAGCTGGCAGCACACGTTTTTGTATGGGTGCTGCATGGCGAGATACAATTGGACGAAAAACCAACTTCAACCAAATACTTGACTACATCAAAGAAATAAGGTACCCTTCCCTTACTATTATTGGCAATATTTGAGGAGTTATATGATTCTTTTTAAGTTGGACTTCATTTGAATTTCCTTGTTTCTACTACATATGATCTCCTTACAACTGCTTTCTATATTAAATACACCGCTCTATAGCCTAAAATATGAAGTGAATTGGTATCCGTGAGAAGAATGAACATGATGTTGAATATGGTCTCTTGGCTGTAACATCCTTATAGTTAACTTTATGTACTCTCACTTTGCAACAGAGGCATGGGGATGGAAGTTTGCTGTACCTTAGGCATGATTGAGAAACAACAAGCATTAGAGCTAAAGAAGGCTGGCCTCACTGCGTATAACCACAATCTCGATACTTCAAGAGAGTACTATCCAAACGTCATCACTACTAGAAGTTATGATGACCGCCTTGAAACTCTTGGGCATGTTCGTGATGCTGGAATCAATGTCTGTTCAGGTAACTTCGATATAAAAATAAGAAGTTCTGGTTTTTTAATTATTGTATGCCTCTGATTCTATAGAACTAGAGTGGTGAAACCTGTCTCCATCTTGGTTTTAGACTCACAATTCCCTAATATTTGTTAATTTGATAAAAGTCATATAGTATAAGAACAAGAAATATGTTATAAGTGTTTTCTTTATACCGGTCAACAGGAGGAATCATAGGGCTTGGAGAGGCAGAGGAGGACAGAGTAGGTTTATTACACACACTAGCAACACTTCCTTCTCACCCTGAGAGTGTTCCCATAAATGCTCTGCTTGCAGTGAAAGGCACTCCTCTTGAAGACCAGAAGGTAAATTTCCACAATCTAAAAACACAAAATGCAAGTCATAGACTCATAGCTACATTGTGGTAAAGGGATTTGAAAACATTTTGTGTTTTTTTGCAGCCGGTTGAGATATGGGAGATGATCAGGATGATTGGAACCGCACGTATCGTAATGCCAAAAGCAATGGTGAGGTTATCTGCTGGGAGAGTCAGGTTCTCAATGCCCGAACAAGCTCTCTGTTTCCTTGCTGGTGCAAACTCTATCTTCACCGGAGAGAAGCTTTTAACCACACCAAACAATGATTTTGACGCTGACCAGCTCATGTTCAAGACATTAGGCCTCACTCCTAAACCGCCAAGCTTCTCTGAAGATGATTCTGAATCAGAGAACTGCGAGAAAGTTGCTTCCGCTTCTCATTAGGATTATTATCCACTTTGTTTGTTTGTATTTTTTTGGAATTGGGGACACTATAAAGAAGTCCCTTTTACCATGTAGCATGATTTGATGGTTTATGTGATACCATTGTTCCGTTATTCATAGATGTCTAGATTTCATCTGAATGTTAACTTTTTTTTGATAACCCAGTGTCCAGACCACACAGTGATCTGACTACCCCACTGGGCCTAAGCCCGCGATCAAGGATTATTAAGCATCCATTAAAGGGCCCCTTAAAACTGGTGGTCTGGGGTGCTGCAGGCCACATGTAAAGCCTGCAGTGGCCGGGACTCGAACTCGTGATGGCGGGTACCCCAGCTGAGGCTCCTTTACCACCAGAGCTAGAGACCCCGGTTCTGAATGTTAACTTTATTATTAAAGTGACGAAAGGTGAAAAGATGCATTGAATTTTGTTTGCAATATTAAAGCTAATTAATAATCTCTAGAATTTTGAAATAAATGTACTATTTAATTCTAAGTTAGCAATAGTGTTTTCAAGGCTGAAATGGGCTTGAAATTGAGCGTTGGCTTATTAACTAGATCATGGGCCATGTAAAGCCTGTTAAAGCTTCAAATATTACCAAGTCAACATGCTTGTTCTGTTCTGTTCTGTTCTGCTCTGAGATCGTCCTTATTCACCAAAGAGAAGAAGACTAACAGGAGCTTCTTTTCGTTTCTCGATGCCTAAATCAAGCAGATGGGTCAATCAGCGAGCTCCCTCCAAGACTAAAAAGTTAATTCTCTTCTTGTTTCTAGCCTTCGTCTTCTACCTCTACAGATACCCTTCTTCTTCATCCACTGTCGAAAAATCATCCAGTTCCATCTACAACATTTCCGTCAAGGTATGGTTAGCTTAAACTAGGCAAATTTAGAAGCTAGTTTTTCGCCCTCTGTGATGATCCGGGTCGATGTTTAGTTGTAATTCTGAATAATCATTCGACTTGATTGAATTGATTTCTGATTGAGTACAAAAATGTGATTTTCAAAAGGAAATCGAAGAGATTGATGTTAGTATCGTTATTGGTGATGTTTTTTATTACAATATTATGTTCTACTGCGGATTTTGCTAAGATACTGAATCTAGCTAGACGAGTGCCTTCATTTATGTTTAGTGTTAGATGGCTTTGTTTTATGTTTTCTTTTTAAGTGAATTTTTAACGACACTATGACGTTTAAGTTCATCTTTAAAGAAAGAGTTCTACAAGGTTATATAACATAACATCATAACTCCGTATCAATGCCTCAAATTAAAAATGCAGGACATTGAAGGTAAAGATGTGAGTTTGAGCCAGTTCACCGGAAAAGTGCTTCTTATCGTCAATGTAGCCTCTAAGTGGTACGTTACTAACTACATAGTTGTTCAGACAATACCTATTCTAACTATTAAATTTGCACAAATTGCATTGTCCTACTCGAACCATTTATATGTGGAGAGATTCAATTGCAGCATTTATAGGGTATTCTAGGAATTGCATAACTTTTCAATGATTTTGACACAACTCTCTCATGTGATTATGATATAATGGCTTACAGAAGCGTTGCATATAATGTGACTTTATCATGGCATTATATCTAAAATCTTGTTGTGATGAATGAGCAGTGGTCTAACACAAGGAAACTACAAAGAGTTGAACATTTTGTATGCCAAGTACAAATCTAAAGGTATGTCTCTTTATCTTGCTGTGGCTTTCTTAGGCTTGTAACTAATGGAATAGTTATAAGTATTGAGGGAAGCATTGTTTCACGCAGGGCTTGAGATCTTAGCATTTCCTTGCAACCAATTTGGCAGCCAAGAGCCAGGAAGCAACAAGGAGATCAAGGAAACCGTTTGCAATATATTTAAAGCTGAATTCCCAATCTTTGACAAGGTCTCAAAAACTTTTAAACTGGTCTCAATTCCCATCTCACAATGACTATTTCTCGTAGCTAATACAGATCTTTTATCCAATGCAAGATTGAAGTCAATGGGAAGAACACTTCTCCCCTTTACAATTTCTTAAAAGAACAAAAAGGAGGATTGTTTGGGGATTCTATTAAGTGGAATTTTGCAAAGTTTCTGGTAGACAAACAAGGAAATGTAGTGGACCGATATGCTCCAACTACACCACCTCTTGAAATTGAGGTTAGTAGAAGTTTCCCCTCTTACATTGATATTCATTTCTCTAATCATTGAAGGATCTCACTCTGTTAGTTTTCTCGCTCTTCATTTCACAGAAGGACATAGTGAAGCTATTGGCATCTGCTTGAACATAAAAGTTAAAAGGTGCATTTTTGTTCTATCCCTATATCAGATAATCTCACTTTCCCTCTCTGGATTAAGACAAGAAACTAATTCATAATGTGAAAGTTATAGAGATTAGATAAAGTGCTATGTAGCATGTGAAGTGTGAACATATATTTATCTGTAGTTAGAACTTGGAATACAATTGTTGCCAAACTCGTAGGTACAGTTAGGTTGTAATAACTCCTCCAAGCTCATGGGTGAAACATAGAAGCAACAGAATCTTGTGAAATTGGTATCACACATTAAAGTTCAAGAATCAGAACTATTTTCTCTGGAAATGCCCATGGAGGCAAGGAATATAATGTGGACCGATTTTGGTGCAGGACAGGAGAGCAAAAGCATCGGATCGAACTTGTCTGAAACTGAGAATGAGAGCCACTTCTGTACTTATTCGAACCTGTATGTTTATCTAAAACCATTCATGGAAAAGAAGATGCTTGTCTGAATCTGTGAACCACATGTTCTGTAACAAGTCCCCAAAATGTTTATCAATAAAGAGAACAAAGTTTTATTCATTTCCTCTTATTAGTCATTCATTACAACAATGTCCTAAGCAAAATCTTCGTTGATCATTAATCATTTTATACATATACAGTCAGAGCTGCAAAGAGCTCTACAACAATGGGTGTATCCAAGCAGGTCAGTCTCAGAAAGAGAATTCACTCCTGCAGATTGCGTTGCTCAATCATCTAACTTTCCCCTCTCCATTGGTTCGTCGACTTTAGATTGATGCAATCCAAAACTCGTCAAGTACATAATCTGACGGTACAGGCCACAGCTTGTGCCCAAAATTTCAACCTTGCTTTAACATCATCAGGATTATCACCTGTATTCACAAAATATTATCAGACAAACAAAAACCTGGAAATGCAATTCAAAAGTGGAAAACTTTGAAAAAATCGAGACTCACCAGGACTAGAGATCTTCCAGCTAGCAATAGGACTAACAGGAGATTCAAGAAGCAGCGAAGAAGAAGAAGAAGAATGGTGATCTTGATCGATAAACTTCTGACTCATGGAGTAACAAAGCTCGAGGGCAGGTAAAGTATTACAAAGCTCGGGGATCTCCTCGTAATTGAAACCAAAACCAAGATCTACACAACCCTTAAGCTCCTCGAGATCATCGTCAGTTAAACTCTTGGTTCTCTTCAAATCATCGTTCACGGCTGCAGAGTCAACAACGTAGCCTTCTAACAACACATTGCTCTTCTTCCTCTCCAGCTTCTTGGTCTGCTTCTTGGAGCGAACAGCACCAAAACCATTGTCGAACTTTTGTTCCTCAGATCCACTGTAAGAGCAAGAACTGAAGCTGGAGGTAGTAGAGATCTCGCTGTCGGAATCAACGTCGGCTTCGTAGGAAGAACAACGAGAGAGAAGCTCTGAATCGCACATTGTGTAAGTCCTCTGTTGTTGTTGTTGTTGTTTGTTGTATACGGTGTGAAAAGGTTAAAGAAAAGAAGAGAGAAAGTGAATGAGAGAAAGGAAGAAGAAGGGTTGCTTTATAAAGAAGGTATTATTATCGGGCGGCAATTATTATTTTCTTTTGTCTCTTTCTAATCATGTGGTCACTAATCAATGTATGTATCATGTACACATGTATATATGTAATATGTAAATGCGAGATGATGATTATGTCATGGTACCATTGAGCCGGAGAAAAAGGGACCACCATGTGCGGCTAGAATCTACATCATCTCGAATCGTCGTCAGAGACCACCTTTTCCCCCTAAACTTATTATTTGTTCATTATTATTCTCCACCGCTTTTTTTATCCCTAAAATTACTTAAGTATTATTAATTATTATTAGATTTGTATAATTCAAATGAGAACTTTGAAAGCAATCATATATGTAAACGAATCGGACATTATTGTATCACCTACAATTTGCAGTTTACAGCTTCTTCATCGAAATGTAGTTTAGAAGCTACAGACTTGAGCTTACGTGTGGAGATTGAACTTTCAGTCTTTAACAAATCTAACTCTGTTGACAAAATTTTTTTTAAAAAAAATTGATACTACAACAACTCATTAGCTAAATTATTTTTCTCAACGTTAAACGAAATTGGAGAGACTACGTACCATCATACGTCATTTAAGCTTTAGCATATATGATTAGAATTAAAGAAGACAAATAACTACTAATTACCATAATATATCCATGTATATATAAAGTTAAATTTTTGCAAACTTTACACGTTAATGAGTTTTTAGGCCATCTAGTAAGATTTGCTGTAATCTAAACATATAAATAGAAAGAGCAAAATAATATTAGTAAAATTACATCTATGATAGTCATATAGAGTAGTTATGTATGCACACAAATTTCATATCTAACTTATCGCGGCCGCAACAACAAGTCGTTGCTCCAAACTTGTTAGGTTGCTGCAGTTATTCTACTAAAAATATTATTGTACTCAAACATTAATAAAGTATATATATCTAATAGTTAATAATAGAGAACTAGTATTATTATTATTATTAGTATGTATGTGATCAGACTAAACTATTAAATAAAAACAGTGATTATATACAAATCTAATTGTAAGCAAATCACCTTCGGCCTGCCAATAAGTCGTTGGCCTCGAGATGCGCCACGTTAGTTTTACATTTCCCTACGACTTAAAAAAAACAAATTTTTTTTTTAATACGACAAGTAACTTTAGATTCCGCAACAACATTTTGGTTTTGTATTTATATATACATCGGCCGGAGGCAAGCAAATAAAAAAAGTGTGGGTTCTTCGGTCCTCTTCCTCTATCGCTTTGATGATCGACGAATGCTTTTGGCGAGTGACTGACTACAAAACCAAACAAAGGAGATGTTTGTTGTTAGTGCGGTGAATCTACTAAACCTATTAGGGTCGGTTACCAAATACCAAAGGCGAGACCAAATTATTTGCGTTATACTAATGTACAATTAACTACATCAACTGCTTTGTAAAAAAAAAATTCAAGTTTAATACATATACGGAAAGGTAATAACCATATAAGAGTATGTCTATTTGAATTATTTGTTATATGTTGTGATTTATTACGAGTTTTCTCCTTTTCTTTTCATAATATCATATGGATTAGTTGCTGCGTTTACTTAGCAAAAGTAGCAAATATACAGTATATACAAAGCAGAAATAATTAATAATTAAGATTGATTTATATGATTATCAATTAATTTTCCATAGTATGTATATAATAGCGATGATCACTATGCAATCATTGGTTTAATAAGGAATAAACTCCTTTCTGCAAATAATTTCAGTGGGTAACCGATCCTCGTAGCTTTTGTACGAAAAAACAAAAAAAAAACAAATCTTTGCTGTAAACAGCTAAATATACAACATAAGATATCATAAAGAAGACATACTGTAGAAGCCAAAAGAAGATTGCTTCTCGAGTAAAATATTTAGATGAAGAAAATAAAATTGATCGTGGTCCAGCTTTTGATGAGCTAATTGGCTTCATTGACAAATTAACATGACTTTGATATATGGTGCGCCGGCGTCAAATGCAGACAAACGTGTCATGTTATTATTATATCTGACATTTTCATGTCATTATATGTCATGATGTGAATATGTGATGATGGTCACAGGACATGGTATAGTTACCAAAACATCATGGTTCTTTAATTTGCCATGTGGAATTATCATATATACAACATGGTACATATGCCAGACCATAAGTTTCCCATATGATTTTGTTCCTATTAGAACGAAAGGCTCCAAATGATTGAGGTAGTCTATATGGTGTTGCTGAGATGAGAGAGTATAATAAATGCGATCATTGATCATTGATCGTTGCCCATTGAATAATCAAATCGTATGTTGATTTAAATTGGTAGAAAGTATTATTATTTCATTCAAATTGCAATTTCGGTTGTTAACAAAAGAAAAAGTTGTAATTCTCACAACAAATACATGTACACACACATACATCTATGTTAAAAAAGCGATTATAGATTGAATAGGCCACAAATTATATATGTCTATTAAAATCTCGAGTTCATGTAACTTAATATCCAAAAAAGGAGAAGAAGGATCACGAGATACAACATTTACCAAATAAAGTTGAGTTTGCTTAGTAAACTAAAGTCAGAAGCAAGTGAAAATGTTACAACTATTACTTTCTTTAAGTTGTCAAAAGAAGTTAGGTTAAAACATATAATTGTGGTGATATATAGTGGAAACGATAAACAACAAAGCATGTGGAAGGGGATATTGACTACTGTAAAATGTGGAAACAGAAGAAGAAGAAGAAGAATCACATGTGAACGAGAGAAAGAAGACAAAAGGCAGGGGAGACGCCACGTGGATTGTTACGATAAGAAACTAAAGGGCACAACTCAACAAAGCCTCTTAAAGGGATCATCATCAAGAAGGAGAGGTAGGGATCGGAGGGGGGGCTCACTCTCTCTCTCTCTCTCTCTCGTTAGATATAGAGACAAGAAGAGACCCCAACAACTCACGTGTCCCCCATTTCCTCTTTTTTATGCTTATTTCGGCTCAACTCTCTCTCACAAACACACACACACACACAAATCAATCAGCACCACATTTCACACCCACTCTCTCTTTGGTCTTCACGACATTCATGTTCTCTCTTTTGTCCCATTATCATCATTTTGTGCCTTCTACCACATATTCTCTTCTTCTTTTACGATGATTTTATCCTTTTTACTTTGATCATCTATCTATCTATCACGGTTTCTATTACGTTAGAAGTTTTTTTTTGTTTTCTTACTCACGAGTTGATATTATCGACATTTTTGGGGGAAAAAAATGTTTACTTTTCAATATATATCGTTGGAAGATCATTTATATGCTTCTAGATATTATTATTATACGGGTTATGAAATTTCTTCCCTGTTTGGTAATCAGAGATATTTCGATCAAAACTCAAAAAATAAAGTGTCTAAATATATGAATGCCATGTAAAATTGTGGTGACTCCATATATATACTCAGCAAAAGCCGAATTTATATTATATCTTGACTAGTAGAGATATATAATATTGGAACTCATTTCAACTAGATAACCATATCCAAAAGAAGATGAATATATTTCAGATAAGAACAAAATATGTAAATCGAGGAAAGGTGATTAAAGTGATAAAGTAACAACCATTGACACACAAAAAAAGTATCGAGTTACCAAAAAAAAACACAAACCTACATTGTATAGTGACACATAAGACAAGACCAAGGAAGGATACGTTACACAATATCCAATCATACATTTTGGTGGCCCTTTTATGTCCCTGATTTGATTGCCTTTGTCCACTACAATTTCATCTCCCCTTAATTTCCCTCAGTTAATGCTATGACAAAAAGACAGTTCATCTATTCAATGGAACACAGTTCCTAATTTAGTTCTTTGGCTTAAAGACAAGTCTTATGTTTTTGTGCATCTACCCAACATTCATGTATTCAATGCTTTTGTTGACTTATCTATCTATCTGCTCATCCTCAGTGGCAGAAAACGCACCGTTTGCTCTTTGAAGACACATGCATCATAGAGATTTGCAGACAATAAATCTCTAGATCGTAAGACATTGAAAAAGATTGGGTACCAAAGTGGACCCTAAAATGTATGTATTTACAAAACAGAGTTCCTAAAAACAACATCACATACATATCACATAACTAAACCGGAACCAATTCCCCGTTTACTACTATGTGATTTCACAAATGTATAGTCATGACCCATCCAAGAACCAAGTTCCTTATGGATGAGATTCCTGCTCGAGTAACCCGTCCATGTCGTTGCTATCACTGCTACTGCCCCAACCGCTGACATTTCCATAAGCTCTTTCTTTCCAAATCTGTTCAACTTCCGAAAACGTTAGCCCTTGAGTCTCAGGGACAAACACAATCACAAAGATTACAGCAAGAACCGCGATTCCCGCCAAAATCAAGAACGTCATTCCTGTCCCAGCAGCTTCCGCGACTGACAGGAATGTTTGTGCCACAATCAAATTGCTGATCCAGTTAACTGTAGCTGACATGCCTCCACATATGCCTCGGTATTGTTGTGGGTATATCTCTGAGTTCACTGTCCATGGTACCGGTCCCATTCCCGGTGCAAAGAAAGCAATGTATAGAGCTAAACCAAGTACAGCGAGCCAACCGTAAAGCCCGCCATCAGTTGCTGCATCAGATTGTTTAAAGAACGAGACAGAGAGGATTACGAGAGATATAATGACGCCAAATAAACTTGAGAGAGCAAGCTTTTTCCTTCCACAATGATCGATGAAGTAAATCCCTACGACTGTTCCAGCAGCGTTCATAGCAGCAACGATGAGAGAGAGGAACAAAGCAAGCTGGTTCGAGTGAAATCCAGCCATTTGGACTATTGTAGGGCTGTAGTACATTACAGTATTGATGCCTGTGAACTGTTGGAAAGCCTGTAGAGATTCCAGACAATATTTTCAGAATCTTAAAAGGCATAAACAGTTTTGATTCAAGACTGCAAAAGTTTACATTTACTTTACCTGAAGTCCTGCTCCGGCGAGAAATGCGAGTCTCAATTCTTTGGATCTAAAAACATCCAAGTAACCAACGGTGCGGTTCCTTTGTTTTTCTTCCTCTTCAGCCGCTGAAAGATGATCAATCTCATCTTCTAACCGAGAGATGGCATACATCTTAGTGAGCACTTGGATGGCTTCCTCCTTACGATTCTTCATGAAAAGCCATCGAGGGGATTCTGGCATGAAAAGCATGAGGACAAACTGAATAACAGCGGGAACGCCTGAAACACCAAGCATCCATCTCCATGTTCCTGGAACCTGCCAACAATGATCTCATGAATTCAGAAGCTACCATCACATAACATATTTCCACTTTCTCTCTGTACTGTAGTTTCTTAGCCATATGAAAACCGGTCTCACTTATTTAAGTACTAAAGGGACATTTGCATAAGATCAATAACAATCTTCCATTTTCGTAAATCAAATTCACTTGGTTTTATTGGAATTATGGAAAATTAGTTTCAAATTCAAGACTAGATTAATGTAAAGGACCACTAAAGAGTGACCTTTTTCGGAACTCAGGATAGACTTATTTTCTCGTCATGGTGAAAGGACAGATAAGCTGCCGGACATGAAGAACTGCAGCAAAGTAAACTTGAGCATTCAAATCAAGGTCATAAAAATCACCTAAAATCAAATGATAGTCACCAAAAATGAAACTGAGCATGATTTTGTCAACTACATCAGCATGAGACATAGATGGCCAAAGACGTCAACAACAATAAACACCAAACAGTGGTCACCTTCTCTAGTCTAGTTCAATTTCAGTTTTTACGAACAATATAGGTAACAGAAGCAAACTTAAAAAATGAATTCATAATAATCAAACATCTTGGTTCCTGATCCTCTAACCTGAGTGAAAGCAGAATTAACTAGGTATGAAAGAAACTGTCCACCGGTGATCATCAATACATTGGTGCTCACAAGTCCACCTCTGACTTCTGATGGAGATGCTTCCGCTATATAAACCGGCGCAGTCACAGAAGCAACACCAACTCCCAAACCAACCAAGAGACGACCGGAAATCAAAACATACGGATCAGGAGCAGCAGCCATAACGATTGCTCCAGCAGCAAAGACAACATCAGCAAACATAGTAGCCTTTTTGCGACCGTAGTAGTCATTGATCCAACCTCCTGCCGCAGCACCGATCATGGCACCAACTAAAGCCATACTTACAATAGTTTCCTACAATATAACATTCTTCATGGATCACTCACAAGTAACACCAAAAGTTGCCAGCTTGGTAGAGGCTAATCAAGATTTTCTGTATACCTGTAAGAAACTGCTCTGCTTAACAACTTCGAAATCATCCTTAATGTACAAAAGGGCACCGGAGATTACACCTGGACAAGGAAGAATTTTTTAAGGCTTTAGGCAAATAGAGATATACTGAGACAAATAATGCAGATTAGAATACTCCCATGTTGATTCAATTTGCGAATTTCAAACAAACGGGTCAGCAAAGACATCAAATCTAAAGCCTAAAACATTTGAATTCGTGAGAATATCATAAAGGGGAGTAAGAGAGAGACCTGTGTCATAACCAAAGAGAAGGCCACCGATTCCAGCAGTTACAGTCAAACCCAGAATATAAGAATTCCCAAAATATGACATCCTTCTCTCCGGGAACATATCCAAGTACCCGGAGCTCCCAGGTGCGGTTTGGATCGTCAATGTCATCTTCTTATTAATCTCTTCTCCCTCCCTACCGCTTTGACCACAATAAAATCTGCTGATTTCGCCGGAATTTCAATAAATTCCGATTGGTTGAAAGGGAAAGAATCTGTTTTCTTCCCTAATTCTACAACACCTAACAAAATTTACCCGAGGAAATTCCAATTACGGACTTCCCCGTCGGAATACCCAAAAAAAAACTGGATTGAGAATTCGCCGTCGTAAAATGTGGCGGCACAAACGAAGCCGTGAAAATAAAAGGAAACGTTTTTAGATACGAAAATTAACAGACAATAATTGTTTTTATGCACGTGGCGAGCTTACCCTGGATAAGGTTGTCTTAATTCCAACATACATACGAGATTGTACTTTCGCGTGTATAGAAATCTGTTTCTACTCGCTCTTTTCATCCTGTATTTCTGTCTGTTTCACATTTCATCTTTACCGTTGTTTTGTAGTGACTGTCACGCGCGCAGGTGACGTGTTACAATGGTAGTTGATAAGTGACAAAATTAGTGGCTATTGTTTTTTGTATGCGTAGGCGCGTCTATCCACGCTCTCCTAGACCAGTCTATCTAGTACTAGTATAGTAGTACTCGTAATCTATCTATAGGCACATCTACCCATACTAAACATAAGTAGTAAAACTAATAACAAAAATTATTTATCTTTTATCCTGTATCTACATATTAGGCAATTTAATTTTACAAAATAGTTACGACGACAAATAAAAAATTAATACAAATATGTCATGGGTAAATGACAATATGACATGATAACAAATAAGTAAACAAGTCCGTTTAACTTTAAATCTAGAGAGATTTGTTGACCCATGCTATGTAATAGAGGCCTTTTTAAGGCCCATATCAGTGGTCTATTAAGAGAATTAAATAAAATACCAGAAATCAGACCACGACCGAAGGAACAAAAGAAAGTGGTCAGTTCCTGGATTTGCGAAAAACAAAAAGGACCATAAGTATAAATAGTTAGGGACAGGTGTACAAAAGCGGACCAGCGGGTCTGAACCGAAGCTTCGATTTGTTTTGTTGGCCAAACTTACTCTTCTTTCCTTTTTAGATTATTCTTTCTTTTAATTTTTTCTTTCTTAAAGTATTTTGCTTTAAACGTGTGAGAGATCGCTTTGCTCTGAAATTTCAACCTTAGTTCCTGTTGATCCCTATATTCTTCGCCGTGTTTGAGAAGAATCTCATCTTTTGCCTTCTTCATCGAATTTCGCGTCAAGAAGTTTGGAAAAGTTTTTAATTTTATCATCCTTCTTTCAGCAAATTATCTCTGTAAGTAGATTTCAGTTTCTTTGTTGTCTATTTCTTAATGCTCTATTGATAAGGTTACTTGGTTGTTTAGGATTGAAATTGAAGTCAAAAACTTTTGATTCGTTTTGGCTATTAAGAACTACTGTCCTTTGATGGTTTCTGATTTTGATCTTTGTTCCTTGTTTGGTCAGTTTATTAGTATTTCTGTAGATCTCGCAATTGGGCTCAGTTCTGAACTTTTAAGTTCTCACTTTGACTTTTCTTTGTCTGCCAATTCCTAAATGGGCTGTCACTAAGTTTTTTTATCGGTGCGTATGTTCAAAGTTGCTTTCGCATTTATGTCTACTCATGTGAATCATGTGTTTGCATCGGCGATAGGTGAAAGTCATGGTGTCTAGGGTTTTGGGGTTTAAGGTTTAGAGTTAAAGATGTTCAGAATGTCGATCTTATTACTAAAGGTTGGATCTTTTTGATAATGTTAGATAGTTACCTTTGGAGCGTTTACTGCGGATTCAGAGCTAAAGAATGCGTGCACCATCGTTGCTAGCACAATGCTTGCCAGGTTTGCTGCCTCAAGAACGAGGTGGTGTGTCTGCATTATCAGAGAAGGATTTGCAGCTTCCTACACCAGCTGTTGAGATCATACCTTCTAAGGTTGTTTGCTTGTTGTTGATTTTTTATCATCATAAGTTGTCCACGTAGTTTCTTATGACTTCATCCTTTCCAGGGAATATTCGGATTCACCATGTATTTTACCACCTACTACTTGTTATTTAGAAAAACTTTGAATCTGAGACAAATGAAGAGATTTTTTCCATTTTGACTTTTGAGAATGGAGTAGACCTTTGATACCTTGCAATATAATGCTCTTTTTGTTTCTTTCTTTTGTAGACCGCAGCTCATCACAGATATTCTGGGGAGAATCTAGATGTGCTCGGTTTACAAGTTTTCAAGGTACTCCATATGTGATTTTGACTATAGTTAACCACTTCTAAGCTTTGAGGCAGTAGACATAAAAGTTGAAAAACTATAGAACCATAGATGTTATAACTAGTATATCTATAAGTGCATGGTTTGCTTGATTTTATAAATTGTCACTGAAAAGTGTAAACTAGAATCGATTCTAGTGATTTAAGAGCCTCCATGCTTTATAAGACCACGGACTAGAGTAAGAATGTATAGAAAATCCTAACCTTTGCATTGTAACCATTAACTATTGCAGGGAAAAGTAAGTGTTTCTGATATGATCGGGCTCTCGGGTTCAGAAAGTGCTCCTCTAAAAAATGAAGGTACGTGCTTCACCTTCACATGAATCTGATGTTCTCCTCTCTTTATGTCTCATAATGAACTGTATCAAGTTAAAATAAAATTGTGTAGGCTCTCTGAAAAGTTGGGAAAGTTCTATCGTTCTTGTTAATGTCCTTAAAAACGAAATCCGCGATGGACAGCTTAGCTTCAGGGGCAAAAGGGTCCTTGAGGTACTTCCTTCTCTTCTGTACTCCTTTATTCTAGGATAGCAATGCTTGTCTCACTAAAATGTAATGGCACAAAAATGTGGTCTGTCGCACTCCAGTGTCCTGCAATTGAGCAGCATATTATTATATCCAAGATAAGCAATAATCTACAAATCATATCTATGTAGCTTTGGTAAAATTGTTTACAAATTTGTTCAAACCTTTACTCTCATTTTCTAATTCCACTTACTAGTTAGGTTAGGTGGCTTGATACATATTTCATTTTTGTTGAGTGTGTTTATTCTGAATTTTGTACTGTGGTGAAGTTGATATGGATGTTCCATTTTGAGAACAAACTCCAGTTCCTTGCGTTCTGACTTATCAGTTTATATTTCCTTTGTATGGTGACTTGAACAGCTAGGTTGCAATTACGGAGTTCCTGGGATATTTGCCTGCTTGAAAGTAAGTAAATTGACACTGCAATATAGCTATTACTTTCACATTTCTAGAAAAATTCACATAACTGAATCTTGTTTGCTATATCTAAAGGGTGCTTCCTCAGTCCACTTCCAAGACCTCAGCGCAGAAACAATAAGATGCACAACCATCCCAAACGTTCTTGCAAACCTTGAGCAAGCTCGAGACAGGCAAAGCCGTCAGCCAGAAAGCCCACTCACACCATCAAGACAAGCTGTCTCTGCATCAGTCCGTTTCTATGCAGGAGAATGGGAAGAGCTCTCGACCGTTCTATCCATCATTAGAACAGATGTCCTTGAACCAGCTATTCCTGCAACGAACTTGAGCTTTTCGGAGGAAGATTTCATGGATGGTTGTAGCAGCCAAGACGGGAGCATTACAGGACAGCAAGATTTCTCCTCGAGGCGATCGAGGAAGCTCTCGGGAAGCAGAGCGTGGGAAAGAGCCAACGAGACTGAACAAGGAGGGGAATGTGGATATGATGTTATACTAATGACCGAAATCCCTTACTCGGTTACTTCTCTGAAGAAACTATATTCTCTCATAAAGAAGGTTGGTTTTTTTAATCATCATTTCTCTAGTTCTTGACTCAGTGGATGTTTCCGGTTTTAGTGATGGTTGTGTTGCTTTGTTGTGGAGACAGTGCCTGAGACCGCCATACGGGGTAATGTATTTGGCGGCGAAGAAGCAATACGTAGGATTCAACAGTGGAGCGAGACATTTGAGGAACTTGGTTGATGAAGAAACTATATTAGGAGCTCATTTGGTAAAGGAAACGACAGACAGAGATATCTGGAAGTTCTTCCTCAAGTAGGCGTAGAAGAACACACTCATGAACCATGTGTGACCAAAACATTCTGCAAGCCAACATAAGTCAAATACAAAACAATTTTTTCTTTAATGTAGCTATGCAATGATGTAACTGAAGATCCTATCTTCATTTCTCTTTTTTTTCACTATCTTGGTGGTTCCTTCATTTGATTTTTGTATGGATTCATAATTAGATGAAAGTTGTCCAGTAAATGTTTACTTGCCACTTCTATTAAATTGATTGGAAGTTGTTTATATATATTGATTGAAGTGGACATTGATGATACAAAAATGATGAAAGGAACCAAAAGCTCTTTAACTTTTGGGAAAGTAATCAAATGAGTTCCTGTAAAATCTCTCACTAATAGTACAAGAAACTGTACGAACAAAACAAAAAGAAACAAAAAATCCCCAAATTGGTTGGTAACCCTAATTTCTGGGTTTATTAAGAGGGACACCAAAATCGTTCAATAGCTCAGTGCCGTCGACTCTGATACCGGTACGACGGACGGAACCAAACAATGGAAGAACCCTTTTGCGATGGTGAATGGGTCGCGAGATCTCTTCGTCGGCGTTAATGGAGACTGCGTCGACGCCAAGATCCTTTAGACGGAGGCCAAGCTTCTCGCCGACGCGTGAGGCGGTCTTTGAGTCCCAGAAATTGTTGGAATGAGGGAAGCGGTAGAGATTGGCACGGATTTTGGCAAGGAACTCTTGTTCGGAGGATGAAGCCATGGCTACGATCGTTGAGGATCCTGGTTGAGTCACTTGCGCTGTGATCTTACGGCACGTTAAGACCAGCTGAAGAAGATGGTGACGCTGAGTCCCGTTCATCCCTGACGTCCTATTGCCTTCTCGATCGGTTGATTACAAAGAGATCTTCTCCTTCCTTTGTTGCTCAAAGGGGGAAGATGAGGAGAATGATGAAGTAGATTATTTAATTCAAATGAAGGAAGGAAAAAAAACAAAAAAAAACACGAGATTTTTTACTTCTTTTCCAAGCTCGGATTTTTACCCTTTATTTCCTTATTTTACCGCCAGTAAATTAAAAAAAAATAAGTATATTTGACTATTTGTTATCCAAATCGAAGCTCAAGTCATTTGTCTTGTCGGAACCTAAAGAGTTTGGTCGGAAAAGTAGGTTCGTTTTTCTCCGAGAGAAGAATGTCTACATGATTCATTCGTGGAAGAATAATTAAAAAAGCTCAAGTACTCTGTTTCTTGTACTTTATCCTCTCCTGAAAATTTCTCATTATTCATTCTGTCGAGAATATCTGAATGGCGTACTCGTGTTTTGTTGTTTAGGATTTATGTCGATGGCAATATGTCGTCATATATATTCTCAGACTCGGTATAACCCAATGCCTATAGGTGCTCCAACTTACTCCTATTAAATGAGGTTATAAATTGGAAATATATAGTTGAAAAAGAAGATAGAAAGCAAAAGCCCGTATAGCTCAGTGGTAGAGCGTCAGTCTTGTAAACTGAAGGTCCGTAGTTCGATCCTGCGTGTGGGCACTTTTTTACCACTTATGTAATTGTAAAAGATGATCATATCCATATCAAAGAATGTATTAACTATGGAGAGATTATATATAATAAGTTTTGATGCACTGATAAACAAGATGCAAGTAACATTTATTTTGGATGGCTATTTGCATGATGGCATGATAAGTGAATGATCTATGCTTCAAGAATCCTTTGGCTAAGCCAGTTTAGGTTTATTTGCCAAACAACTGATTTGGCCCAAGCTTTTCTTTTATATCTTTGCGGCATTTCTTGAAAATGTGTAACGTCAAAATAGCCTTATATAAAACAGTTGGTTAGTAGTATTATTTTTCTAAAGATCGACATGTGAGCTTGAATACGATGTATAAATTACTCATTTCCAAAAAAAAAGAATATACAAACAGAACATGGTCATTGGTAGATAGATATATTCATATATCCCAGTAACGGGGTAAATTAAGTCAATTATGCATAAGAGCATGCAAATGTCTTCTCTCTTCCGGAATATGTGCATGATTGTGCAACACCAGTGTGGCCTAATTGGTCAATAACTAATTAACTACTACAATTTGTTTGCATGTTTCTTGTTGACATACCAGACGAGTAGGCGTTGTCTTATTAAGTGAAACCGTGTGTGACAGTTTCTGTTACAGTGGATAGATAAATTATGAATTATTTTCATTTTATTTTTTTGTTTCCCCCCGTAGATTTTACATATTTACACACTAATGTTACGAAGGTTTAAGTCTTTTAGTGGTAAATGTTTCTGTATTCTCAAACCCAAAGAGATGAGCCAAAATTTGATCTGTTGGATATCATGATCCATCAGATATATTTAGCCACTGAAATTGAAGAGTTCCAATAAAGTTCATAAAATAGTTGATTTTCGTAAGTGTGACAAAAAAATGTAAAAATCTAGTTTCGTAAGTGCGACAAAAAAATGTAAAAATCTAGTTTCGTGTAAAAATCTAGTTACTAGAGAGAACCATTGAGAGCCTCATTAAACACAATTTTCACACGAATTCAAAGCGTTTTGAAGAGGAGTTCAACCCAATCTCCCTTTCATGTCTCACGTCCCGACCGACATATCAATTGACAGATCACATGACGACGAAACAATATTTGTGTGCCTTTGAAGCAATTGTTTCTTCATCTTTACTTAAATGGATGGTTCACTTTGGAAAAAGTGTTTATTAATACGGATTAAACAACAAATAGTTTAATATTTACAATATATATTAGATTATCTTGTAACGAAAAAGAAATGTTAAAGTGGTACGGGTACCTAATTAAACGTATGAAAATTACGCGGGATGATAGAAAAACTTTGGGATTAGGAGTAAAGAGTGGCCACTATCGAGAATCATTGCAACCTGTAATGCTATGCACACACACACACACACACTCACACAAACAAAAACAAAAAAACAAAAAAAAAGAAGAAAGAAAGATCAAAATAATGACAATCTAATTGGGCACAATCTGTATAAATCCTTTCTTAAAGACATAACATGGATATTATAACAAGAAAAATACAGTTAAAGAAGAATAGATAATTAATGACAATTATGAGTATGAATAATATATAAGTGGAGCTGGCTTGGTGTGAGCTGGAGGAAGACAACAACCATATGAAGTCCATAAACACATCTCACAAGTCAAATGTCCTTGGATCCCGTTACCACACCCCCGCGTGAGAATCTCAATGTTTATGATTGATTATTCGTTAACTAAATTTATATATTATTCATTAGTTTATATATAAATATATTACATAAACTAAAGCCATGCATGCATTAATCTAGTAAATACCAAAAGTCAAAGTTAAGTTAATGCGCTAATTCTTAATTTCTTGTCTTCTTTTTAAGAAAAATAATTCATGTATACTCTATAGGCTCAACATAACTCACATGCGATATACATGAAACTTTATAAAAATTTAAGAGTACCTCGCTGTATATAAGAATTATGACACAAGCCACACAACAGATGAAAACTTCAAGTAGACAATATAAAAGAAACAAGATATATATATGCCAGCTGATAAATACACATAACGTTTAGACGGAAGATCCAAAGATTTGTGCCTTGTTAGTTAAAGAAGCCGATCATTGATATATTTAGTGTTATCTATCAAATACTCGATCGAGTTATAGTAAAGATATAATTAGGTAATTTGGACCGTTTTGGTTGAAAAATTCAATCAACATTTGTGTGTATATATATATAGATAGATTAATATAATCCCAGCACCAATGGACGAGCTCGTCTTTAAGTTTACTTACTTTCCAACGAACATTTTTTGTCTTTTAACTAAAATGTCAATAGTAACTACAAAAGTGATAGGCACCAGGTCGTGAAGAAGCAAAGAAGCACCAATAGAAGAGCGACAACATCAGAAGAGACAAGGATGAGAGAGATCCAACGGTCATAATTCCAACGGCCGGGCGTCATTCTTGGCGCGTTATTTGGTCCCCCCCCCCCCCCCCATTTTGTCTTCCTTTTTTTATTATTATTCTTTTAGACTGAGTACCTTACTTGGGCAATGAGTTCAAAAATCCTTCTTCCTATCTATTACTTGTGATGAGTGGTAAAAGTAAAAAAAAAAAAACAAACGAAGTTAGCCGGATCTCGTTCCAGAACCCAGACTACGGGGGACTATCCAAGAAAACGATCAAGTTGGACAAAGTCGTTTTGGTAGGTTTTGTTCCTAGAAAAGAAAAGACTTCTCAATGTTTCTAAGGTATACGATAAAAATTAAGAGATGATAACACATCATTAAAAGTCTTCAAAAACGAGAGAAGAAGAAGACCGGCAGGGCACAGTGAAGACTTAAATAGAAATATAAAGGAAATAAAGAAACCAAAAAAAACACACACTAATAATGGGGACACAAGACAGGAACCAAACATCAACAATTATAACAACGCGTTTTTGACATTACTTCTTTTTTTTATGATTCATCAGTCAGTCATCACAACAACAAAAGCGATCGATGTATCTGTTTAACTTACACCTCACCTCTCTACCTTCTTCACGCGTTTTCTGCATTTTCTTTTACTTTCTTTACTATTTTAATAAGACCCTAGTTGTTGTAGTAGTAGCGAGATCTTTTATTTCTTCTTCCATTTTTTTCTATAACATATGATATAATATACTATTCATCAATTTCCATTTTATCATGGTTCCATAAACTACAAATACTTATATAAGTAGTAGTCCGTATATTGTAAGATGTTTTTTTTTTCATAATTTATATCTTTCTTAATCTTTATTAACCGTGACTACTATTTTGAATAGAGGAAGACTATGTATTTTTATGAGTCTCTAGACTTTCATACATTCTTTTTTTAAAAAAATTATGTATAATGTTTGAATAAGTCATCTTCAGTCCTTCTTTTCCATTTTTCCTACTTCCTCCGAAACATTATAAAAATAGAAAAAGGTGAAAAAGTGAAAAAGTAAAGGACTAACAAATAGACTCAACGGTTGTATTAGGCGTGAAAATGGAAATTTTCTAAATTCTCCAAGTTATATTATTATTTAATGATTTTATTAATAAATGTAACTTCTTCTTTTTTTTCTCTCTCTCTCTCTTTCTATAAAAACCAACAAGAAGTTCCAAGTTTCTCTCTTATTTACCAAAGAAGCTCTGTTTCAAGCTCTCTGTTTCTCAGATCTTTTCTCTGTTTTGTTTTTTGTTTTATTTTACATTAATTAAAAAGAAAGAGTTTTTTCCAACAGTTATGGTGAGGATATTTCTTCTCTACAATATACTAAACTCTTTCCTTCTCTCTTTAGTACCAAAGAAGCTACGAAGTCTCTTCCCTCTCTCTTGGTTCGACAAAACTCTCCACATGAACTCACCACCGTCTCCGCCAACCATGTTACCCTCTCCTTCGTCTTCTCCTTTGCCGACGAAAAAGATAGATCCGTCAGAGCTCAAACGTGTTTTCCAGATGTTCGACAAGAACGGCGACGGTCGAATCACAAAGGAAGAGCTCAACGACTCACTAGAGAATCTAGGTATCTACATACCAGACCAAGATCTTACTCAAATGATCCACAAGATTGACGCCAACGGTGATGGATGCGTCGACATAGACGAGTTCGAGTCGCTCTACGGCTCGATTGTGGATGAGCATCACAATGATGGAGGTACAGAGGAAGAGGATATGAAAGACGCGTTTAACGTGTTTGACCAAGACGGAGATGGGTTTATCACTGTGGAGGAGCTGAAATCTGTGATGGCTTCCTTAGGTCTCAAGCAAGGGAAAACCCTTGATGGCTGTAAGAAGATGATTATGCAAGTTGATGCAGATGGTGATGGTAGAGTCAATTACAAGGAGTTTCTTCAGATGATGAAAGGTGGTGGCTTTAGCAGCAGCAGTAATTGATCTTTAATTAGTCGATTTGACACAAGATAAAGAGTGTTTATTATTCGATTGATTGGTTTGTTTTCTTGTTTTTCCTCTGTAAATACTTTTCTGATAACGAATCAAAACATCGTAATCTACCAAGGTGTGTATCTTTGTTATTTTAGGGTTTCTCTGTGCTTTTGTAAGATTCACCTTCTCATCTCATCTTGTTTAGTGTTCTTAAATAGATTGTTAACTGTTTCCTATCAATATAGTATATTGCAGAACCTACCACATTTGCATCAATCTATAAAGCAAGAGCTTAATTCATGTCCTGAAACCTGATTTGTATGTAAAACCTTCATGTTCTCTTCTAATCTATGGTTACACAGTTTCTCATATTATATTACATAAACAAGTAAGATTCAACCACATCTACATTACACTTAACCATTGAAGATCGGGAAAGGCAGTAGAGAAAGCTTTACCGATTCAAAGAATATACAGCCACACACGTATAGAGTTGGCCTATATAGCATCTTGTTTATTTCGCCATAGCTCATGCTCAATAGGTTCGAACTCTTTCAAATTGTTCACTACGTTCTCAACTTTCTTCGCTATCTGATCACTATGCTCTTCAATAATCCTTGCAAACGCATCAAGCTGTTCCCTGTATGCTGCACATAGTCGCTTCTTGTTTCGCAGCTCTATCGTCAGTTCTTGAATTCTCTTATCCTTTTCGTCCTACAACAACAGCATAATTTACCAAAATGGTTTCATACATTTCTTGCTCAATTATTTAGTGTTACATTGCACAAGGACATAAGTGAAGTGTTATACTGACCAGAGTTTGGCGAGCCTCGCGAGGTGAAACAACGAGTGGATGGTTATGATCTTTGACGAATTTGGTAATAACCCATTTGCCAGAACGGTCATACTTAACATGAATCATGGCCTTGCAACCTTCTCTTGTGCTCGGTCTTGGTTTCCTGACAGATCCAAACTTGCCACGGATACTAACACAATGACCTTCTTTGTTACAACCAAATCTCCGGGCAAGGATCCTTCCGTCTTTCTCGGATCTCCGGCAAGACATTACACGCATCACAAAACCTAGACGTCTAGAGTAGTCATCATAGAACATCTTAGCAGCATCCTCGGATTCAAATTCAATACCTTCACGAGGCTCTATGGCAAAATCATCATCTGTGTTGTTGATGTTCTTCGTTGCTGGATCCTCCTCATCTTCCACTGCCACAAAAATAAGGGAAAATTACAGCTTTTTCTGTACTAGAAGATAGTTCGTCTATAATAATTATCTGAACAAGAATGTGTCGGAATTGAGAAAACTGAAACATAAAGACGAAAAGCAAATTGAAAGAATCCGACAAATCGCAATAGATAGCTGAAATAGTGAAGAAAATTAAGACCCAAAGACGAAAAAATCGATTGAAACCTAGCGAAATGTAATTGAAGAGTAGAGAAATTTAGCTTACTGGATTTGACTGACGATCAGAGTAGGATCTTCACAAGAGCGAGAGAGGTGGTGACCTAAATTAGAAATTGACTGGGTTAAATAGTAATGATGAAATATTTGTGGTGGTTTCCGTTAAAAATAGAAAAGTTCTCAGAAAAAAAAGATTGTTTTTGTAGTTGAACAGAAAAATAAAACAATTTTTTATATAATAATAACAATATTTTTAACTTGCATAGTGATATTAAAGTTTGCTAATTAAAACGACGCTAAGCTTATTTCTCGCTCGTTCTCTTTAAATTTGCTAATTTAATAATAACCAAAACACCTTAAGTTTATAACATTTTTTCCTTCGAAACTCCTAAAAAATTCCTCAAAAATTCCATAAAGCATATGTTACCCTTAGTTATTAATCACTTGTAAACTTTTTGTTTTGTTTGTAGTTTATTAATTATATATGTAATAATGAAATACATAAAGCTAGTCAAAAATGTTACTGTTTACTCTGTTTTTGAGTAATTTTTTAATTATGTTAGTTAGCATAATTTTATTATTATTTTATTTAACAACAACAGACTTGGTTAGAGAGATCGGAGAAAACAAAAATGAGCTATTAGTTGTCGCTGCTCTAACTGCGTACTCCAAACTCTCGAAGAAGGAAACTGATTTGAATCATCTAAAATTTTATATAACCACGGTGTTAGTGGTTGTAAATTTATTATTAATTTATAACTAAGGTGTAATAATGAAATACATAAAGCTAATAAATATGTTAAATGTAACTTTTTACACTTTTGAGTATTGTTTTATTATGTTAGTTTAGCGGATGCGTGGGAACTCAAACCGTCATAAACTGAATAATTAAACCAAACTGAATTTATCTATGAACCGGATGTCAAACCAACGAGAAGATCATTTAATTAAAAGTGAAGCATATTTTTGTAGCTTATGTTAGTATATATATTAAGCGTCATCATGCTCTGCCCTCTCGCTCAGGCATTAAACGGCAAGTCGATCTTTGAGTTTCCTTTTTTTTTTTTTTTTGTAGAATTGGGGAAATTCTCACAAAAGATGGTTGAAGAAGAAGTAGAAAACCCTAATTCGATTTCGATCGACATACTTCCCGATTTACTTGAAGAATTCTTCATTCGATTGCCCACGAAATCGATCCTCAAATGCAGAACCGTCTCAAAACAGTGGAGATCAATCCTGGAATCAAGGAGGTTCGCGGAGAGGCGTATGGCTCTTCAAAAAAGCCGCCGCAAAATCCTGGCTGCCTACAACTGCGACTGCGGCGGACCGAAGAGGCTCCTCCCCGAGTCACGCTTTGAAGGGGACGAAGAGATCGTCTATCTGCACTGCGACGCCTCACGGCCTTCCATGACTTGCCAAGGTTTGCTCTGCTTCCCCGAGCAAGATTGGTTCATCGTTTTGAACCCTTCTACCAGACAACTCCGCGGTTTCCCTTCCGGCTTGAACCATAGGCGCAGCTTTGGAATAGGTTATTCATTATCTATTAGACTTTAAACTTTTTGTATTTAGTATTAGCTTTTGCCATTCTCGAAACTGAATTGAAAAATTTTGTTTCAGGATTTTGGAAGACTTTCTCTCCGGGTAATTGGGCACTGGGATTTGGTAGAGACAAAGTTAATGGGAGATATAAAGTGGTGAGGATGTCTTTCTCTTTCCGGAGAGTTGGCCAAGAGGATCCTCTGGTGGAATGTGGTGTTCTTGATGTTGATACTGGTGAATGGCGGAAGCTGACTCCACCTCCTTATGCGGTCAACGCGGGAAGCAGATCGGTTTGTGTGAACGGTTCTATCTACTGGTTACACAATCAGGGGGTTTGCAAAGTACTAGCCTTGGATCTTCACAAAGAAGAGTTCCATGAAGTCCCCATTCCGGCTACCTCAATCACGCTGGACACTCAGATAGTGAACCTTGAGGACCGTCTAGTCCTTGCTATAACCAGAGTTACGCCTGAATGGATACTAGAGATATGGGGCATGGATACATGTACAGAGAGATGGAGCAAGACTTACTCCATAAGTCTGGATCATAGAGTTGTTTCCCGGCGAAGGCAGAAAAGGTGGTTCACTCCCGTGGCAGTTTCCAAGCAAGGGAATCTTGTCTTCTATGACAATAAGAATAGGCTCTTCAAATATTATCCAAGGACAGATGTTATTCGTTGTCTCTCCTTATACACTTGTGTTATGTCTCCTTATGTGGAAAATTTGGTCCGACTTCCGTTAAAACCAAGCCATCCGCATCCTTCTCGGGGAAATTTGGATTTCGAAGTGAGGATATCTAGATGCCGCTTGTTTTCGACGCCAGGTTCTTGGATATCCAAAGTTTTGAACCGAAATATTAGGATTCTAGATATTTTGTTTACCTCTATAGTAGTAGTTGGTTATATTTGCCTGCCTCTCTAGGAGTTACTTATCTAGTGTCAAACTATTCTTTGGTTCCATTTACTTCAAGATCTTGTGATATTTATTTTGCTAACTCATTAGTTATTTCTCTTCCTCTTCCCTTTGACATTTAAATTGATATAGGCAGAGTTTTATGGTTGCCTGCCCTTTCACACTCCTCTTCTGTGCAAGTAGATTCAATGCCTCAAACGTTCTACTTGTTTACGGAATTTGGATATTGACTAGGAGCAGAAGTTTATGCGATATACATACTATGAAAGTAATGGCTTAGCATAAAGAGATATTCACTTTGTTCCGAAAGACATCTTTTGCATAGATGTTGCAGACCAAATAAGCATTCACAAAGGCTACATCTATATTTTTACCAACTTCTACCCATGCTCCCTGATATGGGGAAGCATGTGACAAGTTAGTTTGGGGAGGAAAACTGAAAAAAGCATCTTCGATCAATGAGACATTGGAGTGGCTGAGTGATTTGGTGAGACAGGTTTCTAAATCAACCAAGTGGTTGAAATCTGAAGCAGCTGCAAAAAAACTGGAGTTATGGGTAGCATGTACAGACAGGGTTGGCTTGCCAGTGGCAAATGAAATGTGACAAGAACAGAGAGGGATGATAATGGTGTGTATAAATGTCGCAAAGAAAAGCTTGTTTGTATCTGATATATCAATCCGGTTGAGACAGAAAAATTTGCTGCATCGTTGACCCGACTGGACTGTGAAAGAAAAGTCAAAGCTAGTTTTTAATGAGTTTCAAGTAATAACAACTGCCTTGAGGATTGTAGCAAAGTAGCAAACCATCTAAAGCTGATGGAGTAAATACCTGCTCACACAAACTAAAATGTTTTGTCTGTATTTTGCATAATGATGAATGATGCAGGAGGAGTATGAAGATGCAGGAAACTCAAAAACTATTTTCGTTGGCTAATTAGCTGGAGAAATAGAAGCCAGTCTGGTGAAAAAGACATAAATACAAACCCGGTTTTTCACTTATGTTTTTTTTTTTTGTTAAAGCTTTCACTTATGTTTTTACTCGATTATATATAAATAGTAGGGGCCAAGGCCAGTAAAATAGTCCCCTTAAACTTAAGCCTCACTGACTGAAAAAGACTCGATCACAGTGATTGAATCCTATCTGAATCCAGTCGTCATGCTTCTCTTTTCCTCCGTTTTGGTTTTCCGATTTGCTCGGTACAAAAAAAAAAGAATCCACTTCCTGAACCCGCCTCGCCGAAATGGCTAACGATTCACTGAATCGGCTTCTATTGGAGTTTCTGTAAGCTCTATTTTTCTGGAAAAAGAGGATTGAACAATCACTGAGAGCTCGACATCGGATTCGACCCCAAGGTCGATGTTGTTTGCTTTGCCCGACGACGACGACTACATTAAATCTTCTTTTACGAATGGGCCCTAAAAGCCCATTATTATTGTCCAATTTTTTTGTATCCATCATTAGAAGAAGCCCATTAACTACCATCGAGTTGTTGTTTCTCTCTTTCAAATGTTGTTACCGAGTGATGATGATCAGACAGAATTCAAATTTTCTTTTTTCGTAAAAAAGAAAAAAACGGAAACCAGAGATCATAGCGCCAAAAAAAGAAGCTCGAGGAAGAAGCATAAGATCTTGTTTCGTCTTCTCACCGAGATTGATTTGTTCTTCTCTAGCTCTCAAGGTATATATATATATATATGTCTCTTAATCGCTTCTCTTGGTTGCTGAATCGCTCAATCTCAATGTATAAGACAAACAAGCTCCTTGTTTTGCTGAATCGAGTTTTTTAGATCTTCATCATCTGTTTGGTAACGAAAATGAGTTGTGTTCCTGAAATCTCATCCGCAAGTGGTTTCATCTGTCAATGGCTTCTTATTGTGTTTCCATCTGAATCGATCTCTGTCTTTCTGATGATAAAAATTGCTTTCCCTGAAAATCGACTGAAGAAACTTGTATTAAGTATCCTTATGAAACTACCTATATACGTTTCTCTGAATGAGATCTGTAATTGTCTCTTTAACAATCGAGAATCGTGTTTCTTCTGAATTTGATACTCTGATTATCATTCTAGTTTGTATTCCTGATGATGGCTTCTGATGAACCTGTCTCGGTCTCTGCCTCTCACACTGCTTAATTTGGAGTCGATTGCATGTGTTTTCTAATAAATTTCTTCAATAAACCTGATTACATGATCTGGAATCAATCCGCAAAGCGATTTTACTTGTTAAAATGATTGCAGATGGAAGATGTGGAGGATGAAGTTGCGGAAGTAGAGGCTGTCATCAATGAGGCTGATGCTGAGCCTGCAAATGTTGGAGAAATGGTGCATGCTGCAGCTCTATTTGTCCTCGACAGAGGCAGAGGTAAGGATTTGACTAATACTTTGATTTTGTTTCCCTATCATTATCATATCTGTGTTTTATCTCTTTTATCTTGAGAAACAGATTTGGCTCATGTCATTTGGGGAAACAAAGAGAAGATCGCTGTAGCATTTCTTGTCGGTACCGTGACGACCGTGGATCTCGCATGGGTAACCAGGTTCGGCATTGCAAGACTCAACATCTTCCGTAGGTTGAGGAGGTGAGTGAACTCGATTTACAATTCAACATACATTACTATTTTAGTATATATATATATATATATATATATATATATATATTGCTAGTGTTTGATGGACTCAAAGATTTGGGGTTGATGGTGATATATATAGTTAATCTAGATATGGATATAAAGGTTTGCTTAAGTATACATAATACTTCTGCATAATCGTATAAGTTCATTTTAATGGGTAACCATAGTTACTATAATAGGGGAAAATAGGACATTTTCTATAAACGATAGTGTCATTTAAAGAAGTACTAGTTTCACTATCTAAGAAATACTTTTGTTTTGTGGTTTATGTTTACCCTAGTCCATAAATCCAATGCATATAAAAAACTGAAATGATCACATCTGAGTCTGACATGACAAATAAAAAGTCTTTCAATACTTAAAGGGAAATATTTAAAGACAAAGACCAAATAAAAATGGTATTCCTAAGTTTTATCTATTTTTATTTTTTTAAAAAGACTTGATAAATTAACTAAGTTACAAACAACAAAAATCTACTTCCTACCCAAAATAAAATAATAATAAAAAAAATCTACTAGTATACATCCTTAATAACTATTTACCGTTCAGAGTCGTCCATTAAAATTATATAACTACTAATTAGTATTTTTAATTCTTATTTAAACCTTTATAAATGAAATCAAGCCTATATCCATAACGCAAACTTTTATCGGAAACGAAGGGAGACCCTCACGATTTTAAAATTCCTATAAAATCAGTTCTCCATGCAAAACCAAATACCCAATTGGTCATCACGCAGACTTCTGTTTAGGTAAAATTATTTTTAGAGTAAACAATAGGCAAATAGTTCCTTGAAAAAATATACAAAAAGAATAAAAATAGTTCCCTGATCATAGATTCGTAAGATTCAATATAATGATTCATAACAACGATTATGGGAAAAGACGAATAACAATAATATTAGATACAATAAAAAATAATTGAATTAGTATTAATTCATATAAAGCGATTTGATAAACTTAGATCAATAATGAATCATGTAAACAAAAACAACCGGTAAATGAGACGCAAATATGTGAAATCATTAATCTCTTAAAAATTAAAAATTATAGTTTAGATAAAACGATCTGTGTTAATTAATCAGAAACTTGAGAAAAAAAAAATCCAATAATAATCTCTTTCTTTCTCGTTTGTTTTTTGATTACAGTTTCAAGTTTCAACTGGCATTTATATATAATTTCTTGTTCGTCATCAAATGGTTTGAATGTTCGATCTTGGATATAAATCTCAGCTTGTTGCGTTATGTTCTATTTTTGCCTCTCAATCATGTTTTTAATTTGTAATTTTATCTTTACTTATTTCTGATGGCATAAATGCTTAACTTTCTCCACAATATGTGATTTTTTTTTCTTCAGATTCTTACATCGCAAAGAAAGAAGTGTTGGATACCATTTTCAAATCATTGAGATCATTGATCATATGATCATCCTGATCCATTTCCGTAGTTTCAGATACCCACTGAATGTAAGTAACTTTGGAAGCAAGTTTCATGTATGGTAGTGTATTTTCTTGTATTGTAAGTTTTAACTATTGTTCTTGAGAGATTAAAATTTTGTGGAAAGATAATTTCGAATATGTTAAGTAGTTTTAAGAAAACATGATGTTTTTATTGCAGATCATGGCTGCATGCTAGCTTCCTTCACGTTTGCTCATTTATTAATGACTTTATTCGATGATTCTCCCTTATCTTAATTAAGACGAGAATGATTCATAATATTTTGATTCCACCTCTCCTGAATGAAACCAACTTATAGTTTCTGTCAACATCTAGAGATCATGTTCAAATCATACCATTAGCTGGACACGAAACATGTAGAGAGAATATATATGTACACTAAGCTAAAAGAAACATTTCATTGTAACTTGACTTTCAGTCTTTGTCTAAGGGACTCGATTGCGTTCTGTATCCTGTTGCCTTCTCTCATTCTCACTTCCATAGACGCCTCATGTAAGTTTTGAATCCCTCGACCCAAGTCTGCAATCGAAGGAGCTGAGGGAAGAGACACAGCTGCACATTCGATCCCATCCCCATAGGCGAACAATCCTGCACATGTTACAAGACTGACTCCAAATGTCGCCAATGGTAAGGTGCCTATGGGTTTTGCTTGTCTTTTCCGCATAATCTCATAGAATGCAGTTCTCATTGCAGACAAACTTGTCTTTTCCACAGAAGCTATAATGCTATGTGTTACCGCTCTGATTTTCTCCGCGGACAAAGATGCTTTTACCAAAGATGTTGATTTGGCTCCAGAACTAGCAAAACCAGGTGCCATTACTTTTGATGGAGCTGCCACTTTAGTAAATGCAAATGTCACTGCCTTATGGGTATGTGTCAAGATTAGGTTCAATGAAACTGGTACTTTAAAAGTCACAATCTTGAAGAAAGGAGAAGCAGAAATGGCCTTGGTTAGTGATGAAGCACCCCAGATAGCAGTTGCACCGGCACCAACTGCTACCACCGGTTTATCAGATATTAGTCGCTTTAACTTTGAATCATTAGCCTTCTCGTCACTATCAAAATCTTGCACCATATGCTCAGACATATCTTTGACTTCTTGAGGAACACAAGTTTTCCAGTTTTTCCTAAGACCTGCAAGGCTACTTGCATCTACTACTGCTACTATGTTCTTAAACTTTTTAGCCTGGCTACGAAGAAGATCTGCCATAAGTGCGTATGATTTGTCTTCAGAAGAGAGCTGTGAAAATTGAACTTTGCCTCGGCTTGAACTTCCCATGTTCTTGATTGGTAGTCGCCCAGCATTGTTCAAAGCAATTCTTAGACCTTCAACTGCAATCTGAAAAAGGTAAACTTCAGAAATAACCTCTGTAGTCATAGATTCACCTCTATTTACATCAGATAACATCTTTCTGGCATTGGCTAGAGCTTTCCCAATAGATGGGAGATCACTGAATATATCATGAAGGTCAACAAGCAAGGGATAAAAGGATTGAGCAAATGCTGGAACCTCATGACTATTGGACTGTAACTCATTGGAAACTCCACTTGCAACACATCTTGATGGGCTAAGTTCTTTGTTGAGCTGATTGATCTGAAAAGATACCAACTTTAGCATCCGTGCTTGTACATCATTGGCTATCGAAAACCTTCGCGAGCTTGAAAATATAGCAGAGCCAAAATGTTGTGGTATGAGACTATTAGCTAAACCTTGCATCTTGCCTCCTGTCTCAATTTCTCCAGGGGAGGCTTCCACGGCACCGATAGTGACAAAAGGAGATTCGAGAACCAGAAACGATGAACCAACCTCCCCAGCAACCCTTTTGGCAGCCAATAAATGACCATTAAAACTTGTCCCAAAAATCTCCTTCAAAACCAAGATCCCTGCAACGCTTTCATACTTTTCTTTGTTAACCTTGTCAACAAAACACTGTATAAGAACTTTAAAAGCTGATGTAGGGATTGAATCACTTGAGCCATCTCCTAATACAATCTCCTCAACCTGAGCTTCCCCAAAAGCAGATTTGTTCACTTGAGCCACTACAGCACCAGGACGGATTTCGCGTATAAGAAACTCGGCATCAGTAGCAGATCTCTCGGATAAACTCTGAGAAGAAAGTATGTAGATAGTGGAATCATGCTCAGGGACTCTAATAGCAAACACAAAGTTCTTTGTACTCTCTGGCAGTGAAAGACTGTGAACAATCTTCTTAGATTCCTTGAGGTCACTGCTTTCAAGAATTGAAAAGGGCCATATGTTTTGCAGACCATTAGCCAAAAAAAAAGCGGCCATTATCGAATTGGATTCCAAAGACAGAGACTTTCAACCCCAGCAAAACGAAATCTGAACCGACCCCTATCGAATTGAATCGAGCTGCGCATAGATAAGCAATTGGTCTACTGAATCATGCAGGCGATTTCGTATGGGAAATTGATGATCGAAGCAAGCACTCACATGAAATCAACAAAGACAGATGGAGGGAGAAAATGTAGAAAACCAACCGTGGAGACACATAACACTGATCCTTGTGGCGGCTGATGACGGAGAAAGTACCTGGGTGATGCAAAGAATCGATTTCGAGAATAGTAGCAAGGCCGATGGTTCGAACCCAATAAACTCTGCCTCTCTCGCGTTGTCTCCTTTTAGGTCGATGAATCACGAAATCGCTCGCACACAGACCAAGCCACCGTCCGTTTACTTGTGTAATTCTAAAATGTGATTCCGGTTAAATATTCGGTTTGGTTCGGGTTGGTTTTCTTGATTTAGTCGGTTTTGACAATCTATATAAAAATGGCCAATAAGGAATTGGCGGCGCTTAAGTGGATAAATCACGTCGACGATATGAGATATGACGATACTGCGAATGTGAGCAGTGCATTCATGGAGTATTGGTTCGAGCAAGGTAACGAGGAGGAAGCTATCAAGTGTTACAATGATTTGAACTTGGTAAAAGTCACGAGAGCCACTACTATCAATACACTCCTGGACCTTCTTCTCAGGTATGGCAGAAGAGGTGAAGCTTGGTCCTTGTTCGACCAGGTTTTGCATAGCGAGGAACTGCTCCATTTTAATCAAGATACGCTAAACATCATGGTGGACGAGTGTTTCAAGACGGGTCGGTTTGACGTGGCAATCCGGACTTTCAAAAAGGTTAAAGCATCAAAGCTGAAATACGCGCAAGTTAGATGTTATAGAAACATTATCACTAGGTTTAGCGAGCGGGGCATGTTGTTCGAGGCATATTTAAAAGCAGGGAGACCCGTCGATGCTCTCCGAAACTCAAACAAGATGGTTGATGCATTTCTACGTGAGATTGCTTGGCTAACTTGCCTCTAGTTCTTTCAGGTCGATGAATCACGAATTCGCTCGCACGCACGCTGACATTGTCCCATACACTTTTCTTTATTTCTTTTTTGGGCCCTTTGTTTTTTTTTCTCTGTAAATCTAAATTGTGATTCCGGTTAGTTATTCGGTTTTGTTCGGATTGGTTATGTTCAGTTTCTTCATTTAGTCGGTTTTGACAATTCATATATATCTGAATTTTCTTTTGTTTTGTTCAATTCTTTGCATATAAATAAAACTAGCAGAGTTTATATAGATAACAACAAGGTAATTACTAATTAGTCTTTATATTAAAAACACACACACAATGAAATATATATAGTAAAAAATCAAAAAAAAAAAAAAAATATATATATATATATATAGTAAAAAATCTGTATGTATTATTTGGTTTCATAGATACGAAATTTGGTTATGCCTCGCGATAATTCATTCGGATATGGAATTTCACTCTAAATACGTTTTAATTTGGTTATATATTATTGTGACTAAGATATTGTGTGAATGAACATAAAATAAAATGACCGAATTGAAAACTGATATATTTTAGGCACCAGTGAATCTTACAATAACAAGAAAAGAAAACTATACTTTACAACTTTATACGGATCATCTATAAAGTGTGAAGAGTGTATACGTTCTTCATGTATTTGTTCTTATAATGTTTGTGTGCATTGCAAATTTCAAATACAAGTCTACACGTAAGTGCATGCATATTGTGTGTATCTTGTTTTAAGGAGAGAAATATAAGATCATGCCGTAGAAAATGTCACATATTTCAAGGGTCATGTGAATTAGTGTTCATGGTCCAAGTGTTCATACTAGTTTAGTACTAATTATTACATATTCGTATTATAAGGAAAAAAAAAATGTAATGCAGAAGTTTTAACAGCACAATTTATGAAGCTCTCTCAGTGCATAAAACGAATGCATATCATCAATTAATGTTCGTGTTGACGTTAAAGTAGGTTTTGTATAAGAATAGTACTAAACGAAGTTACGAACCACATAATAATAAAACAAAATCAGAAGTAGTAGTAGAGAAACTACAAAACACAAGTCTAAGCGAAAGAAACATTCGACAAAAAAAAAAGCCAAAACTTGGATACAAATACAATCCCTTCCATCACCCGCGTGACACGTCAGCCTCGCGGAAGCTTCATTACCACTCATACTAAAATCTTATTGGTCTGTCACAATCAACATGTGTGAGCACTAGATTGAGACACAAATCATACTTTTGTTATTTATTTAATTGTTTTTTTTTTTTGTTTTGGGATGTTTTGGTTTGTTTATTTATTTCCAAAAGAAACGCAATAAAACGGTGTTGTGAAATCAAAGCAAAAAACACAATACAAAGGGGAAGGAAGGGTCGTGCGTGAGAGAATAAGAGCGCACTTCCATCGACCGACGCATTCATCTTCTTCCTCATATCTCTCTCTCTGTATATTCAGGTCGAGGAGAGTTCTCGATCCTGTTACATTTCTGCAATTTAGATCTTTACACAGACGAGAAGGGAGGTTAGGCAGTGAGTATATAAAATTTCGTCTGGATCTACACGGTTTTAGCGGGAAGAGGTTTTGATTTGGGGAATGCGTTGTTGAGCTGATCTTATAGGTTGATTGAGGTTTGTCTCATCGATCTGGCTCCAAATTTTATTACTTTCCCCGAGTTTGATTCCTGTGTTGTAAATAAAAATGTGATTTTTACAATGCTCGATTCAGCTCTCTGCTTACATTCTTGTTTTTCATTAAGGTTTTAAGATCTCATTTTGCACTCATTTTCTTTGTGAATTGTGGGGTTTTATTGCTGCTATTGAGATCTGATCGTGGGTTTTCACTTCAGTATTCAGAAATCACACTTTGATTCTGCGGTTTTGATTGAGTTCCTCCTTACGTTGATGATACTTTTTTGTTTAAAAGGTGTTTCCTTTTCCTTGTAGGCTTAGCTCGGTCTAGAATTTGTTAGCTTGGGAAAGGCCGATGAAGAACGGGATGGCCGAATGCAGTGTATGTCGTTCAAGGTTGGTTTCTCCCAGTAGCAGAGCTATATCGAGAGCTTATGATACCCACAAGATTAGAGTATCTTCTAAACAACGGGCCCTCAATGTCTTTTTGGTAGTCGGTGACTGCATGCTAGTTGGTCTACAGGTAATATTGTCTTCCAACAACCCGTCTTAAACATTAGCGATTTCAATACTACTACTACGATGCATCTGTGATTTACTTGTTGTTGAGTCATGTACAATTGTAGTAGGTTGTTGTCTTTCTTTCTTCCTATTCGTCATTTGTTGTTAAACTTTCTTAAAAAATTTACATTTTTTCCTTTATGTCCTTGCAGCCTGTCTTAGTGTATATGTGTAAAGTGGATGGGAAGTTCAACTTTAGTCCTATTAGCGTCAACTTCTTGACAGAAATTGCAAAAGTTATTTTTGCCATTGTCATGCTATTGTTCCAGGTACGTTTCTGAATTGACTTTAGTTCTTGCAAAATATCAGTTTTGTTTGTGGGCCATTTAAGTTTCTTTCTTGCATTTACAACTACTTGGTAGATGTTTCTTCTGCACTAGAATATGAACCAATTGCTAAGGTTGTTGAAGAGTGATAAATTCATATTCCATTTCTGTATGTATCTTTAGGGTGGGCGTGTTGAGGTTGATTAACTAGTAATGGAATGAGATGGGGCTCACATTCATATTTGTGCATATAGAGAGTTTCTTGGTTTTCCTTCGGAAATTGGCCTCCCTTTTAATACTTTAATTTTTTTTGTGGTAATGTTGTAGGCCAGACACCAAAAAGTTGGAGAGAAACCTCTACTATCTCTTTCCACGTTTGTCCAGGTATATCTTTGTGGCACTTAAGCGATTTGGAAGTACTAGGATTGTGGCATGGTCACATACAGTATTAATATTTAGTTTCTTGAAATCTTAATGTCTAAGAAGTGTGATATATGTTATACATCTGGTTTTCGAAGCATGATTTTTTAAAATGTAGATGTTATGTCACCACTAGATCCATCTAAGTACTATATTTTTCCTGCATTAGTTCCTGCTATTAAACTCTTTGAATAATTCTTTTTATACTATTTATAGTGCAAGTTGCAGTAACACTAGCCTTTTTATCGCAGGCAGCTCGGAATAATGTGCTTCTCGCTGTTCCGGCAGGGCTGTATGCCATTAATAACTATCTTAAATTCACAATGCAGGTACGTGTGCTTCTTCATTTCATTTTGTGCATCATTTGATAATTAATCTGCAGAAATTCAATTTCATTAAAAAAATTTCTTAGTTGTTTTGAGTTTTAATTTAAAAAAGGTATTTTGCTTTCTGGCGAAAATGTATTATTTGGTGGTTTACTCTATAATAACTTAGCAATGGTTTTGGAATGTGAGGAAGCCTGATATGGTTGTTAACATACTTCATATGAGGTTTCTGTAAGAATCTTTGGTTTTCTTGCTCCTCGAGAATATACCTTAATTTGATCAAATTTGTTGATCCTTGATTTTGTTACTTTACATCACTCCTTGTAGACACTACTTGTCCCTAAGAATATTATACAATCATCCTAAGTAGAGGTTATTTCCGCCCTCTGTTTTCCCTTATCGCTATCTTCCCAAGTTCAGCTCAACATTCTGCAATATGACATGCTGCCTTTTTGGTGATAGATGTTTGAACTTGCTGTGAAAGTTGCACTGAACAATTGCTTATAAGATAGTTACATTTTGCTCTGCTGTTGTATATATCTTTCCTTCTTGACTACTATTTGGCTCCATCTTTCTTTCAATTATTTAGTTTCACACAAAGATTCACTTTTCTGCTGTGCCAGCTATATTTCAATCCTGCTACTGTGAAGATGCTCAGCAATTTAAAGGTTCTGGTAATTGCTGTACTACTGAAGATGATAATGAAGCGACGCTTTTCCATCATACAGGTCAGGTTCAATGACTTTTATAGTACCAGACATATTCTATATGACCTTCCTTCCTTACCTCAAAGCTCGTAATGGGATTTATTATGTTACTTTTTTTTTGTTGTAGTGGGAAGCACTTGCGCTCTTGCTGATAGGGATTAGTGTAAATCAGCTGCGTTCTCTTCCTGAAGGTGCTACTACTGTGGCTGTTCCAATTGCTACGGGTGCATACATCTGTACCTTTATTTTTGTAAGTTACATTTCTTGGCTCTTATATATCATTCCTTTGGAATTTGTTATGGAAGTGATTTTATGCACATAGTCACTTGTAAGTAATGCAATTGCTTACCTGTTGCTGCATCAAAAAGAAGTTGCAATTCGTGCTAGATGCTTATTCAGCACATCATCATGCAGGTTACTGTCCCATCTTTGGCATCTGTCTACAACGAGTATGCTCTAAAGAGCCAATACGACACAAGCATTTATCTTCAGGTTAGCTAATCTCGATACACATTTTTTCCATATAGCTTCAGAGAAATGAAAGACTTGTAGTAATATAGAAAGCCTCGTGGTAACCGTTGCTTGTAACTGCTGGTTAATGGTGTTGATTCTTTAGTATTGTAAACTTTGAGGCAAATCGCTGGAAAATGCATGACCATCACAACTCGTGTATCCCACTAGCAGATTCTATTTTCTAAACAGAACTCTTGGCCTGGGTTGTTGAACTATCTTTTGCAATTCTATGGTCGAGTACTCGAGTTAATTGTGTTAACTAACGCTGTGGTCAGTTACTCTTTAGAACAGAACTTTTGCCTCATGTTGTTGAACTTTCTCTGTTCATTGGTCTATGCAGCTCTTTTAGCGATGTTGTTGAATATGTCCTGTTCTTTACCCTAGTCAAATTATAAGATGTTGATCCTCTCCTAAGTTCTGAATGTACATGTGTTCTGAATGTAAAACTTTAATTTCCCTGGTGCAGAACTTATTTCTCTATGGTTATGGTGCGATATTCAACTTCCTCGGAATACTAGGAACTGTTATATATAAAGGTATGGATGTTTTTAATACGGCCGAGAAGAACATAAAAGCTTCTTAAGTCCTGTTAGATGCTATGCTCACGATTTTGCTATGGTGTCGACAGGTCCTGGCAGTTTTGACATCCTACAAGGACATTCTAGGGCTACTGTGTTTCTGATACTGAACAACGCAGCACAAGGGATTCTATCCTCCTTTTTCTTCAAATATGCAGGTAAAAGTAACAATAGTTAGTAGTTATATCCAATTAATTTATGGATTAGTTCTGAATATGGAGGTTCAATATATGAAAATTTTGAAATTTGCTATATACTGCATGTTTTGAAAATAAAAAACCTCTTCAGTAAGATTGTTTTCATGGATATTTAGTCGTATTCATCTCTGTATGTTTTCAGATACAATCTTGAAGAAATATTCATCAACGGTTGCCACAATATTTACCGGCATAGCATCTGCAGCACTCTTTGGACATGTATTAACCATGAATTTCCTTCTGGGGATTTCTATAGTTTTCATTTCAATGCATCAGGTAATCCAATACGAACTGTTCCCAGGTGTAGCAATTAAGTATTAACCTACAAAAAGGAGCCTCTAAGAGGCTGCCTCCTTTTCATCACTAATGTTGTTCTGCCTCATATTTAATGCAGTTCTTTTCACCCCTTTCAAAAGCTAAAGATGAGCAACAAAACGGAAACCTAGAATTAGTTAAGGAAAAGGATGGTCATGGGTGCGTGTTTTCATTGATCATTATTGTTACTTTCATATGCTTGGATTTGCACAATTTTAACTTATTTTCTTCTTCTGATATTTCCATCAGGGGTAAAGACTCACTATTCATCAACATGGCAGCGGGAGCAAATGAAGAGGTGAGGAACACACACACATTCCCATCTTCAGCGAAATTTAGTTCTTGTAATTTTATGACAAGCTAATCACGTTTTGTCTTTCTTCTCTGTTTATGCAGGCTAGTCACCGTGTTGAATCAGACGACCGAGAGCCGCTTCTTCCCAGATAAAAACATCCCCGTGTAAGAAGCAAAACCTCCTACAAACTTCATCATACTATCAAAACTAAGATGGACATGCTGGAACCTACCATATCTATACTCATATATGCATTTGAACTTGTTGCAGGACTTCTGTTTCGAAGAATTCTTTTGGCCAAGATTATTTTAGAGATCAGGAAATTTCGATAGTATACTACACGGATTCAGCGCAATAAACTTTGAGAGGTTGAGTCCTTTTCACCGTGCTGCAATTCTCCCAAAGAGTCAGTTAAGTTCGTTAAGAAACATCTTTAGAGCCTAAACCTGTATTCTTTTTCGGATAGAACAATAACAACTCTTCAACGTTATATGTATTTTTAAAGCATCTTCCTTATGCTTTCGTGCTCTATGAATATACAAATAGCTTAAAAGTTACAAAAGACTCTGAGTACACTAGAGAGTTTAGTCCGAACCGGTTGGTTAAACCAAACCGGAAGTCTTCAACTAACTCCATTCTCAGTCCAGAAGCGAACATCACACAATGAACATGACTTCGTGCTCTTCTTCTTCTGCTTCTTCTTTCCCACGACTCTTCGCCACCAAATCCCAAATCTACAAGTCTCCTCTTTTATCCTTCTCCACTCCGAAACGCCGTCGCCCACGTCCTCGCCGGAACCGGAAATCTAATGGCTCATCCTACGAATACAGTGACCGCAATCTTCTCACAATCTCCACTTCGTCTCCCACCGGTGACGAAGACCAAAGTCTCAGCTTAACCCTAGACGTTCACGGGATTTCAAAATTAGCTAATTCCCGTTTCCAGTTGTTACTCGATTCCGGCAAAGACGCATTCTCCGACTTGCAGACACTAATCGCGCTCGATGATAACCGGAGAGTTGTTGTTTCCTGCAAGAAATCAACTATGCAGTTCGTCGGCGGTGTGGTTGTGCTTGGACTCGTACTCGGCTTTGCAATTAGGGTCCTTGTGAAATTAGGATCAGCTTTAAAGGGTAATTTCCAAAGTAATCCCAAATTTGTAGTTAGGAGAGATAGGAGTCTTGGTGGGAAGGAAGTGGTTGTCTCTGTTGATAGCATTCGTTCATCTTCAAGGGATTCGAAAAGCTTCATGGCTTCTGATCAAGCTTCTCAAAGTAACTCTATACCCAGAAATCTCCAGCTTAAATCTCAGAATAATTTGCCGAAATGGTGGCCTACTTCATTGCCTAGCCAGAACTTGGATGTGGTGGACAAAGAAGAGTATCAAAGAGAAGCCAACAGAATCGTTCGAGGTCGCTTCTAAATTCCATGCAAAGTCCTCATTTTGTTTGCTCTATGTTTTTTCTGCAAGCTATATCTTAAAGACGTTTCATTTGCTTTGTTACAGGTAGAAAGCCTAAACAGCTGAAAGATTTCATTTTTACAAAATGGTATTAGTATTACTTATGTGTTCATGGTTTCATCCTACAAATGTAACTTACTTGTTTAGTTTCCAGCAATCGTGGATAACAGAACCAGCGGAAAGGACATCACGGATGATGATATTATTCAAGTTAGTATTTGTTTGCTTTCTTCTTTCCCTCGACTCTGTAACTATCTTGAAGAAATTGGATTAACCGGGTTACTCTCTTTTCTTGTTGTTATGAAATTATATACAGCTTCGTAGAGTATGTAGAATTTCTGGAGTACAAGTATCTTTTGAGCCAACAAATACACGAGATTCCTTTTACCGCACATCTATTGATTTTGTCCTGAATGCTTGCAGCAGGTGTCTCTTTATTGACCTTTACTTATTAGGTAGATTCTACTCGTTTGTCCTTTGCTATGGTTCTGAACTTGTTTGGTAACTCTCTGTAGAGCTCCTTGGGAGTCTTCTTCTGTTGAGATTTGTAGTGAAGATGCTCGAGAGTTCATTGCTGGGATCGCTGAAAACATTGGACTTGCAAAGATAGATGCTGCTAGAATGGTTTCTGCAGCGGTTGCTGCACGCACACGTTCATGGTTTCTACAAGCTTGGGTCACTTTCTATCCTTCTTCTAGTGTCAGCAGTATTGCTTTTTTTTTTTACATGAATCCTAGATGAACGAATGCATTATTCTCAGCAAATATTCATTTTACTGCAGGCTTTGGAGATACAAGGAAAACAATCTGAATCGGTGGCGGAACTATCAAAAATATGCCTCATTCATCGCATATTTCCTCCTAACGAGTACTCTGTATGTGCCTTTTGTTTCTTTGCAAGTTCAAGATTTTTTCCCCATTCAATCTCTCCCATATTTTTCACAAAACTCCATTTCTTGGTTACCGATAATCAGGCTGAAATGGAAATGGTTGCAAGAGGCTTGGAGAAACTCATGAAGCTTGAAGAGCGACAGTCTCTACTGAAAACGTTTGTTGGAATGTGCTGCAGTAAAGACAGTCAAAGAAGTGCAGCTGAGGCTCTGGGTTTGGTGCACTGGTAACAAAAATTGATTTGACGCAGATTTTTCAACTTTTAGTGACAGATAAGCATTTCAAACACTGTCATACTCAACTTAACAGAATGAATTTCAAGTAATTGAATAGTTCAGAAAATGTTCTTATTCTAGTGATTGAGTGACTCTTTAAGACAATAAAATCATAAATTACGTAATTTGTTTATATTGAAGCGCTATTTCCACGAATTTGCCTAAAGAAGATAAAATATCAACTCATATATAAAAAAGAACAGACAAAATTTAGAAGATTTCATAGAGAATCAACCCAACAAATAACAGTTAACACAACCATGGACTCGAATTCCAATTCCTACTCACCAACTCTCCTCAATAACCCATTTACATTCCATTTGTAAACAGAAAGAATAAAGTAAAGAAAAAAAAACCTTGAAACCATGAGTTAATCAATATGCAAGAGCCACAAAGAAGAATTAAGCTTGTGTTGGAGGAGCAGCAGCTGTTGCTGAAGACCTCAAGAGTGGTTGAAGAGCTTTTACTACAATGCTCATGTTTGGCCTAAACTCTGCTTCGTACTGCACACACAACGCTGCAACCGCCGCAAGCTGCATTTACCATCAAAACACCCATTTTAGCGTCAAGTAGTGTTCACTGGATTTTATGTAAATGATTAGGAAACTTCTACTTTTTTATACCTTGGCAACTGCTTTAGGAGGATACTCTCCTTTGAGTTTTGGATCAACACATTGCTTCACTTTGTCTTCACTCAGCCTTGGAGTTGCCTGAAAATTTGATTTGCAGAGAATGTTATAAATAAACCAAGATGTGAGTCAGTAATCTCAGAAAGCCAAGGTTCAGATCAGTAAGTTAACTACCCAAGTAACAAGACTTTGTTGACCACGAGGCATTGTATGATCAACCGGTTTTCTCCCGGTAAGAAGCTCCAAAAGCACAACTCCGAAACTGTAAACATCACTCTTTTGTGTCAATTGTCCTGTCATCGCATATCTGCAAACACAAAAATGTACAAAGTTACATTCTTTCAGCTGCTAAGGATCATCAAGAAATTTGCAGTCGTCGACGTTGAAGCATATTTACTCTGGTGCGTGATAACCAAATGTTCCCAAAACTCTAGTGGAATGAAGGCGAGCAGCCATATCAGGAGCTTGATTAGAAAGATTAAAATCAGCAATCTTGGCTTTGAAATCTTCGAAAAGAAGCACATTGCTAGATCGAATATCTCTGTGTATAACCGGAGGTTGAACTTTCTCGTGTAAGTATTCTAATCCTTTAGCTGCATCAACTGCAACTCGGACTCGTTGCATCCACTCAAGTGTTGGACCAGGTTGAGCTCCTTGGACTCCCTTTCTCCCTGTTTGACAGATCAATCTTTATCCCAAGTTATATTGAATGTTATTGATGTTCGAGAAGAAAGCTTTCATACCATGTAATATGTCGTGCAAAGATCCCATTGTGGCAAACTCATACGCGAGAACCCGGAGGTTTCCTTCGACACAATAACCAAGAAGCTCAACAAAATTGTCATTCTTCAGCCTCGATACCTTGGAGACCTGAGTCAAGAACTCGACGTTTGTTTCGGGTTCGGATGCATTATCAAGCTTTTTCACCGCCATGGCCTTCCCATCATCCAAACTTGCGTAGTACACTCTTCCATAGGATCCTTCACCAATCAATGCCTTTGATCCGAAATTCTCAGTCTTTTCTTTGAGCTCAGCCAATGGCATCGCTGGCACATCGATGGGAGGAGGCTCCTTCAAGACAGGAGGCTTTACAGGAGCTGGTGTTTTCTTGTTGTTACGTCCTACACAAGCGAAAAAAAAATTGAAACCAAGTTTGTATACTACAGATTTTATAAAAATATGGAGTTAAGAACATAAGCAGTCACTATGACACTCGTTTATTTCAAGAGTAAGAAATATTTTAGAGACATAAAGATCAATAACATTGTTTAACACAAGCTTTGCAACAAACAGAGGAAAGAATAACATCGACAAAAGCTACTTAACCTCTAGACAAGCAAAAGATACGTAACATATGGACCAAAAGCTCCAAATAGAATATTACTAAAAGAGGGCCAAGAATCTAATTTGATGGGTTTCTTCAATCACAAGTTAGTTGAAGAAAGCGCAATACCGTAGTCGTGGTGGCGAGTAGGAGGGGTTCTTAAACGGTTATGATCTGCTGAAGGGTAAGATTCTTGTACACGGCAAGAACAGCACAACCACCTACGCATCTTCCCTCTCTTGCCTATATCAAGATCGTCTACAGCTCTCGGTTTATCCAATCGAACAAAGTTGCTTTGTGCACGATCATTCGCCTGCATGTTCATCTAATTACATCAATGAGCTGCCGACATAAAATGTTGCAGGAAAACAGAGGACTCTGCCTTCATAATAACAACATAAAGGACCATGCCTTCGAAATTAATGACAACAAGTCCAAAATGTTGCAGGAAAATCAAAGCAAATTACTTTTTTTTTTTTTTAATAATTAACTACGTTCGTAGATGCTCATTGATCTTGATTGACGTAAACCTATACATAACCTTCATATCAAGGTATATTTATTGGTTAAACCAGGTGGCAATTTTGTAATAATCAAAGCTGTGTGTTTGGGTGTATAATGCTTACCACTTGACCACGACGATGAAAATCACGATCCATCAGAAATCAAGATGCAATTAGAAACAAACGATCAACGAGCAATAAAACCAGAGAGGCGCAAGAAAAGATTTGGTAGACAAATAAGAGGCAGAGACGAAAGGAGGTGGAGAGAAACTTAGGAATGAAAAAAAAAAATAGAGAAAAATTGGAATCCCAAATAACTTAGGTGAAAAACAGGGGAAAAAAGACAGAACAACACAAAAAAAAAAGATAAAAAGAAAGGAAAAGAAACAGCTAAGAAAAGAAAGAAAACGTCAACAGGAAGCGACAGAGAGGCGTGTGATCAAGAATAGAACAAACATATATCCCATATTTGGCTATTTATATAAGACGAGAAAACAGAAGAATTACCTTCAAAGTCTCTCTACGTACGTATGTATATACATATGTATTCCTAGGTTTTGTTTATTGTTCTGTTTTGGACAGAGACAGACGTGGGGAAATGATTATTTTCGTGAGAAGACAGAAGAGCAACGCGTCGGCTAAAGATATGTAACGTCGTTCGCGGGTTACATTTTAAACTGTTTTTTTTTTTAAATAAAAATATGTAATAATGAGGTTCCTAATAAGTAATATCAGCCATGATGCTTAACCTTTACGGTTTACAGTTTACATGCAAACGTAGAAATATAACTTCCTCTACACAACAAAATTACGGTCATAACTGAAATCCAGAAATTTCAACTGAAGCGGCTTTGACTAGCTGACACCAAATATAGTCATATCATTAGGTAGGTGTAAGGCTAATGTTGAACACAAAGTTGCAAATTTTACAAGCGATTGTCGAACACAAAGTTATAGATTAACGTAATGTTTTATGTTATTTTTCCTTAAAAAGCTTACTTGGTGTTTTCTTTTAATTGAAAAGTAATGAGTTGTTTCTGTAGACTGTATCTATAGATCCAGCACGGATTTCAAGTAACTCTCATTTCATCGCCTATCATTATTGTCTCCGCCGCTTCCACCACCGTATTGTGTGGAGTTTCCGTTCCAGAAGGCGTTTCCATCACCAAACGACGCATCATCTTCATCGTGATTCAGCGTATGGATGTTACTTCCAATCCTAGAAGTGGTTGGTCTCCTGTTCCTAACGTTGCTCCTACCTTCTGATGAATCTTGAAAAGAGGAGCCCACTTCCCCCATATTGTTTCTCAGCTCCGTATTTGGTCCTAGAGACAAAGAAATCAGAGTATCACGTTAGCAATTACACAGCTTCCTGCATTATAAAGGAATTTTATGAACTCACCATACTCCCAGATACCTGTTTGACGTTCTGGACCAGAGCTTGATGCGCTGTCAGTACCGCCGCCAAAATATGAAAATGGGTTTGCATAAGACAGTACTCTTCTAACATAAGCAAAGTAACCTCCACTGTTAGGGTCTGTGTTGTTGTTAGACTCAGAGAACGATGATCCTCTTTGATAAACAGTTGCTCTTTTACGCGGTACCACTACAAGGGCTTGTCTATCGAACAAACCCACCTCAGATAGGGACTTATCCAGATCTGCAGAGATTAATATGAGTAAATGAGTTACATATCTAGACTAACACAACCTGACCAGAAACAGAAAAAAAAAAACCAAATAGCATCATCTTCCATCAAGAAGCTGGTTTTAAGGTATATATTCTTCACAACAATTCTAAATCTATTGGATGCACTAGATACTTAACATACCTTGGTCAGTATAAACCCTACGGGGGTAAGGAACTGCAAGATCGTAAGCACCCAGTCCGGTTGTTTGGTTACTGTCCACATAGTCCTTGACTATTCTCAATATACTTGTCACAGAGAACTTTTCTTGAAGGTTGGCACCATCAGGCAATCGAATGTTTAAATGAACATCAGTTGATTTTCTCAAACTTTTTCCATCCTCTCCTTCATCCTTTGGCTTTACTGTTTCTTTTGTACATACAGATTTTACTAAATCTATGTCTCTTTCACTACCACCTGAACTACTTTCAGCTTTGTTCTTCACGGTTTCTTGTTTCCTTTTTCTATCCGTAGAAGATCGAACGCTGGATGTATTATCATTTGGTCTAGGGGATGCAGGACGAATTGGCTCCTTTTCTTCCTGCACATGCGAAGGGGCCTCTGTCACTCTATGTTCGACATGGGCCTTAGTTCCAGCAAGAGAAGATGCTGGCAATCCATTGGTAGTATCACACAATTTACTGGGTTCTGCAGATTCTTTTCCCTGATTTAAAACAAGGCTGCACCATGTAAGTACAACATCAAACTAAAGTAATGTAGAAATGGTTTCAGCTCCAGGGATAACCTTAACTGTGCCATCATTGTTTTGTTTTGTTGACGCAGATGTCACTGTTGACTTTGTCTCTGAGGGTTGAACACTAGAGGCCGTTGATGGACATGCAACCGCTGCATCTAAAGGACCACCTTCAGAAGGCAAGACAGCATTAGACGTACTGGAGGCAGATTGCTCTGAGTTCTGAGATGCAAGTGCTGCTGAAAGGATACTTGCAGTTGTTTCCTGAAGGTGAGACATATCGAAGGCTAATGTAAGCAAAAAACACCAATCATATGAAAATGCATAGAAGAACAAACAATCGGTCAAGTGAGGAAAGAAGCTATCGCATACCTGAATATGAAGTCCTAACCATGCCTTCTCTAAACTGGATGTAAGGTCTTCAGCAGCAATAAATCCTTCTGAAAATTAGAAGGGATGGAACCGCATCATTACCATGTTTGCTTGACTATAATGATGTAAATTAGTAGATACATCTAAAATAACAAACGGTCTTACCATTTTTCCAAACTTGTGTACCACTGAATCCAATGGCAGCTATACAAGGAACAGATGAATATGGGTCTAGAAACTGATGTAAGGATCCCAATTCTCTTCAAACTGCTGCCCCAATAAAATCAACATAAGATAAACTGCAACACACACACACACACACACACACACACACACAGATGTATAGTCCTAGATAGATATATCAGCTATATAGATAAATCTATACACAACACAGAAAAATGATGCGAGGTGATTTCACCAAAAGATTCCAAATGAATTATGGTTCATTCTCCCTAAACTATTTTGTACTCTACACAGACAGAGGGACTTGTTCGTATAGCAAAACCTACAAGGCAGGTCTACAGAACGCCTGTTCAAACGCAGCATTACTATACAATCTGGAGAAGCAGCTATACAACTAAAAATCAGCTTTTTGTAACTTCCCTAAAAAAAAGAAAGGATACATATTGCGGAGAAGTTTGTGGCGTCAACACTTCCAGCTTGGATATGCAATAAAATACAATACTTGGACAGCGACTCTGCCACCTTTACTAGGAAACACAGGACAAGGTTATGAATGAACAATAGCCTTGTTTGCAATTTCAACATAACTGAGAATGCAAAAGAGAATACGTAAACTACAAATAAGAGAAACATACCGATGCACCAGTCCAAGTCAATCTGTTCAACTTATCTGACTCTTCATCCTCTCCTAAGATTTTAAGAACAAACCCATATTACTGTTAGAGATCAAAATTTCGAGATTGAGCTTCAATGTTGAAACATTCTATTTAAAGTCAGATTCTTGGATGATCCGAACTCATATTCAGATGAGACCAAAAAGGCAACTCATATTCGAATTCAACACTAAATAAAAGCAAAAAAAATTCGATTTTTACCAGAGATGTAAACAACAAAAAGCTTCTTCTGCCCTTTGGCTTCAAATATGGCTTCTGGAACAGTACCCTTGAACGTGAGAGTTTCCATCTGTCAATCAAAGAATCCAAATAAGCAAATTCAACAGGTTACTTAAAATCAATCAGAAACCTTGAACCCTAACAATTCACTGAAATCAAACAAGGAATTCCAAAAATATATCCAACCTGGATCCGACCAAATCAAAGGAGCAAGTAACAGAGATTCACAATTGCCGCAGATTCACAATTCACCAGAACGAAGAAGCTACGAGTAGAGGATCAGACGCCGTTAAGACTCTTTTGAGTCCTTAAGTCTTCACACAGTAGACGACTAAACGCCACCGTCACGATAACGTCGTTACATTAATTTTTCCCAAAGTCCAGTAAGTTTGATGAACAACTAAATGTTCCTCTTTAACTTTTTAAATTGTCCAATTTAAACCCAAATTAACAAATCACACAAAAATTTCCAATTGTTTTTTAGTAATGTAATAACACCAAAAAGAGTTTTTATTTAACTGAATTATCTACAATTAGTATTGTTCCATGATCAAAACCATTGTTATCGTCTGTATATATAGTTCCGTTCCATCTCATTTGATTGGTTATAGCCTTCACTTTGATTAGAACATCAACACGGTCTCGTATTATAACTGCACCTTCTGGTCTAAGAATCCTCTGCATCTCCAAGAGTATATCAATGATGTTACATCTATCATAAGAAACCACCAAAAATAAACCATTATTACACATTGATTACAAAAATGTAAATCTAAGGTTTTCAAGTTACAAACGGAACTTACTTGTCCAAGTAGAAACTGAACACACCATTGGCATGAATCAGATCATAGGTTCGAGGGTATGTAGAGAAAGCTTCACACCTACAAAATAACCGAAAAAGACGGTTTAAGAGAGTCCGATTAGATGATATAAGAACGTTTTGAGTGTTTTACCAGTTCATGTACGTCCCAAGGAGACCACGATCGTACACAACACCGAGTGTATTCGTTTTAAGATCAAATGGAACCACATTCATAACCCACATAGGATAGTTGTTCAAGGCTGCAGCAAAACCGCCTAATCCAGCGTTCATATCCATGATGTTTCTGTATTTTCTATTGCTGAGAAACTTAAACTTGGTATCATAGTACAAAACTCTACTTTGCCACAGGTTAGTGTCAGCTTTGAAGCTGGCAATAATTGTTCCATGTATCGACCCGGTTTTAATTCGTTGAGGCACGTGACTGAGTCTCGCTGGCCAGGTTTTGAGAACGGTCTTGTGTGTGTCGTTGACATCTGGAAGAGGAGTGATGCAAGGCTTCATCTCATTGTACCTATTGTTGTCACAACAGATGTCACTGAATTAAGCTTCAGCTTCTGAAGATGCAGAGGAAATTAGATTTAGGAAAGTAAGGTCACCATGCAGCGTCAGGATCACTAGAAGAGCAGAATCCAGGAAACTTAAGAGCTTGTAGCCATTGTCTACACTGAAAATGATTAGAAGGTTTTCTCCATATGACAACCGGGTAACTTTCAGCAATCTTCACCCAACACAGTCTTCTAAAAACATCATTTAGTTGCTCCATCTGGTTTTGCAACTCCTTAGAATCTCTCTTCTGGTTCTTGGATTTTACCTTTGATGTTACTGGTGGTCCAGACAACACCCAATATCCATCAGGACGTAGGACACGATCCACCTCCATCAAGTAAAGTCCATCTGGGTACAATTTTTGCTTTTTCAGTATTAGAAGCAGAGTAAATCAAACAAGGGGTCCAAAAAGAATAAAATAGATCGAATAAACATGTGTATTTATATACACACACCATAGGCAGTCCAATTGACTAGGCATCTAGAACAATGGACCATGTCGAAAGACCTCGACGGGTAAGGCAGCTTATAAGTGCTTAGAACACCGAGCATAGCAGGGAGTCCTCGTTCTAATGCAAACTGAACTTGAGCCTCATGTATATCCCTCGGTGCAATGGACATTGCCAAGATGTTATAATTCAACAGAAATGCTCCAAAACTCGCTACCTGCATTCAAGTACAACAAAACACAAGATGAATCTACAGTAATCAAGAGTGCAACCACTGCAGTATAAACATCAAGATTAGTTAAGTTCTGGTGTCTATTCATGTAACTGAACTCACACCACATCCAATATCTAGAACTGTCCTGATACTCCCAGAATCCAAAGGCAAAACACTCAGAATCACATCAACATAGTCCTTCACACCACCGGGAAAAGAAGTCCCGCCTCCGGGGAAAACAAAGCGGTCTCTTTCAAGCCTAACCCAGTTTTGAGACTTTTTAAACTCAGCTAGCCTTTTGAATGGAACGTTCTTGAACCAAGCATAGCTTCTACTTTCAGGCCAAGGAAAAGGCGTTTTGTAGCCGGAGGGCTTTTGGACCAAACACCTGAACTTTTCTTGAGCTAAGTCAGGACAGTGTCTCTCTCTCCGATAGTGTCTCTCAATGCTGTACTGTCGTGCTATTGATGGATCGTGGCAGGGCAAGTAGTTGGTGAAGTTCTTGGGACAGAGTGGAAAGTAAGATGATGCTGGTGATGATGATGATGAAGATGATGATGGTGGTGGTGGTGATCGGTTTTCTGAAATTTCTGGAAGGGAGGAGTAATGGGAAATGGAAGGTACTTGAAGCTGGGGAGGATAGTGAGGATCTTGGGGAGAGATGGTTATGGTTCTGATAGTGGTGAGGATGTAATAGAGAGAGAATATTAAGATTGGAGTGAAGAAGAATAGACGCTTAGGACAAATCTTTGGTATGTGTTGTTGTAATGGATTCATCCTTTTTTCTGTCTCGACTTCTTCTGCAATTAGGTTTCAATAATTTCAGAGCTGCTGAGAAAGAGAGAGTACAGTGATGTAAAGTATTATTACTTTAGTTAAGAAGTCAGACTCACCTCGTTTCCTGAAACTGGAATCTTCAACTGCACTTGTCTTTATTAGTGGCCCCCGTTTCTGAGACATTAGCACTTATCTTCATATAATAAAAATTAGTATTAACAATAAGACAGTAGTATATTTACAGAGGAGGATCCATACATAATTCAAAACATTAAAGAATATATTAATATGTTGGGTACAAAAGGAAAGATCTAAAGCAAAATCTTGTGATACTAGGATGCTTCCGTAGTCATCAATGGTTGTTCCTTCCTATCACGAGCTAAGAAATAAATAAAAAAAAGAAGAAGACTAGAGCTCATTTTAGCATCAACGTTGAACAGTATTGTCTCTTGAAATAAACTTGTCCCCATGTAAAGTAATCTTCCAGCAGTCGAGTTGGATGATGAAGACAGAGAGCTTCTTTGGCACAACTGTATCAGATTGTTTACAATAACCAAGTTCAGCTTTGAGGCTTGGGAATGAATCGAACGATTTTGATATCTATCGCAAATATATTGGTAAAACAAGCTTTAAGATACCTCGAAATTTGTCATCTCTTGTGATTATTCCAAATGTTTCGGATGTCTCACGCACCATTATGCCTTGTACACCAGTGAACGATGCTATCTTGCACTCAGCAACTGTCACAAGTAAAAATAGGTTCCTCTGATTAGGAGGGACACATTACAATATTATATAACAGACATTTCTTGGACAGTTCATAGACTAGGGTTTAAGGTGTGTTTTAACTACAGAGAAGTTGATTTTCGAAAGGAGATTGCTACAGATTTTGTGAAAGAGTGTGGGATTACCAAACATAAAAGCACCGTGAAGATCTGCTGAGAGAAGAGTTGTGCTTAGCTGAATCTTCCTGCAAAAAGTAGATTGTCTAAGAATGGTGACCAAGCTTAAAAAGATAGTGAATGTTATTACACCCCTCAATCTCGTCCATAACAAACAGTGAATTAGTATTTCGGTAATCAGATTAGTAGCTTACCCAGTCACCTTGATAAGTTGCATCATGTAACTTTCCCACATACCATGCATTGGCTTAAACAAATCAAACCTGCACTCCAAACACCAGTGAACCAGTAAACATTTAAAGTCTGTTAAGAATACCAAAATGACAGAGTCATATACACATGCGAAGCCAATTAATCTCTATGACAGCAAATAGAACTCACTTTTGGAGATCTTTAGGCATATGCAAAGCACCAGACTTCTTGAGTCGCTTCATAGACATACGGCTCTTAGAACGTTTTGAATCCTTCTGTGATACCTTTTTAGAACCAGAGGCTGAAGAACGCGACTGTACAAAATTATCAAGGAGGATATAGTTGTCCAGCTTCACACTTTTAGTACCTTGCAAGTACTTTTGAGCAGAGTCACCACTTCGAAGGAGGTTATGCAAAACCTTGTCGACTATAGTTCCCTTCGCACTAGAAAACTAAATTACAAAGAACACTTTAAGCAACCTTAACTCAAAGCCTAAGGACGAAGACAGTGGTTTGATTACCAAAAGAATCTGAATTTACCTTAACATTGGTTGCCAACAAATTCTCATCAACGGGATGGGAAAATTTTGTATATGCAACATAATCATCCTCCTTCGGATCTACACACACACAAAAAAAATTCCATCACAATCATGCTTATGAGTTTGTAACTCAACTTCCATCATGATTCGTTTATACTCAACCATCAAACCTTTTTTAATTGATGTCTTTGAGGGAGTAGGGGATGGATCAGCTTGAAGTGGTTGTTTTGAAGAGACATGTACATCGGAAGTTCCCTTCTTATCTTTCTCATTCTTCTGTTGTTGCTGAGCTTTTGCAACAGCAAGTCTCCGTTCCATGGCTGCCATTGCCCATCTTGCCTGATCATGCACAACCTTGTCTGTAGCCATTGTAACCAGATAGAAACTAACCTAGTCTCTGTAGCTGATTACTGATGCGCAAGTTACACAACTAAACAAGAGAGAAGATAAACTTATTAGAATAGTTCATCTACGACGTTGTATGTTCCATTTAATAAGGAGCTTAGGATATTGAAACCAAGTAGCTCTGAGATTTCTTAGTTTTTGGATGTCATTACTAATTCAATCAGCCTACTGTGTGAAAATTTCACCAGAATTTACTTAATTCAATCCAAACACTACGAATCTATAAAGCTCAAACAGCAATTAACCAAAAGATAAGAAGACCATCAAGGCAGAAAAACATAGCAAACCAATTTACGAATTTGTAAATAAAAACTAATAAATCAAACAAATGCTTACGAATCAGAGATGGACGTTAAACTGAGACTGACGATGCACGGCGAGCTAAGAAAATTTTGTTTTCTCAAGTTTTTCTCTCAAGTCGGCCGATGTGATGGAAGATAGGAGATGATCACGTGAACCCTAAAAAAACTCACGTGACATGGTTTAGTCTTTTATATATAATCTGGTTCGGTCTGGTGTAAAGCTGTTTCGGTTTGTCCAACCTACTTCTCTCTCCTTTTAGATCAATTGAAGTTAATCAAATCCTTCAATGGCGGCACTAAGCTTTTGCAGCTCTTCTCCTCCTCGGATTCTTCATAGACAGTCTAAATCGAGTCTTCTCCCTCCGGATTCTACCCTTTTCACACCCTTGTGTTTCTTTTCCGTCGGAGAATTATCTGCGAAACCGATCTCTGTCTCGAGACGATTTCGTGTCTCCGTTAACAGTTCATCGGGAAACGAGAGGTCACCATCTTCTCCGGCGAAGAAGCTACGGGAGATTATGCAATCCCCTGGTGTTCTTCAGGGTCCTTGTTGCTTCAATGCTCTTAGCGCCAAACTCATCGAGCGAGCTGGGTTTCCTTACTGTATCACCTCTGGTAATTGTATTAATCGATCACTAATGAATTTGCTTAACCAATTCTTCACAGTTTGTATCTGGTTATTGCGAAATCGATCTTCTACTGTTGTTTGTTGGTTGTGTTCTGCTAAAGTTCAAGACTTTACAGCTTTATAGTTTCACTGAATCAGATAAGAAACAAGTTTGCTTTTCTCTGATATATCTGTTTATACTAATAGGATTCTCAATTTCCACGGCTCGGCTTGGTTTGCCGGATAAAGGACTTATTTCCTATGGAGAAATGATTGATCAAGGTCAACAAATTACTCTATCTGTTTCTATTCCCGTGATTGGAGACGGTGGCAATGGATACGGTAGTGCCATGAATGTTAAGAGAACCGTGAAAGGATATATCAAAGCTGGTTTTGCTGGAATTATAATCAGTGACCAGGTTTGTAGTGGAGATACTGTGAGTGAGAGAAGAGTGGTTTCTAGAGAGGAAGCGGTGATGCGTATTAAAGCTGCAGTAGATGCACGTAGAGAGTGTGATTCCGACATTGTCATTTTAGCTCAAACTGATTCCCGAGAAGCGATATCTTTAGAGGAATCCCTCACTAGGGCAAGAGCTTTTATAGATGCTGGAGCAGATGTTCTCTCCATTGATTCTCTTGTTTCTAGGGACGAGATGAAAGCATTCTGCAATGTCTACCCACTGGTTCCTAAACTGGTAACCTCACTTGCAAAAGAATCAACTCTTCTTTATCTTGATATATACCCGGGAGATTTGAAGATACATTTCTCCGGTCTTTGTGTAGGCTAATATGCTAGAAAGTGGAGGGAAAGTTCCAATACTAAACCCGCTCGAGCTAGAAGAGATTGGATATAAGCTAGTAGCATATCCAATTTCATTGATCGGAGTTTCTATTCAAGCAATGCAGGTGACAATCTTTCTGTGTCTGCCAATAATATAATAACCTCACCGTGCTGACAAAGAGACTTAAAAACTATGTGGAATTTTTGCAGGACGCTCTATTGGCAATCAAGGGTGGTCGAATTCCTCCACCAGGAAGCATGGCTTCTTTAGAAGAAATCAATGAGATTCTTGGTTTTGACACATACCTGGAGGAAGAGAGACGATATACTACCTCCTCATCAGATAGAAGTGAGCAATTTTCAGCTGTATCATCTTTGAGAAATATCAAATCAATAACTAAATCTGTTTCTATCCTTTTGCAAGAAGCAAGCAGCAATAGCATCTATGGTTATCAACGAGAGGCTCAAGATGATCCAGAACTGAGAGAGGACCCGATTGTTGAAGTCATAACACCAGAGGTTTATAATGAACCAAGAAACCCGTTTTCGAGGATCTGGTCACGATCTTTAAGGATCAAAATCATCGGGCGTGATGGGTTTGAGAAACTCGATGTCAGAATTCCGGTAAGCCCACTTTCAAACTGATGTCAAAACTCTGGTAAGTGGACTTTTGGGGACCTTTTTCATGTTTTATCTGAACTGATGCAATTATGGTTGGAACAGGCCGGATTCTTGGAAGGTGTCACCAACATTGTTCCAGGTAATTCAAAAACTCGAGTATTTTTCTGTTTCAGTTTCCTTAGGCACAGTTACTGACGGACCCTGAAATTTTGTAGCCTTAGGAGGCGTGAACTTGAAGCAATTGATGGACGATGCAGCCGATGAAGTCGGAGGGAAACTTTTGTTAGATTTTAAAGACACTGCTGGTGACAGAATCCAAGTCTTTCTAGAATGACACACACGTGGTGAAGAAAAAGTAAATACAGTCAAGAAACAATTACATAGAGAGAACAAAGATGAAAATATCTTATTTGATCCGTGAATGAAAAAAATGTTGTACACATCTTCAAAATAGAGAGAAAGAAGTAAATGTGTATATATCAAATTATATGCATATAACATAAAGGGCAGACCCGAGCAAGGTTTGCCACTCTCACCGGTACAAATTTCACAACAAACTCTCGATTTGGTCCGTAGTAGAAAAAAATTAAAAATGAATGATGATTGAAGACTAAGGCAAGAACAGAGAAGAAATCCGTGGAGCCGTGTTGTCGGGATGAATAATGTAACCTGAGTACTTTCGTGAAGCGGCTGGCCAATCCATCTACTTTTATCGAAAGATATTACATACCCGAGAGTAAAGAAAAGCACTGAACAGAGGATTCCTGATTATACAAATGAAGTCAAGTGCGTAATGTATGGCTTGATCTTACCGGTATCCACCACCATAGGATTGTTGAGGGTTGTAACCGCCTTGACCCATCATCGGATTGTAGTTGTTTCCAGGCATGTTTGGGCCAGGGGCCATCCCTGGGTTTTGTTGTTGCATCGGATAGCCTTGGCCATATCCTCCCATGTTCATGTTCATGTTCATGCCAGGTCCCATTCCCATACCCATAGGTTGGTTTTGATTCATGCCAGGTCCCATTCCCATACCCATAGGTTGGTTTTGATTCATTCCGACCCCCATACCCATACCCATGGGTTGGTTTTGGTTCATACCTCCATAGCTACCAACACCCATTCCTCCACCCATGGCCATGCCAGAGCCAGTCATTGGATTAGGCGGAGGTCTCATAACGGTTGCACCAGAACGCCCTAAGCCAGTGCCTGATCCCATGGCTTTACCCATGTTGATAGTCGATGTTGCTGGTGTGTTTGTTGGTTTCTCCAGCCGTTTCTCTCTCCTGTTGATCGCCTCAAAGTCAACTCCTATGTCTGCCAATGGATTTGTTTTAGCTGCGCATGAGTACAAAGAAAAAAAATGTTAGAAAGTATGCTGAAAACTGGGTTTTTCACAAAATTGTTTGGTGAAATCTATCTTACGTCCAGATATGTTGAAGTTAACAAGCCCCCTGCTCAATGTGTCAGCCCAAACTGATGATTTTGGCTCAAACTTTTTCTGAGGCGGAGGGACAATCTCAATTGCTCCTGTTAAAGGTGTGAGATCTGGATGAGATGATGATGACGTTAAGGAATTTGGCCCAGCTTGTGAAAACATGTCTGCCATGACATTGTTGTTCCCTTGCAGCGTAACAGGTCCAGATTGAGTTCGTTGCGGACCATGGGAAGGCGGCATTCCATGACCCTGGTGTGCCATGAACTGACCAGCTGGTCCACTTGAGGTAGGGTAAGGATTTTGTGAGCTTGATGAAGTGGCAGTAAATGAAGTTTGTGAGCCCGGCTGGTGCATGAAGCCTCCACTGTTAAACGGCATGGCTCCAGTCATAGTTTGAGAATGAGGAACCATGTTATATGGTTGTACAGCGTGTCCAAACGGAGTTTGTCCGGGCTGGTTTGGAGCTGTAGATACTGTTGGCTGAGAATGAAAGCCTTCGTACATGTTGTTTCCACTGGGAGGAAACTGAGATGTTGGTATTGAAGGACCAGATTGTTGAGGGAGTGAAACTGGAGGTCCAGATGGTGGGAGAATGCCAGCAAGAATATCAATATCACTCTGAGAACTAGCAAACTGCTCTTGAAGAAAACCTGGTGAGTTTGATGGAGGTTGCACATTCTGAGAAGCAGGATCAGGATTGGCAACTGCGGAAAATGAGTCTTCAAAGCCAAAGTTATGAGCAGTATCAGGAGCTCCAAAATTCTGCTGTGGGGTTGAATCGGCGTCAGCAGAAGTGAAGGCTTTGAAAGGAGAGTCACCAAATGGGTCATCATATGACTGCACAATCGAAACGGCAGTCATCAATAATCATAGGAAACCATCACAATCTTCAGAGTCCAAGCTCAGTGTATATACCTGAGTTGATGGCTGAGATGTGGAAAACGATGGAGCTGGACCAGCGTTTGCTTGTCCATTGGTTTCAACGGAGGTAGAATCAGCTGGTACAATGGCCAATGCATTTGATGAAAATACGTCTGCAAGGGACCCAAGCAAGTCCATCTCAACACTGTTCGAGGGGGGAGGGGAAGACATAGAAGCAACATTTGGAGGAGCTGTAACACCATCTGTAGATACAGATGCTGGAGCGCCAGCTGGAAAAGTAAAGAAACACAAAGCTCAGACTCAGAACAAACAGAGTTTGATAACATAGAAATATACCACACAATCATCAATCCTCCAATTAAGTGCCTTGAAACGTTTACTGAATTAGTTATTGAAGATTTTCTGATTTATCAATGAACATTAATCTCTCTGCAGCCGAGGAATTTGAAAGACAAAGAAAAACTAAAAAAATATCACCAGATATAACAAAATAGTAACTAACGAGTTGCAAGACTTAGAGTTCTCTGTACCTGAAAAAGCACCACGTGGATCAAATTCATCAAAAGTCTCAACTTTCTGAGAAGGTGATTCACTAACAAAAGTAACAGCTGTATTGTCTGTGCTGGTTCCAGTAGGAGGAGAAGCAGCCCCTGGAGCAGTAACTTGAGGAGGAGGAGGAGAAGCAGCTCCTGGAGCAGTAACTTGTGGGGTGTCCCCACCATCCCTGGCATAGAAAGATTCATCAACACCAATAAAACCAGAAAATTATCACCTTTCAGAAAATTTGCAAAGCAGAAATTAACACCTTTCACTGTATACAGGGCTGCGTGATTCACTGACTGCTTCTTCATAACTGGGTGGAGCGCCAATATTTTGTTCAGAAAACTTCCTCTCGAGCCGTCCTCTATCATATAATCCGGAAAGAAGATGAGATGAGTTGACATACAATAAGAGAAGGCCTAAACTTCAGCAGAAACATATCAGAAATTACCTCCCATCCTGAGAATTATCATCAGCTCGAGCTCCACTGCCCCTACAGGACAAAAAGGAGTGTTTCATTTAAAAATTATCATCGTGTTGTTTTCTTAATCAATGACATCTACGCCAGTATTCAAAATCAAAATATTCCATCCAAATGGTGTTTGATTAATCTTCAAAGTTGTCACTTCATTCTTTATTTCAGGTTAAGCCAGTTCAACTTAAAATCAGGAGTGTTTCATTTAAACATTATCATTGTGCTTTTTTCTTAATCAAGGACATCTACGCCAGTATTCTAAAACAAAATATTCCATCCAAATGATGTTTAAATTAATCTTAAAGTTGGTCCCTTCATATTTTATTTCAGGTTAGGCGAGTTCAACTTAAAATTAAACATTACCGTGATGAAGAATGGCCATCATCCTCCCTCTCCCTTTCCGAACTCCTACCTCGTGACCCATAGTTATCAACACTTCTGCTCCTACCCCTGTAATCATCATCCCTATTACCATCTCTTCCATACCGGTCTTCAGAGTCTCTGGAATAACGATCTCCATCACGGCTATTTCTATCATCATCTCTGTAACCATATTCTCTTTCTCTTCCATAACTACTTCGCTCTTCATCCCGGCTTCCGTAATCATATTTGTCCCCATATCCGCCTGAAGGCTTATACATCCCACCTGGTGCTGAGCTGCGATACCTGTTGTAAAATAATGTAAGATGATATGTTGCAGCATAATTCGAATGAACCACAAGAGGTGTCTTTTTCTTTTCTCTGAGTATAGAAAACTTCCAAAATACGAAGCTAATATTGTACTGTTACAGGGCCACCACTACAAATTAATAGACTACAGAGAGGCATGATAATAGTTGTAAGCCACTAGCAACAATCAATTAAACAAGTGTCCAGCGAGACTCACACAGCGAGGAAACTATCCAGAAGTTCCAGAAAAATTAAAATGACAACCAAACTTACTTATCTCTGTTCGCAGCAGCCTTCTGTCTGACCTCGGCTATTCTTTCTTTGTCATTCACCAAAGCCACCAGGCTCTGTGACTTCTTCCTAACATTGCTTCCTTGATCTCTACCACCGGAATCAATATACTGAAAGTCGGACAATGTCTGCCACAAGGAACATGGGCATAATATATGAGTAAGATAGTCAACTACTGCGGTACAGCACAAAAGGGTTCTCTTGATGTTGAATACTTCCAAAATAATTTAATTCTAGGTGGTCATTACCGAAATTTGATATGCACGTTCTCTAATCTCGTCTATAACACGTTCTGATCCATGGCCTACCATGTACTCCAAAACTGTCAAAGCCTGAAGGGGAGAGATAATAGATAAACAACAAGAAATACTTTTGTCACTGCGACAGAAATTCAAAACAATCTAAGACAGCAACAAGGCATTTACAATATTGTTTACCTTATAGACATGTCGCCAGTTTTTTCCAGTGTCACTAAGGCGTTTCCAAATGACCCCCATGATCAGCTGGTATTCATGACTGCAATAGAGGTAACAATTTATATAATTCCTGTGCAACGTAAAAATTTACAGCAAAATATAGCAGTTGGAAGGTGGTCGTAGTTACTAATTTCTCGAGGCTTGCGCAAGATCAGCAAGAAGTGATCCATGCGGACCCCATGGCTCATTGCTAGTAGCATCTAGAACCTGAATAGGAGGAAACAGAGGCGAGACAGAAAAACAACATGAATATATGTTGGACATCAAGACGATGAGTGCAACCAAGATAAAGCTATCTATTTATATTTTTTAAAACCTTAGAAAGATAATGAAATTGATCAACTCAGTCATAAGAATCAAAAACAATAACTAAATCTCGGCTTCAGCATGGTTTCAATAATAAGAAGAAGAAAAAAAAAAACAGAAAAGAAGCTAAGAGCACCCTTTACCTTCTGTTCTATTCCAGGAACTTTGAGGACTTTCTTGTTAACCTCTCTCTTACTGAATAAAAGAAAATGGAACATAAAATTATAAGCATCGTTTATTGGAAAATAAAAAAAAAACACAGAGAGGTTGACATTGAGATATTCATTTTTCATTTGGGAAACTAGAATTCTTACAGGTCTCTGACAGTTTGGCCGAAGACTTTCTTCATCTTCGTATGAGTTCCAAGAAGAATTATATCAATAAAAACACAAAACGCCTTCTACAATGAGAACCTTAGCTGTCACAGCAGTCAAAAGAAAGACAAATATCACCAGAAATGTATAGAAGAAGAAAAAGAAGAAAGGAAACAAACAGACAAACACCATCCACAATGAATGATTCTTCAGCATAACCTCACATTTCAACGCATGAGCATCACAAGATACAATGAATCCAAAATCACACAACCGTAAGAGCCAAATCCATTGAATTGAGCTAATACATCAAATCCATGGAATTGAGGAACGGGACACAAAAATCAATTAGCCATGATCGAATTTTCAAATCAAGAAAAGAGGAAGACGTCCAAAAAGACAAACAAATCCGAGTCCTAAGCAGACTCAATTTCAGAAGGTAACAATCGAAATCGAAGCTCCCACAAGATCGTAAGCTAATAAATAAAACACTAAAAGAGACGTCCACAAAACAGCTCGCCAGGTGAATCATCATACATATAAGAATAATCAACCGGAAATAATGAAAATGGAAACAATAGATCTGAAGGAAAAATGATGAAATCAATGAAACAAAAAGCAAAAAGGAATCTGTAGTAAAAAGAGGGAGATCGATCGTACCTGCAGAAATGTAGAAAAAACCTGACCAGAATCGGATCTGTGAGGTAACAGATAGATAGAAGACGAAGAAGAAACGCCTTGGAAGCTTGTGATCTCCTTTTTTCCTGCGTTTAGCTTTCGAACTTTGTCTCCTCTCTCTACAATATTTCCGACTTAGAGAGAGAGAGAGAGAGAGAGAGAGAGAGGAAAACACAGCAGCCAGCCAGGAAGGAAATTTCAATAGATAAATTTTTAAATTATTAAAAAAAATTGGCAGAAAAATAAAATTAAAAGGTGAAAACAATAATAAGACAGCGCAACTAAACACGGAGAATATTAAGCAAAAGGCTCCAAATCATTCATATAAATGTTCCATCGTTTCTTCTTTTTTTTCTTTTGACATTAGAGAGATATCATACTACAGCTGTTTCTTCTTCATCTACGTATTATTTTAATTACTTACTTTAGTCTCAGCACGATTTTATAGTTTTTTCATTCTCATTTTATTATAGTTTACTGTATGCTTTTTCATATTCTCGCTTCATTGAATTTAACAGGGATTATTATCATATTCTCCGTAACTCATTATCTATATATATAGAGTTAACTTTTTCTCTCTTCTCCTTAAGACACATCATCATCCACCTCATTTTATTATTTAATTTTTAAAATTAATTATATCATTTTATCATTTAATATTAATATTTAAACTTATGTAAATAAGTTTTCCCAAAATGAATATGAAAGGTCTTTTTTTATATTATACATTATAAACTAAAAAAGATAATTGATTAAGAGTTTAAAAAAACTGACTAATTATCAATTATACTAACAAATATATAAATAATAGATTATAGTTTTTAGTGAATGTTTAAAATATATATATGATTATATTTACACAATGTAAACCTAAATATAATGAGATTTAACGGGAATAAAACAAAAAGTAAGAAATTTTGAGAATATAAATCTATCTAATTTATGTCTCAAATAATTTTCTAACATAAGTGAGATAGGTCGGACCGAAACATGAATTCTTATTTTTTATAAACATATAAAAAGGTAAAAATAAAAATAATATTTCTTTAAAAGTTTCAAATATGAATTTAACTATTTGTTTCCACAACACATATGTTAAACTAATAAACAAAATAAAAAATTAACTATATTTCATAAAATTGAAAATTAAAATAAAATATTATTAAATGAAATAAACTAAATATAAAGTAAATTATACTAATATGTTAAATTTTAAAATTGTTCCATATGAAAAAACAAAAAAATATATAAAACATAAAATCAGAAAAATATATAATAGTATATAAATGATCATTACGAGATATAAAGTACGACAAATCCAAAAAAGGAAAATGTAAAACAAAACATAATAAATTATGACAATATATAAAGAGATAATGTAAACAATTAAAAATACAACAATCCGCCCGAAACCCACAAATCATGTTCAAATTTCATGCCAACATATAAAAGGGCCCAAAATATTAACATCTAGATCTATATTTGGTAAAAACCTTAATAGCACACGTTTCTCAATGATTCTCAACCGCACTTCCATTTACACCTACACTTCGACTTATACTATACAGACTTAATTTCTCAGCGACTAATGAAGCTAAAACTCAATAGCTTTTCTATACAAACACAATTTAAGTTTAAAAGAATAAAGTATGGTATAGTGAAAAAAATAAGTAGAAAATAAAATACGAATCAATTATTAATAAACAACATATAATAAACTCTCGCGCGTAGCGCTGACAACCGACTAGTAATTAAATAAAGTTTCAATCAAGTGTTGCCAAAACAACACAAACAAAAAAAATGACGGTGACACGAAAAAAGAATCGGAGGCAAATACCAAATACATTAAAATATTAATGGGCCTCAAATAAGCTAATGCTATCATCCCAAAGCCCAAATATTTACAACCACTCCACTGATTTCGAGTCTTCGACTATTTTGGTTTCCATATGATTTCGTTCGAGTTTCTCCATTAAATTAGGTATACATACTATAAACCTAAAATATAATAAGTTTGATATGAATTTATTTCAACAAGTTAGATGGTATGTTTTATTTTAGCATATACAAAAGAATAGGTGGAATTAGTTGAATGAAAGTGATTCTCTGACGTACTAACATATAACACACAATTTAATTTACTAATAAGCCAATAAGATCAAAGAGAGATGTGTTACATCCGCTTTCCAGCTTTTGAAGCAATGATCACTTTCTCTCTATACGAACAGATGGAAACAAGTGTCTTGCCCTACTCAAAAGAATGTCTTTGTTCAATTTTGTCCTTGGTATGTTTTCAAATTATGCAGAGAATGTTACCACCAAGTAACTGAAAGAAAGAACAAAGAAGAAAATTGAACCTTGTTTTATATGCTAACACCTCTCTCATTACAAGAATCACAAAATAGCAAATGTATGCACAACAATTAAATTACCAAAACCCCATTTTTTTTTCACTTAACAACAAAAGGGAACAAAGAAAGAGTATGATACGATCTAAAAGGGTCTTGGAAACAATTTCACTTGATGAAGACGCAAAGAGAATGATGCACAAGTGGAAGATGAGCGACATTGAAGAAGACGAAGTGATGATGTGGTTCGTTGTTATAGATGTATCCTTTCTGATTTCCACGCGACGATCCTTATTTGGTTCACTTCTTCTCCTCTTTGACTTTGACCCTTCCTTTATTTCATTTTTTAAAAGAAAACCTGTGTACAAGTAATTGAGATATTTTATTTAGGGAACGCTACCTATTAAAACGGATGCATGCATGATGGATTAATTAAAGTTGAGAGTGTAGCTTGGAGTGTTGGACTTACTTGAATAATGGGGAAATTTTGTTGAATTTGACGAGCCTAGTAATGTGTGGGAGGTGGCGGAGAAGCGTAGATGTAGACTGGAGGTGGGGGAGATTTTACTGGTGGCGGTGGAGAGTTGTATAGGTATGGTGGTGGTGGGGATTTCACCGGAGGTGGTGGTGAGGAGTAATGGTACGGTGGAGGAGGAGACTTGACTGGAGGGGGTGGTGAATGATAATAATATGGTGGTGGTGGGGATTTTACTGGTGGGGGTGGTGAGCTGTAATGGTACGGTGGAGGAGGAGACTTGACTGGAGGGGGTGGTGAATGATAGTAATATGGTGGTGGTGGAGATTTGACGGGAGGGGGTGGTGAGCTGTAATGGTATGGTGGTGGAGGAGATTTCACGGGAGGGGGTGGTGAATGGTAGTAATATGGGGGAGGAGGAGATTTCACCGGAGGGGGTGGTGAATGGTAGTAGTATGGTGGTGGTGGGG